TCGCTCATTCCGTTCCCGCTCTTCTTCCTCCGAAGAAATGTTGCCGCCATCTATGAGCGACGGCGGCTAGCGGACAACCGGCAAACACGAGGGAGGCTGTAGTGAGGGTGGGCGCAACTCAAAACCTGGAGAGTGCTTGCAGTTTAATGGCGGCGCCTGAGGGAGAGGATTCGAGAAAGGATATGCGCCAGTGTTGCCTGCACGAGAGCAGGCGCCCGCTCTGTTGCAACTCTATTGCTCCATGCGCCTTTCCTCCTCTCGCCTCCCATTGCAAGCAACGAGCGCCTTGGCGCAGCCTCTCTCGCTTCCTTCTCACTCCGAGAATTGCAAACGTCGAGCGGAGAAAGCAAAGTTGCCAGACAAGCAGCAACGTCCAAGATGGCGGAATTTACCATTTTTTGCGTTAAAAAAATACTTAACCTATCGCAACAAAACTGGTGGCTATGGAAAAGTAATCATTTATACCTTGTGTAAATTATTCAAGCACCTTAATGTGCTTTTATGACCCGAGTTAGGAAAGAAAACGACCATTTGCCCCATAGACTCCCAGCAAAATTTAGCAATTAAATGGCGTCCATGTTCCGTGATCGCCGATCTAGCAGTTGCACCCACCCTCACTTGAGCCTCCCTACACGACACTCTGGACAGCTACCGCCATCTATGAGCGACAGCGGCAAGCAGAGTTTTGTGTCGACATTTCTTTGCGGGGGACACGATCCTGGGGAAACAAGCCCTTAACATCTCCGCTGTAAAAAATGCTTTTATTTTATCGCTGGCTTTAACTTTTTTTTTTTTTTTTTTTAGGACGAAAGATTGAGACGTCCTGTCCCGTTCTGTTTCTTCGACTTTTATGTTTTTCTACCCCAGTCTCAGGTATATTCAACATGGTTAACATCCACCAGCTCGCCTGCACCCTTACTATTGTATCACGAAAGAGCGTTTTTTTGTGATATCAAATAAAGCTTCAGATAATCGGAAAACAGTGATTTTGAGCACCAAGGTGAATGAAGTGTGTTAATTTACACCGAAGCATAGCAGTGACTTTATTTCTGCCCATGTGAGCAACCACGTGCGACTGCAGGTTTGCAACAAGCAGTTCTGCGTGCATGTTGCGCACCGGTGGCACCAGCCAACATGGTAGCAATCTAAATATTTACGTCGTTACACCCGCGGTATCAACGATGAACGTTACAACGAACAAACAAACAGACAAACAAATGAGTGAATGAGCGAGAAACGTACGATTTCGCTCTTGAGAGAACACACTTCGTTGACGAGATCCTTGCGCTTCGGTACTGGCGACTTGTTGGCGCCGCCCCAGAAGAGATACTTTATCTTGCGCTTGTTGGGCACGGTCAAGCGAGCGGCAGATTTTCCATCCCCCGAATGTTTCCGAAACAGAGGCCGTTGGATTTCGGGAACCCCTTCCGAAGCGGTGGGAGCCACTCGGGCGGCATCCTGGTCCGTGTCCATCGTCTGAATCGCAAGGTTTCCATTGAGCGTTTCCTGTCAGCACTTCACAAATAGATATATATATTAACAGAGAAGGTGTTATATATCAACACGTCACACGTGACGTCAAATGACATCACGTAACACCCTGACGTCACGTGACTGTGATGCCACGGTATTAAGTGGCGTCACATACACTCATACAGCCATATGGTGACCACCTTCCTGCCAGCGAAATGCGGGACACGTGGGGCGGGGGGGGGGGGGGGGGGGTAGAGTAAATGTAGGAGCACGCACACCACGAACCGAGGCTCTGTTAACACATTTATTATCCTGTGCTGTTTAGACACCTACAAATTGTATTGCAGCAATTAAGCTAAAATAGTTTTCACTCCCAGTGATATCTATTTCTATTACAAATGTGTTATTAAATGTGTCGATGTTGAAAGCATAAAAATCAAGTGCAGCAGAACTCAATGCATCAAATGAAATAAGAAACACTAAATCTTCCTCGGGTTATTGTTTCCTCTCAACGCTTACTTTTATTAACATGGTCCTACACAAATTTTTAACATACTGTTCTTTTTTGTTAATCCGCCATGTTAAAAGAACATAACGAAAAAACGTTTCCGTCATATTAAAATGCATGACGGAAATGCAGTCAGGCTCTTTTGCCTTGTGTAGCTATCTTCACTAAAAAGGAATTCCACAACAGCCCTTTCGCATTGACGCAGTGCTATGAAAATAATTACAATAATTTATAGTTAAACTTTTGGCGAGCAGTTTTTTCTTATAATATTTTGCCATCAAGGGGAGAGGCACAACGCCGGATGCGCGTCGGTTCTCCTTCAAGAACGACGGTAGCTTCCCGCAATGCTTGGATAGAAAATGGCGTATCATTGCGATTCACACGACTACCAGCGATCTTCGCGCTTCCCCGTGCCCCGTTGTTCGGCAGCACCATGAGTTGCAGAGTGAATTTTATGACAGTGTGAAATGCGAGACATTTTGAAGATTTCGGGAATGTCTAGCGGAACGCGGGACACGAGCCTTCAATGCGGGACGGGTGGTCACCCTAACACAGCATGTGGCCAGCTCATTTGCAGCACATTATGTGCACCTCCGAGTTTTTCAGATATGATAGAGACATGCTTATTCCTTTAATATAGGAAATGAGTGTGAGTGTATGACGTCAGTTGCCGACAGCAGTTCGTAGGATAATTCGCTCACAAAGTGGAAGCAACGATATGTGTACCAAATAACATTTGACATTTAAACAAGCTTGAAAATGCTACCTTTCGAAACACAAAGGTTCGCGCCCCTCGTAATAAAGTTTGTACGCGTATCTGCTTCTAAACATTGGCCAGTGTCTAACGATACGAGCAGTTACGGTCGTTCATGATTCAAGGGGCGGAAATTGCAACTCACCTCCTCGCCAATTTTATCACTTTTTAAAGAACGTGTCCATCGTCTTCGTCTGGAGACGAGTTGTAACCGCTTTACGTTACAGCCGTGTTAACTGTCATCATCCTTCTTGCAACAGGACGCCTGCGCCGTCCCCCAAGATACCCATCTTCGTTTTCCTTCTCTTTGGGATTCTTTCCCGCGTAAATATTACGCGAGTACCCGCTGGGATTTCTAGCCGTGTTTCAAGAATAATTGGAAGCAAAATACGAGGGCAAACGTGTCACGATTGAACGCCAAACCCTCAACTTGATCCCCATTTTTTTAGCGGAGCCGAACAGCAGACGACGCCCAAACCAAAAAGCCCAAACTCGTCTGTTACGACTTGTTGTCATGGGAACGCAGACGAATGCCACCGTGATATCTGGAGAGCGACGTGCGCCTCTCTGTGCGCATGCGTTAGCAATAGTTTCTTTTATTACGCGTGCGCAGAGCCAAGCGCATGCGTAGTAGGAGGAAGAAGTTCTCTTCGTAGCAGCACCCAGCGCATCATCCAAAGCGGCCACCGGCGCTGCTCCGGCGCTGGCGTCGTCTCGTCTGCTTCGTGATGGCGGCGGTGTTCTCCGTCCGACGCTTCCGAGGCTGAGGAATACTGGATAATCGCTGCATTGTCATCGCTTGGTACTCTCACCAAAAAAACGTTCGTCAATCGTGAAATCAAGGTTCATTCCTCGGATGAAAGATGGCTCTTCGGGTGAGGATTCATTTTGATGTCCGTTTGTCCCGATGTGCGCTTCCGAAAGTCTATTTTGAACGCGGGATGATCTTTTTTCTTCTTCGTTTTTGCGTTGATCTTTCGCCGAAGATGATCTTTGCGCATGCACGGCGCGCGGTGTGTTGCGTCGTCGACTTTGTGATGTTGGAGTTTATTTGGATATGTGGAATACGCTGCGTGAGGCACTTATAATGAAGTCACTTATCGAGATTCAGTGCTGTGAAAATTGCGTTATTTGTTGTTGATATTAGTATTATTAAGGCCCGAACAAAAAAAGGATGGAACAACTATCGATGTTTTATACGGATTGAGCTTTTGGCTTCAGATATGCCTCTTGCTCTGGTCACCATCAAAGTCTCAGAAACGTTGTACTCTTAATTAATTTGACAGTTTGTATGCATCATTACTCACTTCAAATTGAGTAAACAAGTATGGTTCGCGCTTATTGTGGTCGAAATAAGCTCTGGTTTTCGCGACTGTGCATGTGTGTTTATTGCGTTATTTATTATTGGTTTTTTTTTCCCTCCCCTTGAACTTTGATACCTTTTTTTTTAGCATATTGGGGGATTGTGTTTTGCCAGTAAATATATGCGATTTTAGTATGTCGAAACGACTATCATTCTTTTAAAATGTATATGTATATTGACTACTGACATTGATAATCACAAACCGCATAACGCATCAAACATGCTTTGAAAACGAAAACTGCATTAGTGAAGTCTGCATCACCTAACACTTCGAAGCAGTGCGGAAAAGCATGCTTTAGAATATTTACTTTTAGGCTTTTTTACGTGTGTGTGTGTTTCTCAACAGACTAGAACCACAGACTAGAATCAAGTGTAGCAAACTGGCGTCGGACTATAAGTTGACCTTGTATTTGATTTAGTCGATGTTATTCTGAAAATAGAGCATTGCCCTCGAGTCGATTGCTTCGTCGTGGGTATTATTACAGGCATATACAAATACCCATACACAGCCTTAATTGACTTCCGTTTATGAACCCAGGTGGTAAAATATGACCGTATTGAAAGAATGACCTCGCATTGTACCACACGTACCAGTACCTGATTTAGTACGCCCATAAATCGCCGCCCGTCAACCGCCGGCACGACTCGCTAAACCGGAATCTGACAGCACGCAAAAACCGCAAAAACCAAAACCACAAATTTGATGCGCCTCGGACGTCACTTCCCTTGCGCAACTTCCCGCGTCTGCAAATAAAAATGCGTTCGTTTATTCGGCTTTTTTTAACCACTAAGACTACATTTTGACTCTTAGTTGTCGCCAACTAAAGCGTGACGTCATCACTGTACAGAAGTAGAGTTAGTAAGAGTCATCCCGTAATATCACGTGGTAGTAACAGCAGTTTAGGGTGTCCGAATAATGGAACGCATCGGGAGGTTGCTGGTGGTAGAGGGGCCCTAAAGTCTGCGGTGTTCTTGACGGGTGTTCCTCGATGGTGTCGGTTTTCTAATCAAATTAAGCCAGGTTGAAGTTGACTCCGATCTCAAGTGTTTATCACCGCCTAAACGCGACAATGCAGCACCGGTTTCAGCCTAAGCGCGACAGAATCGTATCGGACAAACCGCGTCCACTGACGTCCAAGTGAAACCTCCTGGAAGGGCCGAGCTGTTGAAAAAAATCCCGCATCCAGATGAAGATGCCTTTTCAGGGCCTCGCAGGCACGAACTTTACCTACTTCACGTTGCAGAAGGAGACGCCTTCGGCCCAGTTGCTACACCTGGCAGCACTGCAGGGCAATGTCGCCTTGCTCATCAATGTGCTGGACAGCGGCAAAGTCTATGTCGACTGCAAGGATCAGGTCAGTTCGGACGTCGTCGTTTTTTCGCGTGCGGTCGTTTAAATTGGGTCGGTGCACAGCGACGTTGAGACCAGTTCAAAATGTTTCTTTTAAAGATTCTTTTTTAAACGGTTTTTTTGCTAAAAGAGGCAGGAACGCGTAGCTGGAGTGATGCATCAAACAATCGTGCTCGATATTGCCTGTTTTTTTTTTTTTGTTTTTTTTTTTCGGGCTGGTTTTTGGAATGCAGGCGTGCTACTTTGATGAAGGGTAAATGGAGCAGGGCGTCCCGTTCTTTTCATAATTATCGTCCGTGTACTAGTCGCCGCAAAAATAAAATAATTGCTATTTTTTTTTCTTTTTTTTTTTTTCTTAAGGTGCGTGTAAAGTTTTGTTTGAGCCGTGCACTATTGGAGCTTCGTTTGCATTTATGTAAACCTCAGTTTATTGGCATCAACGTTCATGTGACAGCTGAGTGTTGATGTTTCTATCAGATACACACCTTGTCAAGTTTGTTGACTGCAATACCTGGCCGCTATAACAGCAGATTAATCTTCATGCCCCACGGTTACCCAGGGCTTCATATGTGCCCTTTAATTTTAAGAAACTCATAACACTCACATTCATTGAATCGTCAGCAAAGGCGGTCTCTTTGTGTGTTTGCTTTGAATCAACTTGTCGAGTTGTGATGTGGTTCTGGTATTAAAACAGCCCTGCCAGCAGCATTAATCAGTATCGTACAATAATCTGCCATGCAGATGGCATTTACCACTTTTAAACTATTTTTGATACAGAGACGTTGCCAAGATCTTCGCAGAGTGAAACATACCTAATGGGGTCCGCCTGCAGATTATTTTTAAAGCATTCGAACGAAGCCAGCAGCACTGAGCCATAAGATGTTCATATCCCCAGCTGAAGAACCACGAGTTAATTTTTAACACACTGCAGATTCCATTTTTTTTTCCACACCCGGCATTTCTCGGACACCAGTTGTTATTCGTGGTTTGTATTTTTAGAACTTCATGGGGTTGTTGACCTGGAGTGGTGCCATTTTTCATTTAAGGAAGGGACGACTGCACTCATCCTTGCCTGTGCCAACAACAACTTTGAGTGTGCCAAGGAATTGCTTGAGCAGAGTGCAAGTCCCGCTGCAAAGAGGGTGGTAAGTACGCCCCACTTAGGTAGAGGGACCATAAAATGGTACCATTGCACTCCAACTTCCCAATTTGCACATTCTGTCATGTGACACAAGCCCACCAGCACAGTGGCGTCACAAGGGGAGTGCGGGGGGGGGGGGGGGGGGGGGGGGGGGGGGGGTGAGGGGTGAGAAGGGACAAGGGAATAAGTTGCTGCTGGCCACAAAAGGGGGGGGGGGGGGGGCCAGCGGGCTGTCGCCCCGGGTGCTGCTGACCCTAGTGACGCCACTGCACTAGCAGAGTTCTTCAAGTCCCTGCTGCTCATGGAACTTCGGCCAAAGTTTGGTGCAGAGTTGGTAGCTGCTGCCAGGGGTGCGACAGTCCCCAGAGGAGCATTTTCGTTTGGCCGCTCCGCCTTCGGTGAACCACCCGAGATTTGCAATTAGAAGTAGTTCAAAAAACAATTTCTCGTACGGTGAAATTTTGTTATGCCTGTATTCGATCGCTGTGTGCAAGCACTAGTCATTCCTTATTGGTCTTTAACAAGATAACTTACAAGTAAGCTTTTTTTTTTTTTCAATCTTTAAGGAAAACAATGTTTTTGCAAGCGAAGGAGAGATAGACAATTAAGCATACTGGTTTGCACTGCCTCTACTAGATGGTGCTGAATTTTTACGGTGAGGGGGGTGTTGACAGGTCATTTTTAGAAAAAAAAAAAAAAAAGAAATAAAACTTATCTTATTACGTAGACCGTTTTAAATATATATATATAAGATAGAGAAGTTGAGTGTACAGAGCTGAAGACGCTTACGTTAACGAGAAACACTGTCAGTGCGATGACATGTCATCTTGATTTGTAGGTGGATCGTTCAGAGTAGGTTAGAAATTCCTACATGTGTGGGTTGCCAGACACTCGGCAGTGCAGGCTAGATTGGCAGCTCCTAGCCCCCGTGTCGATGCTAGCGCTGCGCGGTGTCGCATACCAAGCTTTCGTATAATGTTACAGAGAAGTTTCATGTCCAGTGGTGTATGGAAGAACTCTGACGCCGGTGAATATATTGTTACAGAGAAGTTTCATGTCCAGTGGTGTATGGAAGAACTCTGACGCCGGTGAATCCTAAACAGTAATGAGCTCCAAGTCACAATCTTGTTTCGTGGTTAACTGTCGCAACGACAAAACAAGTTTTGTCGCACTCTTCGTTGTCTCTATTTCAGACGGGAACCACGGCTCTCTTCTTTGCGGCACAAGGAGGGTACCTGGACATTGTCAAGCTTCTGCTAGAGCACTATGCACCTGTCGACGCAGCGAGCGTGGTGAGTCGGCTGAAGAGGACTCGATTCACGTTTGAGTGTTGGTGCTCTGTGGGAACCAGACTGTAAGACTCGCTGGTGAGGAAAGGGGAAAAAAAATCATAGAGTTCTGTCTTCTTGTTGGGGGGTTGCCATAGGAAGCCAGGCTGCCTGGAACAAGTACGGTGTCGGTCCCTACTTTGCCATTGCCCCGCTCTCGTCCCAATTTTAAGAATACACAAAACCCGGTACCTGGAACGTGTTTCTGGCTGGTGTGTGTAGGGTCCTATACCGTCAACTCGTCGAAGCATCCCCGAAACCGTGCCGTTCGATAAGTGAGCAGAGAACTGGATCTTGTCGAGCCAGTGGTCGCGGTCTGGCCTCAGTATATGTACAGTTTTGTACGGATGACGATAAGTTAATTGTGGGTTAATCGACAAATACGTCGCGGGAGTAGCCAAGGAACATTGCAGATTGTCACGGTCCTGGCAGTTCGTTTTCGTTGAAGAAGCAACAGAATAACAGACGAACGGTCATTAATGCCTCTGGCTTCACGTACTGAAATAAGTGTGGCGCAGAAGGACAGGGACTAGTGGAAGGAGGCTCACCTTGCCTTTTTTTTCACTCTGTCTATTTCAATACAACTCTGCGGCGTCCCAGTCCACAGCTACCGGGACCTCTGTCAACCGGCCAGTCCAAGAGCGCGCTACGGCAGAACAGTCGTATGTCGCACCCACCTCTGGTGCCTTTACAGCACTATAGAATGGCGACGATCCTCGGCGGCCCTCGATTGTGACGTCGCCAGGCAAACCACGAAGGGAGATGAAAATGTGGCGAGCGTACCAGTCATAGACGCGTTCCAAGAGCCCAAAGGCCCTCTCCCACACTTCCAACCGCTTACAACCGCGTGCGTCGAAACCCCTTGCGATCTCCAGCAGTAGCCATGGAACACTCGCAATTTCTGTATATTTGCTGCTTTTCTTTCTCGCGCATCATTTTTTCGTTGCGAGATCAAGAAGACTATCGACAACGTTGTTAATACTTTTTTTTTCCCCCCTAGGCGGTACATACATTTGACCTCGCAAATACCGCAAAACTTCTGCTCTAATGAAATGCAGTTCCGGGGTGGCATTGGCATGCCAGTGTGTTCTCTTGTCGCGAGAGATTTTAAGGTGTTTTAAGGCACTCGGTCCTGAAGAGTCACAAATATGTGCACCTTACGGTGTGTGTCACCTTAAGAGGTGACAAAAACTCGGTTGTAAGCAGACGCAAGTGTGCAAACTGACCCCGACTGTACAGATTTTGGTAGCTGGTGTGTGTCTGCAGTCGGTGCCGCTGTTAGAGACCGGCGATTTTCGCTGCAGGATGGTGGAACTCCGCTGCTGGTGGCCTGCCAGTGCAACCACCTTGACGTGGTGGAGGAGCTAGTCAAGTCCGGAGCCAGCATCCACACGCAGATGGCGGTGCGTGCACCCTCTCCTACTCGAAGCGTCTCAAGTTGGGGACTGTACACTCCTAAAGTGACCGACCAGCAAGGAGAACACAAGACTAGGGCAGAGACAAAACATAAAATCATAATCAAAGTGCCTTTGCAAATTTTTGTTAGGTTATGTTATTTACCATCTCTTCCAAAGCCTCCTGGATAGCCCTGTCTTTAAATGCGCGACAATTTAGACCGCGCATCTTTAAACACTCTTTGTTTTTATTGCACGAAAGGAAGCGCCATCAATCCGCAAGTATTATAAATAATTTTGCTTTAGAAACCGACGCATAGATGGCAGATCAAAAAATGTTTGGCAGCTATGTGTGGCATCACAAAATAATGGCAAAATGGGAACAAAAAAAGTCTCTATTTTGCCAATATTTTTTGGTCGTGGAAGCCCCAGTTAAAGGGGAGCTCTGGCATCAATTTGAACAATTTCAACTAGCAAACATTTTTTGAAAGAGCAACAAGAAACCTGGCCAAGAGCAGCTAGTAAATTTCCAAAAAATATTTAAATGAGTTTTAATTATACTAGAAATATGATATAACCGGAACCAAAACTATCCTTCACCTTTACTGGCTGCCATCTTGTTGTGATGTCAGACAGGCACGTAGCCAGGATTTTGTTTCAGGGGGGGGCCCGCCCATGACAAAATGCTGTATGAGGGGGAGGGGGGAGAGAAGGCCCCAGCAAAATGGAAGATTTTTTTTTTTTTTTTGGGGGGGGGGGGGGGGCTCAGGCCCGGGCCCCATGAATCCCCCCCCCCCCCCCCCCCCCCCTGGCTACATGCCTGATGTCAGATGTTGTATGAACATAAGCACATGGTCAGCTCAATCCTGTTTCACCCAGCGTCCGAAGCAGTCAAAAGGCCGTCGCGATTTTCTGTGAGAAATAATGGACAAATCGGAGTTTGTTATCAAGCTCGTCTTAGCCAGGCAATGACCAGCAAATGTTTTAAGATTTTCAGCACTAGATTTCGGACGATTCGCCATTCACATTCGATCCGCCGGTATCACCTTTGCTGGGACTCGTCTTCATTTGGCCTCTAGATCACGAATATCAAGATCATTTATTAATTTGATGCACGGAGCCCGCAAAAATTCATATTCAAAGCACCGCTTAGGCCCCTTCTTTCCGAAGCATGACGTCATATCGGGTGTTTTCGGAATCTCCACTCTCACGCAACTTCAGCGCCTATCGAAGCTATGCACGCGCACTCTTGCTGCTTTCAAAACGCTAAGAAAAAGACGTCATGACTGGTGTCAATGCGGTGGAATATACCTGGCAAGCTTGCAATTGCACGCACTACCCACATAAGCAACTTCCGCTTGGCGGCGAAAAGATATATATACCTGGCAAGCTTGCAATTGCACGCACTAACCACATGAGCAACGTGCGCTTGGCGGCGAAAAGATCCTGGTACGACATAGCGACTGGTCAGAGGTTTTTCGTGTTTTCTCGCGTTTACTTACATCTTTGAGAAAAAGGAACATGACATCCAAATTCACGATAGAAGTGCTCTAGAATTCACCTCTAACTCCTTTCTTTTCTTTTTTCAGGAACCTCTTTAGCTTCGCTTTAAATGTAGAACATTATTATAAAAAATTATTCTCGTGGTCAAAAATTTGCTATTTGTACACTTCTGACCAACGGTTTTCCTGCCCGTGGAAAAACCTGGAACCCATTTGGGTCTATTGTCACGTCTTCCTCCTACAGGACCGCGCTACGCCCCTGTTTGTGGCAGCTCAGAACGGACACCTCAAGCTGGTTTCTTACCTGATTTCTCACGGCGCCGACATCAACGTCAAACGAACGGTAGGTGGCAATGGCCAATTGCTGCGAAGAGCTGGGCGACACTTCTCTTGCGTGGCATTATTTCCCTAGCATGACACCGAGTTCTCCATGTAATGCACCATGCTCCAAAGCTTCTAGAGCATGCCGCAATTTTGTTTTTTCTACAGTTTTTCCTTTTGGTGTTCATGCCCCTCTGTGTTCAACCTCTAGCAAGTGTAGAAAATCCTTTCCATCTTAGTTTCATTAAGGCTAGTGATGGACCAAATCTGCCAAACTTCAAATACAGCAAAGTTCGGCACTTGCCGAACTTTTGAAGGAAAGTTCGGCAAAGATTTGGCAAATGCCTGCGCATGCGCGAGAACGCGACGGGGCCATGGATTGCAAATGGACGCCATGCGTTTGCCATCGTAAAGTGTAGTACTACCAGCGGTTACGGCGAGGTGTGGAGTAGGGAGACACTGTAACTGCGTTTCTCAGCCTCTGTGAGTGTTGTTTTCTTCAGTGTTTTCTGCCTCAAGAACAGAAGATCGACCAGTAATTTATGCAGTCCACTGCGCAAGTGACAAATGATTCGGTACATTCTGGATAACATAATTTTCATTTTACCTTTCCAGCGATGCAATGGAGTAGTTGAGACGTAGACTGACAGTTAATTTAAGCACGCCTCACAATTGCAACAATCTTGTCTTCGGCTCACAAGTAGTTTCTGCCAAAACAAAATATTGCTTTTTAATTAGCGTTTTTTTGCGGTTTTCATGTATCTGCATAAAACTAAACACAGAACTATCATGCTCGACCATTGCACATCTGACATTCCTAACTCTTCCCATCTTCCTAAACATCCGTGTGTGTCCTAATACCAGAAACTGGCATGTTAAAGGTTAAAAACGAGACGTTGTGAATATGGGACACACATTTCTATGTAAAGCTGACGTCAAGTGACTCAAATAAAAAAAAACATGCATATTTACAATAATATTGTTATCCCTTCTGGTGAAGGCTCAGCAACCGTTGCATTAGTTTTTGTCCATGAAACGGTGACTACCAGTGAAAGTAAGAATGCAGTGTTATTGTTTTCATTTTAACAATGTACACACACTTGCAGGCTTGTGCTGATGAGGCCTCAAAACCGAAACTCACGTATTGTGACTGCGGTCGCTGCTACCCAACTTGGTTGTCACACCACTTCTGTAAGAAGTCGGTGTAAACTTGCCAGTAAACACACAAAAACAACACCGATGAAATTATCTTGTAGAATATCACCTTATTTAGTGAAAACTGTGTCAATACGCATTACGTGTTGCATTTAAGTTAAAAAAATAACATAAAACCTGTTTTCACCATAAAAAAACTAAGTATCAGTGTTAAGTCTCGTAACAATGTATGTTTGCCGAATCTTTAGAAAAGTTCTGGAAAAGTTTGGCTTTGCAGAATCCCAAGATTCGGCGCCGAATTTTCGATTCAGCAAAAGTTTGGCCCATCACTAGTTAAGGGGTAAAATATGGGGATGACAAGACTCGTCATGTGGAGGCGAGTTCTTCGGTTGCTTATCGAACCCTTGCGGTGGCTCCGTTAGCATGCTACTACTGAAGACTACTGAAGGGATTAAATACCGTCTGGAAATGATGGGACGAAGAGAGCCCAGAATCGGAATCGGTGGCCATTAAGAAATGAAAATGAGTCTGATCAAAGATTGAATTCGATTGGATTATTATGTCTAAAGCAGGACTACTTCGTCAGTGTTGCCTGCAGGCCCTCTAACTTCTCCAAACAGTGGACATGTTTACGAAATATGGCATGAATGTTTATGAAACTAAATACCATGTACCTTTACTTCACCAATATAAAATAGTGCACTATCACAACAGAGAATCATATGCATTATATAGGTGGTCTTCATACTCTGCGTATCGGAATTTCTCTCGCGCACTCTTTTGCAATGCGGGTGTCAGCTTTTTTGAGGTAGTGCTCTGCCCGCCAGCCTTCGGGTCCTAGTTCATCATAGCTGAGACAGAGTATAGTATTAATAATGTTTTGCACTGATTTTGTATTTTTACCTTTTCAATGTTCGTGCTTTTGTAGTTATGTTAGTGTCCACTTCTCCCTCTAATGTCTTTGGGCCCCAGAGGATACTAAATAGAATTAAATTAAACATTTTGTCCCTCAGGGTTGCATCACAAGGGGTGTAAAGTGTCTCTGCTAAATCCTAGACAACCAAGGTAAAATATAAAAAACAATTATGTTTCTTAATCCTACAGATCAAGCTGGGAGTCAGTGAACATGCAGCGTGTTTCGAACTGGGCTGGTTGTTTATGCGTGAGCTTGGGAGTCTTGCTAAATTTAGGGGGAAGCTTTTCCACGTTAAAGTTAGCGCAGAAACGTAAATTGGCGTGCAATTATACACCAGTTCAATTTCTTAGCTAAATTTAGTGGCAAAATTTGAATTGGGTTCACAGTTTTATATACAAATTCAATCTTTCCTCTAAGCTACTTGTCAGGAAAACACTTCTCAATGAGTTAGCCTGGTGCACTTCTGCATTACACTTTTGCACTGTGCTTTTGAGTTACACTTTTTTAGAGAACATTTTTTTTCTTTATAAAACCCTTAGCCCTAAGCAAATACCGTGTAAAAATTGTTTTGTGTTCGACCGAACAACTACCAGATAAAAGCAGATCACTGGTGTAACATAGACTTTGGTTCTTGAGCCTGTTATTTTTCCGTAATCTCGGCAGAGCTGTCTTTAGAAGTAGCTCCCAAAACCGTTGTTTGCAGGATGGTGCCACAGCACTGTGGATAGCCTCGCAGATGGGCCACACGGCGGTTGTGGCCGAACTACTGGCCCACGGGGCAGAGGTGGATTCGACGAGACACGTGAGTTTGACCCGCTGACCGTAATAAGCTGGCAGCGAACATTAGCTGCTTTTAGTACTCTTGCCACTTAGATTTCGCCATGGACACTTACCACACTTCAACGCCGTACCTCTAGTTTTTCCACGTTTTTCTGCACAGTTCTAGGTAGACTTTGATACTGTCAGTGTGGTGAAATTATCATTCACATTTAGCTTTGAATAATATTCCACACTGATGAGTGCAGTGTGAACAACCACGGGAAAGAGTTGAGCACGTTGGTTACACATATTTAGAAGACACCAGCTGAACAAACCAAGCATACAAATGTAAGGAGGATGCAGCTGGTAGTCCAGCGGTTGAATGCGTCTCTCTCGTCCTCCTTATATTTGTGTGCTTGGTTTGTTCAGCTGGTGTCTTCTAAACAGTGTGAACAAGTTCTCACTCTGAATTTGTGCTAACTATATTGTGGTTTGTAGTGCAGGGCACAAGAATTGTCATTTCATTAAGATTATTATTTTTTCATGACTAAAAGGCAGTTATTGAAACTAGTAGTGATGGAATGTGTGCATCTGCAGCACTAACTCAAGCAGCAACATTCATAGATTGACACCATCTCACATAACAGAAGTGCAAGCGTCAAAAGTCCTGCGGCGTACCGACATGGATAGGTCCTTTTCTCGTTGGGCCTTGAAGACGTATCCAGATGGTCCGGGTTTTTTCAAATCGCAGGACGGAGCAACCCCACTGTTCAAGGCAGCCCACAAAGGCTACGCGGGATTGGTCGAACTGCTGGTCAAGCGCGGTGCCTCGCTCGGCCTCCTCAAGGTTTGTCTCTTCTCTTACTCGAAAGGATGCTCCGCTCGGACAGTTTGTCCGAAAGGTTGCGAACAAGGCCCAAGGGTCGTCTCTAAAACCTCTTGTTGGTATATGGCTGTCATCGAGAGAACCAAAGGTCGGGCCTCTTTGGACCGATTGTTCTGCCGTTCACAGACTTGCATTATTGCGCGTGGCTAACACGCCTGGCTCATTTCTGCGCGAGACTGCGTGGCGTCACGAGGCGACAGAGGAGGCCGCGAACCTACTTACAGACTGCTAGTTGTACTTAGCTACCACCCTGTGCAAACAATGTAATTTGACTACTACAAGTCAATCTGTCGCGAAAGGCCTTTTGTTTGGCATATCAGCAAAAGCTGCGTGCTCAAGCCGTGCTGGCTTTTATCTCTCGTGACCTCAGAGTCACCATCCATCTATTCGGCTTGCGAGACAGTTTTGGAGTGGGCAGAAACTGTCCCCTACGTCTTGGAGTTTGGGCATGAAAAGGAGTTTCCAGTATGACGAGGGGCTTTCGACAACTTGCATACCTTGATCTGAACATACTATGAACCGGCACCTTCCCATACCTGAAATGGCTCAAGCTAACAATCTGTTTTGCAGATATAGAAAACCCATTAAGCAGTATGTACTAAACGCCTTATGATCTGCAATTACTATCTCAGCTTGTCGGCGCGCAGTAATTGTCCAGGACGAGTTCGACGGCTTTGCTGGTTTTCACGAGTGTTGCTCTATTTTTGTTTGTATTTCTTTTTCTGTTGGCTATTGTAACTAGGAGCTGGGACCATTTTAGGAGACCATTCAACTTTTTTTTTGCCTAGGTCCTCAGTCTGTTCTGTCAAAAATAAAATGACACGAAAGAACACATAAAATTAACAATTTGCCAGCTAGATGGCATGAGCTGCCACCGAATGCCTAAAGTGTAGTCATATTAATTGGTGTTATTCTGTTGCACCGCATGCAGAATGGGGAAAGTGCACTACATGCGGCAGCTCTGTTTGATCACCTGAATGTTGTCAAGCTCCTCATCGCTGCCGGTGCCGATCCAGAACTTAGGAATCAGGTGGGTGGGTGGTTTCCGAGGCCTTTTTGTCTTGGTGAATGGGAAATGGGATCATGTGCTGTCGAGGACATTAGTCAGACTGGGAGTGCTGGCTCCATTTGAGCTCGCGTGAACGGGACGCTGAACTCCTAACATCCTGCGAGGTCATGATGTCAGAATCACAAGACGTCACGGTATCAACCATCTAGTAACATTGTGTGTCAAGTTGTGTCAGCGACTCCCGTGTCACGTTACGAGACATCGGGTCATGCGACACCACGAGCGGACACTGCGGCATTGCACACAACGTCATCCCGTCACACTGCCCAGATTGGCGCACGTGTCGCCAATACGTCCTGCACATGGAACGTTTGGGCGACAGATCAAAAGAATGTCGTTTCTAGATGTCGCCCCTTGCCCGCAGGACGGCATGACCCCCCTGGACCTGGCCCACGACGCGTCCAACGTCCAGATCGTGGAGCACCTCCGGCAACACATCGCGTCGCGTCGTCTGCCAGACTCCAGCCGGGCTTCCTGACGGGCTGTGCAGACGCTCCGACAGACCGAAGGAAGCATTCTCAAAGCGACGGCTTCCTGACGATCCATGCGACGGAGTCGAAACCGCGGCGGCACGGAGAACGGACGGCTGCTTTTATACTCTGGCCATGTGTCTTTTTCTGGTCGCACTGGTCGCGTTTTGGGTTGGAACATTGTTTGGGAGCTGCAGCATTGGGTGACGGCCGGTTCACACGCTTGCGACTGATTTTAACGACCGGAAAGGCTAAAAACCAGTTTTTAAGTTTCCTGTGACTGCTTGCGACCATCTTGTAACCAGTCGCAAGGGGTTCGGAACCGGTTTTCGGCCCCTCCAATCGTAGACGGTCGCAAGTGCGCGAGCCAGCCTTAAGGAGTTTCCCCATCACGTCGCGTCGTATCCGTCACTTCAACCAACAGCTCCTAGGCGGCGAAACCGTAATGCTGGAGTTTCCTTGTCACCCATATTCGGCACTTAGCTTGAGCTCGCTTCTACACCGATCGAGCACGATTCTCGGTCACACGTCGACGCAGCACTCGTGTAAAATACGTGCCTGCGCCGGCTTCGGGCAAATGGCGTAGCAAACCCAGTTCTACGGCCTCGCTGCGCAAGAGTTGTTGCTCCCACCCGAACCCGCTGCAATTCTCCATAGAGATATAGGTGGCAAACATGCATTTTTAAGTTCCAAGATTGAACTGCTTAGTAGTAAAAACTTTTACATTTTTTTTTTTTAAAGAACTGATGGTCGCTGCACGTTTATTTTCGTAAGATGACAGTAGTGGATGGAAGCTAGGGCGATTGAGATTGCGCAGTAGTTTCGTCAACTTTTAGATTTCGACGAAAAAATATTTTTGCGCAATTTCTAAGTGCAGAACCTTAAGAAAACTTGCTTCCCCCAATTGAGTAAACGTTGTGGAGACTTGCAACCGTCGAGCGACATTGCACGTTCGACCATTGTGGGAAGTTTTCGCTCCGAGAAAGGTTGAAGGAAAATGCGAGTTTGGTTTAACCCTCGGTGATTTTTTAAACTATGGGCCAGCATTTTGTGGGAATGAATTAATTACCATATTTTCCGGGCTATGGTTGTAGACTGTGCATGTTTGGAACTCGAAATTTTAGGCTGTGCGGACTATCTATGCATGCAGACTGTAAAGAATTTTGTTTTTCGAGATTGTTCATTATGACGTTACGAGACAGATTTTGTTAATGATGATTTATGTATAATACAAGCTTTTTTTTTTTGAGCTGAGAAAGCAGACATTTGTGAAGGTGCACCGTTTATGAGAAGATTTTCGTGTCTGCTAAGCACCGGGTGCTGATTGTGCACGGCGGGAAGACTATGCACTGAATGCAAACTAGCAAAAACTTTCTTTTTCGGCCTAATTTGGCTTTGGCAAACTATACATCGGGCGTGGACTATAGCCTGGAAAATATGGTATTGTAATGTAGCACCCGATACTGTGGTGCAGAAAAATTTAGAAACTTAAGTTGAAGGAAAAGATAGGAGACATTCTCCTACTGTCGTCTCTTCCTTCGGGTCGAAAATTCCGTAATCTTTACGCATTACAGTCTCGTGTGCTACATTATCACCAGCTCGCCTTTTATGAATGAATGTTGCCACTTTTACACCATTTTAAAAGCACACAGAAGTGTGATTTTTCGAAGACTAGCATTTATGTCTGTATTTATAAAGAGAAAACCACAACCCTTGTCTCTTTGTTTTGTTAATTTAGACAAAAAATTTTAGTTAAAAATACTGTTTTTAAATGTTCGTTTACAGTTAACGAGGAAACCTAAATATATTGGCACGAGCCTCGCCTTTGCAAGAGCTTCAGTCTTTTTTTTTAGCTAAACTGGGTCTGGATTGTTTCACACTTATGATTTGGTTACGGTTAGAGATGAGGTGTAAGTACCGTGGTTGCAACCCAAACATTCACGCTAGTGAAACACAGTATGGCAAACTATTTTGACCACTGTATATTAGCAGTAGAAAATCTTAGAAATTGATTGCAAAGAAGTAAGTGCTGGTAAGTGCAACATTAGTGTGTTGTCATGCATGATAAAGAAGTTGAGATAGAATGGGTCATTAGGGCAAACAATGACCGACTAAAGCAGGGAAATTCTTTTTAGATAATGCTAACGCAATTTTAATCATAGAAAATTTTGCATCCCTGAAGCAGTGTTTGTGAACATCTTGTTTGAGCTTCACAGAAAAAGAAAACGGTTTTAAAGAAAACGGTATTTTATGCGTGTATGCATGATGATGAGATGGTTCAATTCATGTTGCATGAAACAAATGAATGTGAGAGTACTATAAAACATTGCAATTGAAACTGTGGCATGTTCAAAATTACCACATAAACTCGCTGCAACAATCTCGAGATGTCGTACGAACTGAATCGTGTAAATATGGAGGCACTGCAAGCCACAATATAGGGCGCTTCTGATTTTACCTTATTTTTTGTCTTCTGCTTTGTTACTCTCTATGCTTCAGTACCTTTACATAGATTCGAAAAATGTAGCTCCTACCAAAACTCGGAAGGAAACCCGACGTTTCAAAACCAACTCGGTTTCTTCTTCAAGGGTGACTGAAAGCATGCAGAACAGCAGCAGCTCCTAACCTTTTCGTCTTCAAAAAAAGAAATTAAAAATTTGTAAAAAATCTTTTTTAGTTATGGAGACTAATTTTTTCAGCTTTCTCGTCGGGTCACGAAGGCCATGTGCGTTACACAGAGGGCAATAAGCCGAGACACCTGTTTAGGTTTCTTGGCGTATGCTGGAATTGCCACGATTCCAAGAAAAGTATTCTTTGGAAATTGGGCTCTGTGTCAACCACATGCGCGTTCGCGAAGTCAGTGCGATGGTTTAGGGCAGGGGTGGCCAGGCTGACCCGGCCTAAGAGCCACAAACAAAACCACGAAATTTCCAAGAGCTGCATGGAAGCAAACTTTTGTCCAGAGCAGTAAACAAAACTCTAACCAGTACCTTCAGTCTGTCCGAGTCAAAAGCAGTGGCACAAGACCAAACCGCAACCTATCTTTCGATTTAAAACTTGTCCCATTTCTCCTTTTGGGGAAGTGCCGGGGGGGGCGCAGGGGGGGAGAGCTGTGAGCCGCACTTTAACACGCAAAGAGTCGCAGCTTGGCCACCCCTGGTCTAGGGAATCGCAATGTTCGGCGATGGTGCTGCGCTCACTGTCAAACTTCAGCACGTCATTCTTGTGTTGGCGGATTCGCTCGGGAAAGTTCTTCGTCTCGTCGATGTAGGTTGCAGGGCACTCTGGGCAAGGAATGGTTTAAACCACGCCCTGTGCTTTTTCTTTCGGTAGATGGTCTTTCGATCTTGGCATAAACCTTCCAAGTAAGGACGTGGGCTTGTGGGCCACCAGAATACCTTCCTTTCCCAGTACTCGTGCGAGCGCTTCGCAGGTTCCCTTTACTTGGGGAAGGCTGATGCGCGTGACGCAGATCTAAAATTTCGGCGGATAAAATAAAACATTTTACTAGCCTCCCCAATTGTATGTTTCATATGACTGTTCCATTTTAGGGAATCCGCAAATAGCACTCCTAGGTTAACATACTCTGAATACAGTACATAAAACGGTCCCGTTGGTTAGGTAGCTTTGGGAATCGTGCAGCTTACTTCTCAAGAAACGAATGTTTGCATTTACTTAAATTTGGGCTCATTTTCTGTTGATTGCACCAAGAAGATAAAATATTTGTTGGTTTGTAATATGGCAAGGTCGTCTGACGTGTTTCACTGTATAATACGCAGTCATTGGTGAACAGTTTAATATGAGACTGTATATTTTCGGTGATGTCATTGATATATATCAGAAAAAGTAAAGGCCCCAAGACACTCCCTCGTGGCCCACCCAACGTACCCCGAGTTGGCGTTGATACTGTACCGTTTAAGACAACATGCTGCTCTCGGCCTTCTAAATAATTTCGTATCCAGTTTAGGACGTTTGAATATATGTTTAGGAAATTGTTTAGCAAAGCCAATTTATTCAATAATAACTGATGTGGGACCGTGTCAAATGCCTTTTGAAAGTCTAAGAACACACAGTCGACATATTTCCTGCTGTCTAGCGATCTGATATATGATTATAAAATTCTACCAGCTGGGTGTTGCAAGAGTAGCTGCTTCGAAAACCATGCTGTGAGGGGGAAAAGAAGTGTTCTGAATCGAGGAACGAGTAAAGGTTACTAAAATAAATAATGTGTTCAAACAACTTACATGAGATCAATGAACGAAATAGGGCAATAATTTTCATCACTGGCTTTAGATCCCGATTTAAAAACTGGTGTAACGTTTGCCATTTTCCAATTCATTGGAACCATCCCAGTCTTTAAAGATTCACTGAACATAACAAAAAGCTAATGCGCTACAGACCAGCACGCGGCCCCGACGTCACGCAGCTGTGATGGCGCTGTCGACGTCGCTGCTCATGCGCAGACGCTTCACTTCTCCCGAATTTGGTTTCTGCGCATGTGCAATGCCCACACCTGGTGTGGGCAAAGGAGCTCGTGAATAGCGTGTCGGTCTATAGATTCACTGCATTAAAGAAAAATAACAGAGGAAATGCCATCAGGTCCGACGGCCTCGGTTGCATCAATTCCGCGCAGCAACTTCACGATACCGTTCATGTCGACTGTAATGCTGCGCATTACGCTTTGCTGCGTTTGGTAAGTCACTGAAGATACCAGATGCCGAGAGTCTTCCAAAAATACCGACTTAAAATGCGAGTTAAAACATTCAACCTTCGCATTATCAGACACCACTGTACCACCATCAACTGTCAACGCATGGATAGAAGTGTCATCCTTTCTGTTCGTGTTAACAAACTTCCAGAATTCTTTAGGGTTTCTTTTTGGATTTTCGTGAAACTTGTCAAAAAACACTTTTTTGTTTAGTTTTATTTGCAATTTGAGAAGCTTATTGATTTCCTTGTACTTTTGCTCAGTTTGGACTGACCAACTTTTAGAAAGTTTTTTGTAAGCATATCTCGCTTTACCTACAAGTGTGGGGATTTTTTACATTAAACCAAGGTTTATTTTTTTTACGCTTCCTAATTTGTTTTGATGGAATATACACCTCCGCAAGCTCTAGTACTTCACTATTCTCCGATAGATGACTGAATGTATAAAAATAGGATTCAAGCTCTGCATCGATCACGCCATAATTACCTTTGTCGTACAAAAATACTTTCCGTGAGCACTCCGCTAGCTTTCACGTTCCGGGCTCAGAGAGCTTAGCAACAACCGCGCAGTGATCACTTATGCCGGGAAGTATAGTGACCTCGGATACAACACCAGGATAATTTGCATAGAATCAAATCCAAGACAGAATTCCCTCGTGTCGGTTTTTTAACATATTGTTCGAATCCAAATACACTAATCATGTCAGCAAACATTGAGTAAGTGCGGGGCTTAAAGAAGAAACCGAGTTGGTTTTGAAACGCTGGGTTTCCTTAGAAGTTTTGGTTACAGCTATATTGTTCGGACTTTAATTCTCACCCAACCAAGCAGATTTCTGCCGAATATCTTTACTTCCAACTCTGGTGGCGAAACGCATCTCCATGATAAATAACAGCGTCAATCTGCCAAGAGTGGATTTGTGTGCTATCATGTCGAAAGGTCTGAAATCTGTTTGAAGCGCTGTATTTTTGTAACGCATATGAACAGAGTTGCATATGTTTGTGAACCAGAACAGATGAATGTGCTTGGTCACTTAAGTCATCCCCCAGAAGATGGCGACAACACTGCCTCGGTGGCGCTAGGTGCTGCCCGATTCGAAGAGTTCAGTCATATTCTTCCTTCCATTCATCCATGTTTCTATTTCATCCACTTGTGTGACATTTGATGTTTTGGGTTGCTTGTATCTGCTTGTATTTCAATTCAGGCACACCTGCTTTGACTTTGAAGGACAGCTTTTTAGGTGATTGGCCCTAAGGCACACTTAAGTGGAGCATGCTCAGGCTTTTGCAAAGAAGTGTTAGTTTCATACCCAAGCACAGATTACATAAACATGAGCACCATTTTCACCTCTTAGTGAACTGCGTTCACAATGCAGATTGATCTTGCTTGGCAGCGCCACGGGTCCAAGACGTTCGTGCAGCATTGCAACATCATTTATTAGCGTTTAGAATAGAATGTATTATTGTAGTGTATGGTTGGTTGGGTGAATTTAAATTGGGTTTTTGCACACTAGTATGTGTGCACACTACTTTCCGCAGACGTAATTGGGAGGTGGGCATGCATCACTAAACTGTCGGTGTACTCAATTTTGCATGCTGAACATCAAACATAAAAATTATCACTTTTCTTGCACAGGACGGCCTATACTGTTTTCTTACACCTTGCAATGGACTGCAGCAAAGGCTACAAACCATTATAGTGCCATGAACGTATCACGCAACCGTGCGCACCATGTATCGCTGTGCCGCTCCTCAAGGTCACGGACACCCGCGCCAGCACTGGATCGACTGCAATGGCTCGTAGCACCTGCCGCGATCCATCGCAGGGTGAAGCGGAAGAAGTAAAGGGGCATTTTAGGTCACCAAGGTGTCCATTCTGGCAAAAGCACAAGGCAGTAGTTGCAGAAAAGTCCCACCATTTTCAGCTCTTTGACCAGGTATAGTTCCATCTAAAAAAAGCTTTAAAAAAAAGCAAAAAAAAAAAAAACCTTGATAAAAAAAAAGAAGAAAAAAAACGAGTTGTAGGTGAATTTTAGTGTTTTTATCCCATGAATCTGGACATCACGTTTGTTTTCCTTGAAGACATATCTAAAATGCGAAAAAAACATGAGAAACATTTGACCAGTCATTACATCATACCCAGATCTTTCGGCCGCTAAGCGTGTCGTTGCTCGTGTGGGTGGCGCATGCCATTGCGAGCTTGCCAGGTACGTTCCCTTGCACCGACACCAGTCGCAACGTCTTTTCTTGACCATTTTGAAAATGGCAAGGGTGCACACGCGTGGCTTTGAAAGGCGCTGAAGATGCGCAAGAGCGGAATGGAGACTCAAAAAAATCTCGATTCGACGGGAGCGAGGGGCTTCGGCGGTACTTTGAAAACTATTTTGTGCAGCCTCTGTGCACCAAATTGAAAAATAATTTTGATATTCATGATCTTGGAGGCCAAATAAAGATGATTTAACTGTTTCTTGCCTCAAATACGGAACCGCTTCAGTTTCCCTTTAACGGCGAGGGCCCACCACTCCGCCACATTTGGAAGATCATGGTGCACCCGATCAACTATCTGGTGTATGTCGTCGGATTGACAGACACGCATCAACATAAATCGGCACCCCCCCCACCCCCCCTTCTTCCCCGTCAATTATTGTATGCTCATCTTCAACAACAATGTGGATGCAATTGACCCGAGAAACAGCCTCCGAGTAAAGCGCAGGCAGCGGCGGCGGCGGTTCTTGGGCAAACCGGCGACTTGAGCGCAACTTCTAGCGGTAACAGATGCAACCTTTCCCTTATATTTATGCTCGCCGACAGACTAATAAAAGGCGCAAGGCGTGGTTTATTGTGTTCACGCTCTATTTTTTGACAATCTCTCTGGCTACAGTACCATAACGAGCTGCTTAATAATTGCCAGAAGTGATTGTTTACTCTGATCACCACTATCCAGTCTCGGGCGTTTGTGAGTTTCAGAAATAAAAACAAAAGACCGTCCCAGAAGATGAAAAAGAATGCTTTTTTTTTTTTTTTTTATATATATACTTTTGGCAAACAGAATTAACTTCTCCACGGAAAGCTGCAGCGCGGGCATCCGTCGATGGGACTGGCACCCAGGCGGAAGACTTGGTTGGCGCAGTGGTAGTGCAGCTTGACGGTGCAGTTTGGGTTTGCGCACGTCTGCCCCTGGAATGCAACCGGCACGGTGAAGAAGTGAGAGACTTCCACAAGGAAATCGGTGCACCCTAACCCTACGAATAAAGTCGGGAGAGGGATTAGCGTGACGCGGCGTCGCACGACTCGACCATTAATTACGTGACCGTGTCGTGCGACGCGACCGACATGTCTACGACACGCATCTGCGAAGTGGTGCTGTATGTTTTGGGTTTTCACTTTGGAACGGTCCCTGCACGTGCAGATGCCAGCATGTGCAATGCACGTGACCACCCTCGCATCATGCTCCTTTGCACTGGGAAACTCGCAGCCCTCGAGCTAGAAGTTTGCGTACCTTGAGGCAGGTCTGTTTGCACATGTGACACTTGGGTAGCTCGTCGCCAAACTGCTGCTGCAGGTACGTGTCCATCTCAGCGAGACCTAGGGGACTCAAACTGAGGCGTCCCCCGTCCTGGAATGAAAACGGTAACTAAAAGCCAACGAAAACTGAATGCCATAGCCACTGACAAGGCGCAACTTCATTACTACAGCAGCGGCAGCAAATGGCAATTAGAAAAACAAAAAAGCTGCCATTTACAAGCACGGGGGTTCTCACTTCAGACCCGTCTCTCGGCACGGCTGTTTCCTCCTGCACGAAATCGACCGAGAAAAATAAGTACGCAAGACAAACCCTGCGAAGACTGTACTCCTTTATCCACTGTTTATGTTCTTGAGCCATCTGCTTTCAACAACCACGAGTAAGTTGACCAGCCCATCATTTTGGTGATTTCGTTGACAATAAAGTGAAAAGTGTGTTGCGCATCTATTTGTCCCTCTTGGCAGTTTCAAAACGGAGGCCCTTACCTGCATCAAACAGCCGAGTTCCAGCCAACGCTCGATCAAATCTTCGGCCATGCCTATCGACAGCCTGCAGTTGTCGAGACCACTGGCGATGTTGAGAGCTTCAGTCGACTGTATTGTTCCGGTGTTCGACTCCGCTATTTGCTGCACCTGCAATTAATTTTTTTATTACGGTATCTGTCTTGGGAGCCCATCTGTTTATGCTACACAAGTGCAACAATGTTTGCAAATGAATTTTGATGAGATGTCAATACGCAGTTACGGGTGGTTTAAACATCTGCGGTTGGGTAGTACCGGACATTACAACTTCTCACGTTTCACCGAAACGTGTTGCACAGACCTCAGTTGCTAGGACGACCTGTAGTAGCATCTTGACATAAGCGATTCTAACGCAGTCAGTTGAACTCAAGACTCAAATGTGTGAACCAGTCATTAAAGTCACAATGCTAGATAAACGGACAATTGCACGACGTGTGGTTAGGATTGGGTCCCTATGGTCAATACTGTCGAAAGATGGTGGCACGGCTGCAAGCCCGAAATGATCCCACAATAACAAAGGCTGCCAGACGTAAGGAAGCAAACTCACAATTCAGCCTAGCGGCTGCGAATCACTGACCATGTCGACAAGAATGGAATACACCGCAAAAAGTCCCAAGCAAAGCACGAAGCAGGAAGGAAGTGAAAATTGTACGAAGAACTTGAGAAGGAACCTCCAAGAATCCTCAGAGTGGCAGCTGTTAATTTGCTGGGAGACTGATCCTTGGGGACCCCAAGAAAGCCAAACAACATGTTACAATTTTTTCACTTCCAGTAAATACGGCTCAGAATAGATCCTCGACATTCATACTATTCCACAAAAATATGCATCATATAGTTTTTTTATTTCATGCACTAGCAGTTGCAGGCTATGACTGGAGAAACCCTAGCAGCATTCATTACCTCAACCCACAGCCAGAACAAGCGGCCACGTGACCCGGTGGCAATCGTATCCCAGCAAAGTTCATCGTGGTCATGTGTTGGAATCGGCAACGCACAGGGCACACCCCGCGTTCGTGCCCCGTGCATTGGACGACAGGAATCGGGCAATTACCGTCGCCCTAGAGATTAGACGCGAGCCCCGACCGAAATGTACGCCAAGGCTTCTAATTTAAATGAACCCACGTTCAGTGCTCGCGCAGTGCTTGCGTCAAATCCGTAAGCAGCATTCAACTACCGTCGCCCCGATGTGATCACCGCAATACATTGCGGTTCCCACGAATATGTCGACAAGTTTTGCGAAAGAAAACGTCTGCTCCCATCCTTGGCATTGCACCGCGACAAAAGAAGCTCCTGGCTCGGCGGCGCTGTGTGTCGGTATACTTGCGTCAGTATGCTTGTACAAAGTGCACAACTTTCAGATCGGACCTCTCCAAGTTCGACCGCAGCCGACGTTGGAGCCAACCGAGCGGCGCCAAAAGTGCGTCGTCACGATGCCCATTCTTTTTGTGGGTTGGCCATCGCCGGCTAGACCGACGAGACGCACAGAAAAAGCGCAGGACTACGGCGCATTCACCGCACACAATTGTTTTAACCGGCGACAGCAAACGCACAAAGACGACGGGCGTCACGACGACGCACTTTTGGGGCTGTTCGATTGGCTCTGTTAAGATGTGGCGTGGGCCGCGGCCGGATTTGAAGCGAAACGGTGTCTCGTACGGACCCTTAAAAAGCCGTACAGACAACCGATAAAGATCCCAGGGCTGACCTTACAGCCCGGTTCCATTCGTCTGCAGTTGCCAACATGCAAGTTACTCTCAAAGAGAAAAAAAAAAAAAGAAAGCCCACTTACAAGTTTTTTGAAATAGGTCATCTCATTTCCCGAGAACATTGTGGCACACTTTGACAGATCGTTGTCCTTGAGGTTGACGAGCGCATAGAAGCGTTGGCCGTCGTCCTCGCTCACGCCGTGTTTTATCCTCATGCTGAACGGCACAATTTTCCCGTTGATGTCCGATACGAACCTTGTCAGGGAGTCGTCATCTTTGGTGGCGTTGCATGGCACTGGAATGAACGGGAGCGGTAGGTTATACGACGCCTTGTAGCACACGGTAAAGGACCTCGCTGTAGACTGTATCGAACAAATCATGGACACTGTAGACTAATATTGAACAAATCATGGCCCAGGGAAGGGAAACGAACAGTCGTCATTGACGTCGCGCCTTTCTGCATAAAGCTTCAATATCCTGTAAACCTTTTCCTTTCTTTTTTAATGGGCCTAAAAAATTATGGTCCCAAACTCAAGTTTTGGGATGTTTCATGCATACTCAATTCAATGAGACAGAAAATAAGGGGTCCCTATCATTTTGTCGAAACTCGTTTCGTGGACAACTTTTCATGAACACATGTTTTGTCAACATGAACGTTTCGTCAACACTTGTTACACGAATTGTACACTGTACGGACATTTTGTCACGCGTGTATCACTAAGGTGCATGCTAACAACCCCCCCCCCCCCCCCGCCTGTGCTCACGCAGTTTCGCGGCGACTCATTACACTAATGTTAACCTACCTGACTGACTCGTACACGCCGCTTCATGGCGTCAGTCTCATGCAGCTTATTACAGAAAAAAGTTAATCTTAGCTGTGGATGAAATGTCATTCGATGAACTGATTGCCACCGGAAAATAAGCATGCCGCACTTGCGCCTCTTTACAATGTGACGAGTTTTTTGTCGGGTATTTTAGTATCATTCTCCATAATGACAGGTGCATGAGGGCATATAGGTGTTCGCACTGGCCGTTCACCTTAAAAAAAAAAAAAAAAATAATAAAACAACCCAAAGCCTTAGGATCATAAATCTTTGCGGCCAAGCAGAAGTGTTTTTAAGGCACACACTGCACACTTCCGTGGCCGCCGTGGTCCTAAGCGGAAGAGAGGGAAAAACAAAAACAGCGAAGATGCAGCTTGCAGAAGTATCAGCAGGAGCTGCCACTTGAAGTATGAAATAAAGCTCCTCAAATATGCACTTGTTGCCAGTTGTGCATATCAGATGCGATAGTAAACACAACTATGTGCAGCTATACTAATACTGAATGGAGCATTTCAAAGAACTCACATTCCCTCCAATTTATTCATATTATAGGTCCTCACGAAAATAAAACCATTCAAAGACGAAGCTAAAAACAAAAACTCGAGCATGTTCCCTCGAACAACCCTTTCACTATATGAGTCCGTGTGCACTGTACGGTGGCAATCAGTTCATCGAACAACATTTTATCCACAGATAGTTTCATTCACAGCTCAGATTAGCTTTTTTTTCTGTAATAAGCTGCATGAGACTGTCGCCACGAAGCAACGTATACGGGTCGGTAAGGCAGGTTAAGATTTTTGTAATGTGCTGCCGCATACTATCGCCATGAAGCAGCATGAACGCTGGCAGGGATGGTGGGTTAACGCGCACCCCAGTGATCAGGCACGGAGCCAGGGGGGGGACCCCCCCCCCCCCCCAAAAAAATTTTCCATTTTGCTGGGATTTCCTCTTCCCCCTCCTCCTCAAACAGCATTTTTCCCTCCTCCCTCCCCCCCTCCCCCCCCCCGCCCGAAACAAAATCCTGGCTACGTGCCTGCCAGCGATACACGCGTGACGAAATATCCCTATTGCCCCAGTAGCACCCAATGTTGTGCGAACATTCCCTGGATGTTCTGAATGTTGAAGGCACGTTAAAACACCATTTGGAACGTTCTAGGAACATTCGTATGGAAACATTCACTACAAGGTAAGCTGCTCAATATTCTGGGAATGTTTGATGGCGAACATTTGTATGCACAATGTTCTTGGAATGTTCCCCTTCGAACATTCACATGCGCAACATTCTTGGAACGTTTGCTTGCGAACATTCCTAGAATTTTCACAGGTGACGCCAATTTTACGGAGCTCTCATGCAAACTGTGGTTCAAAACCCCATCCACTATATGCCACCTTGTGCCAAAAATATGCAAAATAAGTGGAGTTTTTTGAAAACTTGGCATAAGGGATCAGTCTTATCTTATATGAGTCTACCGAGGAATAAGGTGTAGGAGAAAAGCAATGGTTTTCAAAACTTGGTAATGAACTTGGCACTCGCTGCGTATGCAGAGGGGCAGTTTTGAATGGACCAGATTTTTCGTATCTGAGGTTTAAAAGTTTGAAATGGCATTTCGCAGTTGAAGTGAAGAATCGGTTATGTATACAGCACATTTTGAATGAAAGAAGTTGACAAGTGACAGGTAGGCGTAAACTGTCATCAGTACGTGATCAGGCTGGTGCGCTGGGAAAGTGGCTAGCTTGTGCTTGCACCTTCTAAAAATCGGTTTTGATTAATCATTATCGCCCTGTGAGAAGCTTTATCACATTCATTTACGTAGTGTGGCTCATTGGGGCTGTAGCCTAAGCAAGCCTAAGGCAAGGAATCTTTGTAAATAGTCCTCAGAGAATGTTCCCTGAATGTAGCAATGCACACACACCACATTCTGAGGAGATTGAAAGGATGTCCCTGCATAAATTTGCAACATTTCGAGAAAGCTACAGAAGTTCTTTTCTGAGAACATTCTTAGAACCTTAAGTTTTTAGGATATTTGAATGTGAATGCAGGAGTCAAAGAAAGAATAAAAACACTTAAGGACAAGGACATACAGCACAGTTCTTTCATGTCCTTGTCCCTAAGTGTTTTTATTCTTTCTTTGACTGCTGTATTTTCACCAACACACTCTTTAATCTTTCTTTGAATGTGAATGCCCTGGTAATGTTCTATGTCATTTTCAGAACATTCTAAGAATGTCCCTTAGAAAACATACCCTGAATGTAGCGATAAGTGCCTGTGCTACATTCTGACAAAGTTGATAGAATGTTCTTACGTAAATTTGCAACATTACAAGAATGTTGCTTATATTCTTTTGAACATTCCCGGAATGTTCTTAGAACGTTCTCGTGCTACATGGGTGCGTGCAATTCGCGTAACGAGTGTTGATCAAATTTTTTTCGGTCGCGCACCAGTCACTTTGATGCAGACTTGTACGTAACTTAAATACTCTACTCAAGATCCTGTATCTTAAATATCTTTGTGAGTAACTTGGTATCTTGCAAATGCTTTCGAACGTCAGTATTTAGTACTCTAACTTAAATACTTTTTCAAGTAACTTTTACTCATTTTAAAGTTACCTTTAAGTTACTTTCTATTTTTTTTATTTTCTTTAGAGGCGGGAAGCTTGGAAAATAATGAACTCCAGTTATTTTGGCTAGGCGCCCTGCCATTGCAGATACATTTCGTGCCAGGTAATACAGTGCACTTTCGTGCTTCTGCTGAAAGAGGTGACACTGGGAAGCAGGTGTCGCAGCATCAAGCTGAGCGGACGCGTGTCGTCTCTTCTAACTGGGCAAAATGTCAAAGCACATTTTCTTACATAATGTGGCCAAGCCCAAGAGCACCAGAGATTCCGAAGCTGAAGGGCATGCGGGTGAAAGCATTGATGTGTACAAGGCTACAAGCCAGAGGGAGGGCACTTCTGTCGGAGAGAGGATGGGTTCTACAAGTTTCTCGTAAGAGTCGGCAGTAAACCAGAGTTTATTTCTCTATGTTATGGAGTGAAAGCATATAAAAGAAAGCCTTTCAGCTTCAGAAATGCCTTTGCATCTGCATGCAAATTGCACACACTGCTTGTTTGTTTCACTAGGCTCTCTTCGCACACAAACTCGTAAGATTGCAGAGAAAATTGTAACTTGAGAGTATCTTGAAAGTAACGAGTTACTTTTTTTTGTAGTATTTTGTACTTTACTCCATTACTTTACCAATCTGAGTATTTAGTACTCTGCTCAGTTACTATTTTTCGTGACACTCAGTAACTTAACTTAAATACTTTTAGTGAGTATCTTGTACAAGCCTGCCTAGATGTAAAACGGTTGAAGTGCAGGCGAGGTGGTGTAAGTTATGCATGATGATTTATACATATGGATGTGTTTGTCCTTTGTTCCCTTTCTCAAGATATTATATTGTTGTCAATCTTATCCAGCTCACTTGCACTTTTGCTTTAATTGCATTATAATCTTCAGCTTAAAATGCAGGCCTTCATCCTTCCTTGTGTAAGACTGGTGGCAACTAATAAAACCCCGTTTGCTCTACTGGCAAGAGCGCTCCACTGGAAATGGAGAGGTCCTTGGTTCGATACCAGGAGCAGGCGGATGTTTTCGGCCACACCAGTCACCTAGCTGTGTTTGGAGATTTGTGCTCGTCCTTTGTCCCCTTTCTCCAGGGATTATTGTTGTCATCGACGAAACGTTCGTGTCGACGGAACGTGTGTCCATGAAAAGTTGTCCGTTCGACGAAACGATAGGGACCCATTTTAATTTTCGTAGTGTGTAGAGTACCGTCCGACAGCACTCTTGCAGAGGGTTCAAGTGCCGTCCGACAGTATTCCACTTACGCGTTCAAGTGCCGTCCGAAAGTCTCGCATAAGACGAGTTCTCAAAACGAATTTCTCGAAGCGGAGAGTGTTTGATCTTCTTATTTGGGGTCATTCTGGGGAAGGTGCGCGAGGGACAATTTGTTTAGGCGAGTCCGGGACGGGGGACTCGGATTGTCCCACCTGTTTCTCCGTCAGGTAGTAAATAGATTTTTGTTTTTTTGGGACACTTCCGACCCTTTTCTAAGAACTGTGTGTCAGCTAAGGTTGGCGCAAGTGCTGCCTCAGCTGATAGTGTCATCCACAAAGTGTATACCCGGTCATGTCCGTGCTTATTTCAGAGAAATTGTAAGCTCTTTTCAATTCTTGCAGACACGTTTTTCTATGGATTATTTAAAGGGGCCCTGCAAGCACGTTTTTACTGGTTTTTAATTTGCACCAAACCTGAGCGCACTGACCGTAGTAACTTAATGTAACTTTTCTTTTCTCGAATTTCGCTTTATTTTAAAAGTTATAGGCAAATAAAAATTACAAAAACAAGCAAAAAATAACCTCCCTCATGACGTCCTTGGTTGCTTGAGTGGCCGTGAACTATAGGAGGGATAGTGAGCTCAGCGAGCGATCACGGCTGCCGCACTCTGAGTCGACGGCGCGAGAGGGCGCCACTAAGGCGTGTTCTGGATAGGACGTGTACAGCGAGCAGCCAGAGCGGCTCTCATTGCATTTGCTGCGCGATTTAACACTAATTCGGCATGACACTTCATTGGCCACAAACGACAGCAAAACGGGGTAAGATCAGTTCAGAATGTCAGTCCCTTTGCGCTGCCGTACCGCGAAATGACCAAAACGCAAGACAAAGCTACTCGCTGAAGGCCTTCGGAACGCTCGGAGCCGGTCGGATCCTCCAGTCCGTAAACGACCGCAGCGCCGCCGCGTAAATCCGGGACCTTTCCATGTCGGTGCCTGATCCCACTACTCTTTTCTAGTATGCGCCGCCTTTTCCACCGGTTGGTGGCGGCTATGTCGACGGGTCATTTCTTGTTTCAGTACTTTATAAACTGCATTTATTTCTTTTCTGATCTAAAATACTGAACAATAACTACTTTTATCAGTAATTGAAACGGTTCGCGCCACTTATATTTTGTATTTCGACTAAAAAAAAAGCTTTTAGCGGCTCTGACCACTAGTAAGTCCAGGACCAAAGACGTCACATTTCGCGCGCTTTCGGTACTGCGGGTCGCCCCCGTCGGTGGAGGAGGTTTCCGCGTCGTCTGGTTAAAATATGATGCACTGATATTTAGTTACTCTCTCCGTGCCCGCTGGCTTGCCCGAACCCCAAGAGACTTGGAAACCGCAAAGAAGGTAGACGCTTAAATATGATTGCAGGGCCCCTTTAAGTACCGTTAAACGTAAAAAGCTATATAAAGATTTGAAAAGCAGCTTATTTTCTGTACCGAGGTACAGAGCCATATACTGTGAAGGCCCAGGGCAGGATGTTTTGAAAAGAGTGAAGAGGATGCCAGTTAAGCCGGGGGTTAAGATTTTCTTTTTTAAACTTCATACCGGAATGTTATCAGTTAGAACATATTTAGAAAGAATAGACAGTTTTGTCCCTTGGGGAACAAACTGTTACACTTGCAAAGTCCCCGAGACTATTGAACATGTTTTTTTACATTGTTGGGAGGCAGTATTTTTCTGGGATGTGCTCCAAAGAACCCTACACAAAGATTTTCCTTTAGACCAACACGGTATTAGATTTTTGGCAATAGATAATGAAGGAGGGGTGCCATTTGATTTGCTAATGCTTCTGGCCCTTCACAGTCCATGGCTCTCCCGCACCGCGAGGCTCCATAACGATGCCGATGCTAGACCGGCAAGGATGTATTTTCGCCAAAGCGTTGTGGCGTACGTAGAATATTTAAAAACAGAAGCTGATGTACCAGATTGGGTATCCAGAATCGAACCGTTAGAAATGTTGAGAGACTTTTGATGTGACGTCAACCATCGAAGGGATGATTGTTTCATACTTCCTTTTCATTTGTATATAATTGACATGTAACCATGTGTGCGTAATGTAAATATGTGTGTGTGTGTTTTCGGTTTAAAAAATCAGGTAATAAAGAAAAAAAAAAAAAAAAAAGAAAGATTGTATAGCTTAGTGGTAAGATGCCTGTCTCACAAGCAGGCGATCCCGGGTTCGATCCCCGGTGTGGGCTTAATTTTTTTTGTTTTTGTTTTCTCGAATATTTTATTTTGCCGATGCATTTGGCGATGTTTACATTTATTTTTTTTCACGATTAACACAGGAAAAAACGAATGTTTCCGCCGAAATTTCGCTGAACGAAGCGGTATGGGATTTCGTTTCCGGAGGTGCATCGGGTACAGCGGGGCTTGGTTTGCCGGCTGGACGCCGCGAAGCGGCGTGTACGACGGGGCCAAATCGGTCAATAGTTTTGTAATTAGCAGCCGCATATTGTCGCCGCGAAGCGGCGTGAACGCAGGCGGGGGGGAGTAGGGGGGGAGTGATAACGAGGTCCCCAGTGATACACGCACCGTGACGGCACTTGTAGGCCTGATTGGAGTGCCGTGTGCCGTCGGACGGCACTGTAGATACAGCCTTTAATTTTTGCCCTTGTGTTCGGCCTATCGTTCAGCGCCTCAAGAGCGCGTGAACTCGGGTTACAACGTTCGAAGCTGACCGAAAGCCGTACAAGACACGGTTTCTCAATCAGAGAGACTTGGAAAATGGCTCACCTCGGTTTTTCTCGTGACAGAACTCGAGCACTGCTTTGATCTCCGACAACGAAAGTATTTTCCGGGTCAACATTATTTGCAGGAACAGTCGATGCTCGTCGCCATATCGAGTCATTTTGTTACAAAAACGACAAAAACCACGCACAAGAACTGAAACTGTAGCTAAACCACCGTAGATTGCAGCTTCACGTGCTGTTTTCGCTGTTCCCGTGGACTTCCCTTTTCGCGCGCTTGTTGGTGGCTCGTGGTTTGTTTGTTGGTGGTCGTCGCCCTGGTCGGCCCGTGGAGTGCGTTCGTTTCTTCGATTCTCGCATTCTTGCGCTCTAATGACGTCATAGAAGCCGTAGATGGATAAATCGGATAAATCGATGGTAATCTGGTAAACACGGCTCTGATGGTAATCACCAGTAATTGCTGTGCGTTTTGTAATGGGTGGTAGCTTGCGCCATCTAGCCAAAAATGATCGTTACATGTGATCTCTATCGTGGCCTCCGCGATCTGCTGCCGGCGGCGCTGGCAGCAGATCAGTTGCTAATGGATCAGTTGCTGACGCATTAGCTCCTCCCGCATGGAATACGCGGCAAAGAAGTTTGTCACATCGCGGCAAATTCAGGCAATTGATTAATTAGTTGATTATCCAATTTTTACTAAGAATTATTTACAAATGTAAAATTGCTCGCTGAAAAGTGCATCACACATTATGCACAATTGGGACCGAAAAATTAAACATACCAACGGTAGGAATTCATAGCAGCTGTATACCTAATTTTTTGCGAAAGAGAATTTGCTGCGACTGGTTTTGCTCGCGAAAACCTGGTGTGCAAGGTGGTGCTTCGAAACACTGCATCAGGATGGATACACTGAGGTTCGAGGACTGACCAATGTAAGACCGCTCGCCACGAAGTAGGACATGACGTTTCGGCGAGCCATTCCGGAAGACGGGAAACTTGTCATCACGTTTTGCGATAATCGGGATGCCGTATTGTTCCCCATAAGACGGCTTGGATACAAAGTTATAAACATCCTCAAAATCGGCATAAAATTTCGTGGTGCTCACCTAGAATTCCTCAAACGACCCAAAAAAAAAGGAACGATTTGAGAATTCTAAGTTCGGAAAATGTTTAATGTTGATTGTCATGACTGATGAAGCTTTACTCAAGAAATAAAGCAATCGTCTCCACTTTCAACGTGTTTATCTGCACGTTTTACGCTCAAAAAGCAAAGCACGAAAAGTGTTTCGTTGACAACTCCAGTGCCACTAGGAAACAAGTTTCCTTGTCCCCATGTTCTGCGTCGTGTCCACCAGGTGGGATGGCGGACTCTGACAAACAGGCTGTCTCTCGTTGTCAAGTGTCGCTGTCGTTTGTTGCTGTTTTGTCGCTCTAGTGGGACGTGGCTATTAGGCTAGGTGGCGCAAGCTACCACTTGTTACAAAGGGTACAGCCATTTACACTTATCCATCCATTCAGGGGGAATTCCTCTAGCTGCCTTGCTTTCATTGCCCTCGTGGACAATGAAAGCAAGGCCCATAGCTTTCAGTTACAAAATATAGTACAAATCCAACTCCAACTCCAAGTACAAATAATACGGTCCAGACTAGAAACCTGAAGTGTTTTTTATCCCGACTCAGAAGTACAATGACTTGTACTGATTGAATGCTGATGAGTTAAACGATTGATTGTGAATGACCCGAGATTTGCAAGGAAACTGGGATGGCATTTTAGGGGCGAAGCTCCTTAGGGTCTAGCCTTGTCCGGCGTCCGTGCTCACATCGATTGCACTGCCTCCGGGATCGGCCCACTTTAAGAAAACAACGTACGCCCGCACGGGGGTTCCAACTCAGGACCGCTTGCTTAAGAGGCAGACGTCTTAACCACTACGCTACACTCCAACGTTGTATGTAGCTGCTCAACGTCTATACAGGAGAGGGCGCTGCGGTCAAATGCTCAACCGCATATATAACCACGATCCATACCACACATCCTCTTTCTGACGCGGACCGTTGACTTAAGCGGTAAAGATGCGTTCCCAAAGCTTCTAGCGGATCCAAGCTGATCCGCTAGAGCCACTGACTCTGCATGTCACCGACCATAAAGCAGCAATAATGAAGTCGAAACGCTACCCGGAGCTCGGCACTACCTATGAGCAATAAAAAAAATATCAGCACCATCAGCAGTACCTATGAACAATAAAATCAGTATCATCAGCACTACCACAGCTTCGCCCCAATCAACATCATTCACCACGTGGAGATGTGGCCACATTTTTTAGGACTATTGACCTTCAACACTTACCAAACTTATAGTTGTATATTACCGTCTTTTTTATATTTTTTGCATTGGGAGATTGAAATATAGTTTAGCGAATAAATCCAAATTGACAAAAATTTTATGGGTGGGCGTTTTTCTGGGTTTATTCGACAACACAGAATCCTAGTATTCTTAGGCATTCAGTTCACTTCTATCAGATGTCAAACTTCCTGATCATTATCCAATTCAACTAAAAGCAAAAAAACAAAAAAAAAACAGTCATTTTCAAGTTACTTGAAACCCTTAAAGGTCGAGCACTAAGTCGCTTGGAATGATTTCATATTGCGAATAACTTAAAAATTTTCAAGATTTTGCATCATGACCCTTTAACTAAAGCAGAAACGTGCCTAGTGTTCTTCAGATACACTAGAAAAAAAAAAGTCACAAAACACTACGCAAACATGTCCCATATGGTCAAATTGCTCGATCACAGTGCTTGCACGCAACCTACTGTCTCATGGAAGCAGTTCACCAACTGACAAGGCCTAAAACCCCTCCCTTTCTTGATACCGTGACCTCCGTTCGAAATCGGGATGCCGATTCAAACACCTTAGCCCTAATCTCTAAAATGACAAACTTTATTGAAAATAAAAACAAACAAACATTAAAAGTGATATGCTGAAAGACGCAAGAAAAAAAAAAAAGAAAAAAAAAGAGGGAAAAGTGCTTGAACTTTAGGCGCAATACGAAAACGGACAAATAATAATAATAATAATATATCTTATTTCCATCACACTCGATGGCGGCGACCAAGGGAAAAAGCTGCATACACAGCTTGACGAGCCCTTGACTATTTACAGTGCACGGCGACGGAACACAACAGGAAAAACAAAAAACAAAAAAAGAGAAAAAAAAACACACACACACACACCAGAGGATGCAATACGCAAAAATTCACCATGGCAGATAAAGCAATATAATCAAATACGAAAACAGTGATTTTAACTAGTTATCATGACTACCCATAATATATAATGAACGGATTTCCCCTATTGACATTTTATTCCAGTCAAAGTTTTCCGATTCATTACGATTTATTAAATTAGGAATATTGTGCCTCAGCATTTGAGTAACATAATTTGTTCTTGGCGTGACCACCCCCCAACATTCAGCGCCACGAGTAGGATAAATAATAATATTTTTGGAGAGGCGGCCAAGGGTTACTAGAAAGTTTGTGTTCCTAATTAGCTCTATCTTAAGGCTTGTACTCAGCCTGTAAGAGTACAAAGTGTGCACATTGATAATGCGGAACTTTTTGAATAGGTCGGATGTATGCGACTGAAATGAGACATCGGCTATGGCTCTTATTGCTTTTTTTTTTGTAACAAATGTATCCTCTCAAGATTCGTTGAAGTTGCGGTACCCCAAACTAAATTACAATAATTTAAGTGTGAGTAGAACAAGGAATTATAAACTAGTAACTTGACGTGTATCGATAAGGTATTACGATGGCGGTTTAGCATGCCGACAGTTCTAGACAGCTTTGTAATAAGGTAGTTAACATGTTCATCCCACGACATATTATCCGAAAAAATGACGCCTAGAATTTTAAAGGAATTTACAATCTCAATCTTGGTTGAGTCTAAACTAAGATCTCTCGTAATGTTGATTATTTTGTTTTTAGGGCGAAAGAGCACTGCTTCTGATTTTTCTGTGTTTATTTGAAGCGCATTATATGTACTCCACAAATTCAACCCGGAAAGCATTCGGTTCGCCTTATCGATTAATAAGTCGGTATTTTCTGCAGAGAAAAATATACTTGTGTCGTCAGCATAATTTACAAATTTCGCTTCTGAATCTACATTGATTATGTCATTTATGTATATGTTAAAGAGAAAGGGACCCAGTATACTACCTTGCGGTACACCTGAGTAAATAGGTTTGGTAACAGAGGAGTTTCCATTGATAGAGACGTATTGCAATCGATGCTCCAGATATGACTTTATTAGCTGCAAGGCATGCCCTCGGAAACTGTAAGTGTCTAATTTTGCTAGAAGTATTTTATGATTAAGGCAGTCAAACGCCTTTGAGAAGTCGACAAACACACCGAGAACCAGTTTTCTTTCTTCGAAGTTTTGGAGAATAAATTCTTTTATAGATAATAAGGCAGCCTCGGTAGACCTATTTTTCATAAATCCAAACTGTGAGGTATTTATTAAGTTATATTTGTTTGAAAACGTCATAATTCGAGTATAAAGTATTTTTTCGAGAGCTTTAGAGAAAACTGGGAGTATAGAAACAAGCCGATAATTCCCCCATTTCGTTTACGCTTTCTTTTTATACAATACTAACACCTTAGCTATCTGCATTTTCTTCCGAAATACGCTCGTGGATAAAGAGAGGTTAAAAACATGAAATAACGCCGACGCTATCAAGTGAACAACATACTTGACGCATCTTACCTGAATACCATCCGCGTCACAGCTTCCACTATTGTTTAGTTGTAAAATTATGGAATTTACTTCTGGTTCGACCACCGGCCCTAAAAATATGGAGTCATTGTTTCTTTTGTCGCTAAAAGCAGAAGAATGTAGAGTCACATCATTACTTGCAATATTGATAAAATGCTCGTTAAAGGCGAAAAGACGGTGAGAGTGCAGGCGAGCTGGTGGTAGCTAATCATGTCGTATTACACCTGAGACTGCGGTGGAAGAAATCGGAAGAACTTTCAGTAGAAGGAACAGACACAGAGAACGTCTCAAACTCAGCTAACTGGTTTATTTCGTTAAAGGCATTTGCTAAAGAACATCCGGTAAGTTCAGTACCATTGAAAAAAATGTTGTCGATAGAGCTCGCATTCGTTAAAGGCATTTGCTAAAGAACATCCGGTAAGTTCAGTACCATTGAAAAAAATGTTGTCGATAGAGCTCGCAGAAAACTTTATGTGGGAGCAGGTCGCATGCTTCCGAACACGGGTTGCGTGTCCGGTAAAGACGCAAACGCAACTTTGTCGTCGAAAAACAAAAAGCACGAGTTGACAGTTAAAACACTAAAAAGACGCGAGGAAGAGAGTGAGAATGTCGACGAGCGAACGACTTCGTCCACACACAACCGCGGACGCAAGAAACCGGAACACAATCGAACCTGCGAGGCGACGCTTCCGAACGCTCGTCCTCCGCAAAAAAACCTGACGCGTTGGCGAACGCGGGTCGCGTGTCCGCTAACATCGCAAACGCAACTTTGTCGTTGAAAAGCAAAAAGCAAGAGTTGACAGATAAAACACTAAAAAGACAGGAGGAAGAGAGTGAGATTGTCGACGAGTGAATGAATTCGTCCGCACATGGCCGCGGACGCAAAAATCTGAAATGCGATTGAACCTGCGAGGCGGCGCTTTCCTGCCTCTTGGGCCCGCGATCGCACATTCGTCCCCGAGCCGACAGTGCGGCGACAAGCTTCCACCGCACTGTCAGCTTGGGGGCGAACAAAGTGTTGGAAATGCAACGATGAAAAGCAAACTATCTACAATGTCGGAGAAATGAAGCTATGTACAGAGCACCGTCGGCGTCTGAAGGAAGTGGGCGGCTTCAGAAGGATGTGGCGAGGGAGGCGCCGAAGGCCTTGAGGAGGTTCTGGAGGAAAATCATGTCTTGCTTCATCAGGGTCTTTCTCTTGGCGTGGAGGGAACACTGGTAACTCGCAGACAGGAAGTTCATCACGAAGACCTCCGACGCCTCCTGGAAAAGAGGCGACGCCCGTCAAACGCCGACGAATCGAGTCAACACGTTAGAACTGGGACAGTCTCACAATTTTAATGTTGAAAAATTTACGGCCCGCATTTTTTATATCGTTTCTATTGACACAAGAGGAGAAAATGTGCCACCTTCGTTCAAAATGCTGCAAATTTGCTGCATACGGTAGAATCTCGATGATACGACGACGGTTCGTCCGAATTTCGGTACGATACAAATTTTTCGAAATTCCCGGCCGAAGTTCGTTAAGACTTATCTATTACGTTTCGGGATAGTCTCCGAATGCTTTCTCGGCCGCGGTGGATCATGTGAACGATCATCAACGTTTACACATCCTGTGGGGTATCTAAACGTTGATGGCTTCTACGACTGTAGCAGGCTTTTTGAGTCACTTCTCTCGCCGTTCTTTCTACATACGCACCATGCAATCCCGATAACCGTATGTGCGTTCCAAAACTCGAAAACATACCCACATCCAGCGCTGCTCTGTGTTGTCACGTGATGAGAATTTGGCTTGCTGGAGTAACTCGCGTTCGTTTACTCCAGGGTTGCTGCTTTATATTTATTGCCACGCGATAAATGGGTTTCAGCAACTCTGACTGACTCGAGTGAATGTGAGAAATGACGTTCAGATTTGACTTTGATCGTCGAATCAACGCTTATCTAACGGCTTTCGCAAGTGTCAATTTACAAATCCTACAGTGGCTGCTCCTCCGGAACCAGAGGAAAACTTGAGAATTGAGGACGGAGACCTGCTTTGTGCTGAGAAATCGGCCTTTGATTTCATTACCGCAGATGACAGCCTCGCTTGCCAAGGCAATCGCTGACGAAGTGACGGCACCGCAAGGACGTCAAGTAGCGGAGATGATGACGGCGACGTAAACTAATGACAAGCAGCCACCGGCGACTGCTGAGACACTGCATGCCCTCGATGTGCTGCGCCGCATAGTGAGGCCGAGATCAACGACGGCGACGACAGGTACGCTCGTTCTTCCGTGTTCTAAAAGTGCCGTTTGGGTGACATCGAAAAAAAGAAGACTCGGAAGAACATTACCGACTTCCTTAGATGGGTGTGTGACCAATGAATTGCATGTATAGCTGCCCCTTTGCTTTCACGTAGTTATGTGACTTGTTTTTTGTTAGTATAAATATTGGACGACACATGTATTTCCTGCAATCCCTCGAGATTCATATCACCGATATTCTACTGCAATTGCAAAAAACAAAACCATATTTTTTTTAATTTGCAGTTTTGTGTGGTTGTCATCGGAACTATGGCGTGACCTTTTTCGCGGTACGCGGGTTTTTGCGGCGCTATCTATCCATCTATTGGAAATAAGGGAAACCGTTTCTTCTCCTTCGGTACCTTTAACGTCTTTCCCTGCAGCAAGCCGTCCCACCTTCAACGATGGCAAGCGTGACCTTGAAAAGTTGACCAACGTGAAGGGAAGGCTGCTGGTCCCAAAGACGACACGGAACCTCATTCGAACCACTTCTACTTGTTCAATCTCTCTGTAGATTAAAAATTAGCGCACGCAAGAAAGAAAGGGTTCCCGCTCCTCGTATTATGGGTGGCCTCAACCAATTCCCACATATAATTGGCCAAAGTTAGAAAATTGTTTCACCGCCTCTTTAAAGGGAAGACACTGCTCTTTCATGTAATGGAGGACCGGCGGTCGGGTCTGTTAGTGCACGACGGCTCTGAGAGCGTAGAGCGCAAGCTCACACAGCAAGACCCAAGGTTCCTGGTTCTTGTGATCCTCCCCACTCCTGCCCGTTTCGATCTGGACAAGCATCCTGCCGGCGTGCGGTCGTGTTTCGCCAAGCGGCGTATGCCGAAGACCCAAGGCTAGCAGTGGTACCGACTAAATAGGTCACGTAAATCGATTCAGTCACAGGCCTACCTGACCTACGACTGAATAGGCATGTATTGACGAAAAAAAGGACTACCGTAAAATCCGAAGAGATGCCCCACCCGAGAAGGGTAACCCATCCCCATTTCTGGCTCGAAGTGCTATTTCATTTGAAACACCGAAAGATAGCCCACTAATGGTAATCATAGTTTCGGGTCAATGATGACCGTGTCATAAATGCGTCTAGTTAGCTATGGCGAGATGTAAGCGAACACTGCTGATTGGAAAGTACAGTCATCTTTGCTTCATTGCCCCTTGCCGCGATGACAACTTTGCCAGGGACACACAATAAAAAAATAGCATTTTTTCAACTTGCCTCGACTGCACACCAAAAGTTAGCCCACCCCTCAATTTCACCACAATTTTCTAACTATTTTAGGTGGGCTATCTCTCAGGACTTTACGGTATGTGGGCCAACATCGACGGACAGACGACGCGGGTCGTTGCCGACGGGGCGCCACGACAACGACCAAAAGACGAGGCAGGCCCACCTGTAGCGCCTGCAAGGCGAGCCCCTGCATGTAGTAGTGGTCGGAGCGACTGGGGGCCAAACCCTGCAGTATTTCCCTCACCACCCGCGCAAACGACAGCCGCGGAATGAGGAGCCGCGTAGTCCTCTGGAGGTGATGGATGTTCTTCAGCCAGGGTGGGGTGCGATGCTTCGACCTTTGATTGCCCTGGGCAGAAGAGGAGTGGCAACCGCGCTGATTAGCTCCTGCCGATTGGCCTCCACCGGGCTAAAGTGTCAACCGCCATTTTTAAAAAGAAAGCTGATGGCGACTTTTTTTTCTTCTAAAGTCTTACGCTCCATGAAATGCGGTATTTCCAGTGTGTCGAACCGAAAAAAATACGGGTTCGGTTCAGGTTCAGGTTCAGGTAAATTTATTTTGTTCCGGTTCAGTTCCGGTTCGATTAATTCGATCCGCGAACCGGTTCGGAAATTATAAATGACAAATTGCAACATCAAAATAAATTACAAATAAAACATCGTCGGAAAGCCAGCGCGAAATAAGTACAGACAAACGGCGTGTTTGTGAGAGGAAAAAAAAAGAGGAGGGTGCACACCCCAAAGGTGTACGGGTCACGGCAAACGTACGTAGAATTCGATTCGCTCTGGCGCGTTTATTCATGTATAATACGGACACCGGTGAAAACAAATGAAAAGTAGTCGAAACTAGTAGTGCATAACGTTTATAAAAGCCTGTAGCCAATGCAAGCGGCAAACAACGACTGTCTGATGACAGGGCTGTCTGTCACGGGCGCTAACTCCAGCGACTGCTGAGCGTTGGTATGAGCGCGCGCGCCCGCTTGAGTCCCATGACTACGCTGGGCAGGCGACGGAAGCAACAGAAGCTCGGCAGATCCTTTGTCAAATTCGAAAGTCCGCGCAGCTTCGCTTCTCCGAGAGCGACTAGGGTTTGTATCCCCGTTTTTTTTCCCCGCATTTATCGAGTTTCCGGTACGAAAAAATACGGCATGTAAATCTTGACACTTCATAGCTCGATATACTCTGACCGGTGGTTGGGGCAGCGAAGAGCAGATATAATTCATGAATGCTCATTTCAACTGTAAATCAAATTTCTTTCTCTCCCTCAAACATTATCAAACTCCACAGCCTTTTCTTTTCTCATTCCGATGGAAGCAAGCTTCAAGAACTCGCGCGTTCTAGAAACGTGTTATGGAATGAGCACACAGCAGCATTTAGGATTTACGAGATTGTAGGAAAATGAAATCCCGTGATGCGTTTTTTTTTTTTTTTTTTTGCACAGCCTTCCATGTTTCTTTCTTCCGTGCAAGCCGCGACCAGCGCAATACTGGTTCCTATGTCAAGATTCATGGATGCAGCGTTTATATTCCTAAGACTGAGTGGAGAAGAAAAATATGTAAGCGAGGGTGTGTGTCAGTTGACGGCACTTAAAAAACAAATGGCATTGATAGCACATTCATTGTCAACAGCGCGTGGCCGAACCGTTTTGACATGAGCCGGTAACCGTTATTTTTTTTCCGGTTCAGTTCCGGTTCGGGTTCATCGCGATAACAATATAATGGTTCGGGTTCGGTTGCGGAAAAAATACCGGTTCGGTTCCGGTTTTCGGTTCGGTTCCGGTTCGACACCCTGGGTATTTCAGGAGCAATCATTAAATTTGCTTAGAAGACACTTAATGGTCGTCTCGGAAAGAAGCTATACATTTAATAATTTTACCGCTAAACCTGGCGGGAAATGCACCGACGGGCAGACGGATGGGCGAAATCTTGCAATTGGTGGAGCTCCGTTGAAAAGCATTTCGCACCTTCAAAAAAAGAACTCTAGCAATTTTTGCGGTTAGGCAAATCAATACCAATAAACAAAAAAAAAGCTCTTCTTGCATTGTTGTGCCATAGGTAACACAGAATGCATTGCATACTGCTTTGCACTGACACTGCCGGGAGGAACCCTCCACATGTCTTGCGCCTCGACGGCATGAATGTTGTTGTGCGCTACGTCTCTGCAAGAGAGCCCCGCCAAAAGCGGAGCAAGCCCTGCCCGCGCACCGAAAGTGGTCTTGAAGTGGCAATGAACACACCGCCTCTGGGACACCGCCCTTCTGTGATGCCATCGGGTGGAAATCGAGGGACCATTTTTCTTGTGACGCGGTAAATGCGCCAATTGGGGAACTGTTTTACTCCCACCAGGGCGGTGGGAGTAAAATGCGAAGTTCGTGCACGCAATCGACAACTACAAGTTACCCGTCTGCTACAATTTCTTAAAATTATGCGATTTCTCGTTTGTTTGAGCAGTATTTATGGTCCGTGGCGGGCCGTAGCTGAAAACAGTTGCGAGATAATAAAATTAACTTCTTTGGGGAGAGGGGATTCTTAAAAACCCTTCCACTTAATGCTTTTTAGAGAACATCAAGACCATGTCTACAGGGTGTCCCAGATTACTTGCATCAAACTTTAAAAAAAGCAAACGGAGTCCTCCAGGGAAGTAAAACCAACTGTACGTCGTTAGCAAGCGCCTTAACATAGTTGCCACATTTTTCTCGATCCGGCCAATTATTCGGTCAATTAAGACCAATTAGCAAACTTCAGTTATTCCTTTCAGGGCCGAGTTGTGAATTGGAAAGTGCCCCATTTCTTTCTTCTACGATTTGGTGCAAGTCCTCCCAGACGCCTGAAATATATATCTTTTAACCTGTTTAAAATCCACGCACTAAATACTTCCAAATGGCGTTCATTTACACCTACGCAACGACGCGATTGATTGCACGGTGCCCCACACACCGTACAAAAATCGCAGGAAGTTGCATCTCTCCATTGTAACCATTACACCCGCTGTTGCCGGGTACCATTAATGATGCCCGCGAGACAGCCGGGGAAACGTCGCTACTCATGAGCGACGCTCCTTCGGCGGCTTCGGCGCCCGCGTCGCACAGTTTCAAGATGGCGGCACCCATGCAACCGGGTGGGTAAAGATGGGAGCAGAGCACGAAAAATCGTGAGCGCCGACTTTGCCGGTCCCGAGAAAAGGGACGATAAAGACGGCGGCAAAGAAGAGGGGAGAGAAAGCAGACGGAGGGTTAGCCGTGCGCTTTTTTCTGCAGCGACTGGAGGTCGTTGGAGCTCTGGTCGACTTTGTTTTCATGGCATAAACAACGCTGACTTCTTTTTTTTTGCATGGCAGGTTTGAAAAGAGGGCAGCTTCGACCTCACCGGCGACGTTCTGCCGCTTCTCCGCGTACATTAAGGAGCTGCCGGCTACACGGGCTTGTCGGCACCTTCCTCCGGTACCTCCGACGCCCGCGTCTGCGCCGCCCCGCCATACCGAAGCGGCCGGGATGCGTGGGTCCTTTTCCTCCTACTCTTGGCACATCTAGTTGAGCGGCTTTAGTGGCCGTATTTTGCAAGATGGCGGCACCCACGCAAAGGCTGCGAGGAAAGGGCCACTTACCTTCCTGGGAGAGGTAGACTTTCGCCTCCTGCCGGGTCCCTTTGATGCCGAAGGCTCCGGTGCCGGTGGATTTGGAGCTCGGCGTGCCGCCGCCGATGGCTGTGCGGGAGCTTGGTGCGCCGGGGTCGGCGGACGTCTTTCTGGCGTGGGTTTGGCCCCTAAAGAGAGGTTAAGGTAAGTAAGAAAAACCCAAAAAACCTAAAAACAAAAACAAAAAAAATAATAAAAAATAAGGATAAAGAGTTTTTTCTTTTAGTGTTTTGTTTGAGGTAAGGCAGTCTCGCAAATTCACGTTTGGGAACTGTTTTGGCATGAATTGACAAACGACATAAGCTAAGGCCCCGGCGAACCAACTGGGGCCTTAAAGGGAAGATGGGGCACTTCTACATTTGAGAAAAAACGCATGAATTGCGTTCATTTGGCCTTTAGAATAACAGATATCAAAATTATATTTCAATGCGACGTGCCGGAGAGCCACAAGAGCAATTTCAATATAGGGCTGAAGCCCCGCCTCCCTAGCCTTGGGCAGCCTAAAGAGCCGTCGATGACGTCACGGACAGCGACTGTCTTTCGCGTTTTTCTCGCGTTTAACAATAATTGCGCAGCAAATGGTTTGGGTATTCGGGTTCACGGGGTAAAAATACACTAGAATTCACTTCTAACTCATTTTTTCCAAGAAGCTCCGTAGCTTCCCTTTAAAGGGGTTATGACACGCCAAAAATAAAATGAGATAATTATACTGCTAGGACCCATTGCATGTTCCTATAATCCTGCTGAATTTGTGTTGAAAATGGCGTGATAGTTTCGTGAATAAACCAATTTATATGCGGGCCCCAGGGAGGGGCAGATCCGGGCAGAGCTGGAGGCTGGCTACGTAGCCAGCCTCCAGCGCGGTGTCTCCTTGCACGCATTCACAGACTTGGCTCTCTTGGCGCATCGAGCCTCAGTTTCCTTGTTTACCTTCCACGTTTCGAGCATGTGGTCCGTGACGATTACGTCTACTGCATCGCTCGCCTTGTCGAAGTGTTCGGCATTGATTGCAGCAGCGATGAGAGTGATTGCTATCAAGAGGTGTTGGAAGCTGTTCCTTTTTCACTGCGACCCGCTGGCGACCAGCTTCAGCAACGACGAGTTACAGACGAACTCGCCGTAATCACCGTCGTCCGGGAATATCTCGCAGGCGCATGCAGGGTGGAAGGTCGACGGGCCGGGAGCGAGAGTGAGAATAGCTTTCGGGTTACCGAGTTGCGTGAGCGGTTTCGATCGTACCGCGACGAGGAGAGCTTCGGCGATCATGGGGGCGCCTAGAATGAGAGAGTGTTCATGGTCACGTGGTTTAAGGACACCATGGTGTGACTAACTTGGGCAGTGTTGCCTGGTTGCCAGATGGAAATGATAAAAATTCGTAAATTGAATATTGCTATTACCAGAGCTCTAAAATTTGCGTAACTTGGTGTATATACTAGGCAGACTATGAGCATTTCATTTCAAGAATAATCTATTCGTTTAATTTTCGTGTCATAACCCCTTTAACCTGGACACTTGGAGAAAGAGTCGGCGAGAAATCCTGTGGACGTTATTGGTCAACGTCGCACTTGACCTTGGGACCGTTCAATCACAGCCGCCAGATTTCTTGCCGACTTTTTCGCCGAGTGTCCAGATCAGGACCCCTGGAATGTCTGACCGAGGCACGTGACAACGCACTGTCAATGCACACTTGCTCCGACCTCGCTTGTGGCTCGGTGGCTGCGGAGAGTCAGATGCAGTCGCCGAAGGCTACGAAGGCTACGAAAAAAAAAGGTGTTTTGCTGTGTAAAAGTGCGCTGTCGTCTTATGTGGCACGATTTGGTCATTTCTCTAAGTAATGGTAGCTAGAAGACAGACAAGGTATAAGTGCCTTACAAGTTGATTCTGTTAAATAGTTTGTCAGCGAGAGTAAATTAACTACTCTGTGGCTACTTGACTTCGTCCAATGTTCGCCACCACCGCTGAAATCAACTGATGCATCTCTGATTACCCCTGGGGCAATGCATACCAGTTTAAAAATAAGGGAACATAAAGGCATCGTGAAAGGCTAGAGGGATTGTCCGGTCAAATTTTGTATTCGAGAAAACAATTGAATACCGTTGTTACTGCCTCGAGATGCATCGTACGTGCAATATCTGAATTTTATATGCCCCTCTGCGTGAGTAATTGAATTTATACTGCTTCAATCGCATTCTAACGTAAACGCTGCTTTCATTGGCAACATTGAAGCTCTGATGTCACAAAACACAAAGCAAGCATTTCTGTCTCGTCGTTTGCCTGCGAGTGAACGCCTAAACGAGCTTCGTTTTTGTTGTTGTGCTCAACTTGTTTCGTGGTTGGGCGAAATTTTTGTTGCGCAATTGGGTGCCACAACCACTGGGCAGCACCTGCGAGCCAAGACATGACGTTCCACTCTTTTCCGCGAGACGTACAGTGACGAGCAAAGTGGATCGTTGCCGTGCGTAGGGACTAGGTTCCCGTCAAAATCGAGATCCCGTTTACGCAACAATCATCTCGCAGAAGACAGCTACGAGCTGAACTCTGAGCGGACAAAAGGCTTGTAAGCTGAGGTGCGACGTTGTGCCAACGACATCAAACTACGTCCGTTCAATCCTTGGCCAAATCGGGTCAATTTGATTATGCAGCGAAACCGAAAGCAGCAGCTAGGCCACCTGGAAACGATACCAGAGGTTGTATTTAGAACGCGTGCAGCCCGATTCTGTTTGACCCGCGTGTGAAAATGGAGCATGACTACGATTCATTAAGCTCGTCGAAGTCAAGTGACGACATGCATTTGAACGATTCGCCATTTGCCTTCAAACCGCGGACGTCGCCTCTAAGGAAATGACCCGCAGCCTCATCATTGCTCCAGCGGATCCGCCGACATGTGTACCCAGATGCCACTTCAGAGGCAAAATCTGCAGCCTTTGATTTGCAAGCGCCCCTAGTTCGATCGGTGGCCGTTGCAGTTGTGTTTCAGCAAAACGGCATACGTTTGCTCGAAACCTATGGCTGTTTGCGAGTAATATCCTGCTAAAAGGCGTGACTTTTCTTGCACATGCTTGGGAACTGCATTAAAAGAACCGTATTTCAGTAGAGTACAGCCTAGGAGAATATTATTCGAAACAAAATCCAAGACATCCATCGACCAACGCTTGTTATCCCGACCATCCGACAAACCTATGTGTTTTGTGACGTTACTCAGCACCTACGGATGTCAGCCATTGACACTGGCAAAATTCGAGGTGCAGTTTCGTACCTACGCTCATGAAAGGTTTAATTAACAAATTATCAAAATAAAAATTATTATTATTATTATTATTAATTATCAAAATAAAAATGACGTTTGTTACATGAAAGCTTCCTTGATGTAACGAGCGCAAAAGCTTAAGTACTTCCGGTTTCGACCGGACAATACCTTTAACAAGCGCTTGTGTTCTACTTTGAAAGTACAATTTATTTATATTACAGGGAGTTTTGAGAAACGAGCACCATGTTTTTTGGTTCGGGTAATTAAACTATGCGTCGAAGAAAGCTCAAACTCCGTGAGAACATGATGCTGGCAGTTGGGATAGAATGTGAAAGCTTGAGAATATGACGTTACCTTCATCAAAAGATAATTGAGAAACAAAATTTCTCTGAGCCAACGTCTACGTAAGCATGATGTTGTTAGAACAAGAAATGACACTCATGTAACATCTATTTCAGTGAAAAAAAGAAAAACTTCTCAGCAAGAAAGAAGATATTGTTTTCTTTCTTGCTGAAAAGTTTTTTTCACTAAAATAGATACTACAGGTACCCAGTGTCATTTCTCTTTTTGACAACATAAAGCTTAGCTGGACTTTGGCTCCTAGAGAAATTTTTGTTTTTTTCAATAATCTTTTGATCCAGGCGATGTCCCGGTGTCAAACTTTTGCATTCTATCCCAAAAGCCACCGTCACAGTGTCACGAAGTTTGAGCTTTCAGCGATGCTTAGTTTTTGTCTACCCAAGCCGAAAAACATGGTTCTCGTTTCTAGGGAACTTCCTGTACTTTACTTCAAGCACGCTGTGCTTGGTGTACTTCTTGCTTTACCTGAAGTACATAACATCCAACTTACTTTTTTACGTAAAGTACTTTTCAGATGTACTTTACCAAACACTGATTATCTATTAGAAATGGCCGCATATAACAGAGTCAAAACTTTTCAAAGCTAGTGTAGAACGAGCAATGTGAAAAACAAGTAGGAAACACAGATGTCAGGAGCATTCCGGGGCCACCCCATAGACGTCGCCATTGCCTTCTCTCGTCGTCAGAGCCATGATGCTGAGAGTTTAGGCATTAATTGGCAAGAATAGGGCGAGAATGAAAGCACGTCATTGGTTGAAATTGGTTCGATGACCTTGGACGCGTTGCTTGACAGCATTTGTGACCAACCACCACTCACGAATATTCCTCTAGCAGGGGCAATGAGCTTAACCTATATCCTTCAATCACAATTTCTGGGTAAGGATGTATTCGAGTATTTCATTTCAGCATGCTAGACTTGAAGTTTGCAACTCTTCGCAACCGAAAAGGCAATGCATGCGACGTTCAGAATGCACTTCATCTTTCTTTTGGTTGCAGACACAGCCGCGGCCGAGTGGACGGAAGGGACCGCAGACACAGCTCCGTGGCAATTTGGACCCTAACCCTGAACACGCACCCCACATTCGCAGCTACGCCTCCTGTTTCAGAGAACTTTTCTCGTCAATGTCACCTTCTCTGGCTCAATTAACGGCACTCAGCACCCTGAAACTCCCTATCTCCATCAATCTCTTACCATTATTCATTCATGCACTCTCAGCATCATCCAGAAACTAACAAATACCTGTGCCACGATCGCGCCTCCTTCAAGGTTAACTCCGGTTCTTTTTATTTTGCAGAATCATCACAGGGCGCAGCTTTCGCCGCTCCGCCCTGGTTTCCATCGGGTCCTCCCATTGACCAAACTCTTTCTATGTACAGCCCTGCTCGTTGTAAGAGATCACAAGAACTCATTCGTAAGCAAATGCAAGTGTGCAAACCAGCCTTAAAGGGGCCACTAAAGTGGATTTCGAGACTGTCGTTTAATGCTGCGAACCCAACACATGCGCACTATGGGCATCTTACAAAACCCAAAATTGTCATTGTGTGGAACAATTCTTTTTTTACCATTAAAAGAGCAACCAAATGTCTCGACACGCCCCACTTACGAGACATCTTGGAAAAGGGGCGCGCCGCAATGCCCATTCGCGTTTTCAACGAAGAAAGAGGCCACGCATGGCTGTACTTTTGTGTTTTGCGACAAACCTTAGTGTCCCCCTTTAGGGCTGCAAGCCGATCTGTCCTAACCCGCGACGACCCACCTGCGGAACGGCGCTGGACGCTGGGCGCAGACACTGCGGGCCCCTCGTCGTCCCCGGAAGACGGCGAAGACGGTTCTTGTCCCGCCTGCGGAGGTCGTTCCGCCGACGACCTTGCGCCGAAGCTTCTCGGGGTCGAGGGACGGCGACCAACGCCCGAAGTCGACGCCTCAGGAACGTCTGCCCTCTTTGAAGACTCCGAGTGCTCGCGCTCTGCGTGGACGGAATGCGCCTCGGACGACTTTGCGGCAGAGCCCCTCGGAGTTGCGGGCTTGCGGCTGCTCGGCGTGCTCCTGCGGAAACGGGGACCGAAGACGATGGTTGGGACTTCACGCGCTGTGTCGAACAGAAATGGTTATCACTCCGGTTTGGGGAATCTTAGGGTAAAGTTGGTTTGCAAAGAACAGATTCCCGTGGCATTCTTTGTAACTTGTAACAAACTTTGCAGTTATTAAAAAAAAATTTTTTTTTCGGCAGTTTGATATTTTAAGTTCCAGGGAATGAAACCAGCCGTCAGATGGCCAACACAACAAGCTTTTCATCTATACTCCATCTGACTAAAACCGTGCAGTACAGCCAAGGCTACACAGAAAAGAGTATTCCTACCTGTTGAAGAGGAGGGAAAGGAGGAAAGGGGGAATCCCAGCTCTTCTCTGCCGTTCCTCCTTTCCCTCCTCTTGAACAGGTTGGCATACACTCTCTTCCTTTTAGCCTTGGCTGTATTGCACGGTTTTAGTGAGACAGAGTATAGGGCACGTCAAAATGTTAGGCGCTGGAGAAAATCGGCCATCTGCCGCAAGTCCTGGTTTTACTCTTTTCATTCACATTCACAAGTTGTCACAGGTTCTGCGAATAACTTATTTTTTTTCTTTTGTATAATGCTGTTAGAAGTTGAATGCATGAAGTGATTACTCAGCGTATCTTTGCATGTAATATCTTTCTGTGTTCTGAATGGATGTCCTGCTGACAAATTTTAGACGGGCCCCAGACCTCGTCAAGCTGCCACTGGCAGCTTTTTGTCTAGGGTCTCCGTTGGCTTAAAGGCCATAAATAAAATGATTGATTGATTGATTGATTGATTCAGTTCATTGAAAAGCATGGCTAGAGGGCCCAGTTATGCACCATATATCGCCACGCCACCGTCCACACAATGAAGTCCGTCTGCTGTAGTCACCGGACGTCAAAAGACGGACACTTGAACGCAGCGTCTGAAGTTGGCTACAGCTGCGCCATTTTCCGAATGCCGCCTGCTACCAATGCGGCAATGCTAGCTTGGGCTTCAAGCTAGGCGGACAAACATACCGTGTGGTGTGCAGGGTCCGATCCTGCATCAAGCCTCGTCGAAACCGCCAAGAGTTCGCTAGGCAACCGCTTTACGCAGTCGGCATCGATCTACGCACCAGCGCGTCCGACTTTGGCCAGCGTTTCGGCATTCACATTAGAAGACAACATCTGGAAGATGGCGCCTCCCATTGCTGGCTTTAGACGTTGCATTCGCACATTCTTCCATAATGAAGACACTGCGTTGCCACGGTGACAGAGTAGGACTTTATTGTGCGGAAGGAGATAGCAGGGTGGCTAGATTGGACGCATACTTCGGCTCTTTTGCTGTGCTTTTCGGTGGATGGAACATGAACACAAAAAAATTAGTTGTTTGTTCATGTTCACAAATCGTTTAAAACGTTTAGAAATCTTAGAGTGCAGCTCTTAAGGAAGAGGAGGGAAGGGTATGCCCCTGCTCCTCCTCCTCCCGCTAAATTTGTTAATGGGTCACTTGACACAAAGTCATGTGACGTCATTTTCGCCGCTAGATTAATAATAACGTTATCGAAGCCTTTATTCGAGTAAGACGTTATTGAAAGGGAACTAGCTCAGCCATTGAAGCTAGCTGTGTTATCGTGTTGCCGGCCCGAAATTAGCTCAGCCAGCGATCAGGGCAACACATGTTGTCCAACACAAGTTGTGGCTGTTTTTGTTGCCGAAAGCTGTCATACCAAGGCAACATTTTCTCTGCCGCCCATGTTGTCCTGCTGTTGCCGCGATGTGACAGGTTTGTCAGACAACATGGAGAGCGAGCAACAAGTTGCCCAATTCTTTGGGGTTAAGATATTCGCATAGTTTGGGGCCATTTGTGAATATCTTTATGGGCAATCTAGAATCTAATTTTCTTTCAAGCTGCCCCCTTCAACCAATGTTTTATAAGAGATTCATGGATGATATATTTATAATCTGGCCACACAAAGAGGACGCGCTGCTTTGCTTCATCAAAGTTTTTAATTTTGTGGACCCTTCTAATTAGTTTTTCTCAATTATTCCAAAACCGAAGTTAATTGTCTAGACGTCAGGGTAATAGTTGAGGGCACAAAACTAGTCGCTCGACTCTATCAAAAGCCGACTGACCGTCAAAAATACTTGCACTTCGACAGTGGCCGCCCACATCCTTGCAAAACCAGTATACATGGCTTGCACGTGACGTCATTCAAAAAGCGGTTCGATGACCACCAGAGAAGAGGGGAAGAAGGAGCTCCCCTCTTAGCAGGATCCAGGCACGTAGCCAGAAATTTGTTTCGGGGGGGGGGGGGGGGGGGGGGGGCACCCATGACAAAATGCTGTATGAGGGGGAGGGGGGGAGAGAAGTTCCCAGCAAAATGGAAGATTTTGGGGGGGGGGCCGGGCCCCATGGGCCCTCCCCTGGCTACATGCCTGGCACGATCCTCTTTTGTGCCTCCCGGATTTGCACCGACGTCGCTATTTTCCTCCCAAAATTAACCCGTTACTCAAAGTTCTTACAAAAGCAGCTTCCCTCTCATCTTACATGGTAGTCAAAAGTATGCAATGTGACGTCAGTGCAAGCCATGCATAACTTATAGTCAGGCACATAGGTTCAAAAGCGTGCGTTCACACCACGGTTCAAACAACGACGGCTCCAACGCTAACCAACTACGAGAAGTATTAACAGAAGTACCCTGAACTAACTATAGACAATGTTCCAAGAGCAAGAAAAATCATTTTTTAAGTATCGCAGTGGGTTGCAGAGAGCGTTGAGAGAGGGCTAAACTCGCCTACGAAAACTCAGAATTCTCCCGGGTCCCAGCAGAATAGACACTGCCTATGTTTTATGTCCGCACCCACCTCCGTAGAATATGCAAGCTGCGTAAAGGTCAGCCACGAGGGGGGCTTACCAGAAAGATGCTGCTTTGGGCTGTGAAGGCCGTCGCGAAGCGTCTTCTGCTTCCGAGCTTGCCTCAGACAACAACGACGGACTGTCTTGCTCCTGGTACTGCCATCGCTTTGGAGGGTGGGCCTCTCGCGGAGGAAGTTGGGGAAAGATGTCGTATTCATAACAGTCCGGCTCCCGTCGCCTCCGGGCGTCCCCCGGTTCGCTGCCTAGCAGCCGGTCACCCGGTTGGTACCGGCGTGAAGCCCTCAAACTCCTCGGGGTTGAGGGACGGCGACTAACGCCCGAAGTCAACGCCTCGGGAACGTCTGCCCTCTTTGAAGATTCTGAGGGCTCGCGCTCTGCGTGGACGGAACGCGCCTCGAACGACCTTGCGGCAGAGCTTCTCGGAGTTGGGGGCTTGCGGCTGCTCGGCGTGCTCCTGCAGAAACAGGGATCAAAGACGATGGTTGGGACTTCACGCGGTGCGTCGAACACAAATGGTCATCGCTCCGGTTCGGGGAATCTTAGGGTAAAGTTGGTTTACACAGAACACATTCCCGTGGCATTCTAGGTAACTTGTAACAAACTTTGCAGTTATTAAAAAAAAAAAATTTTTTCGGCAGTTTGATATTTTAAGTTTCAGGAAATGAAGTCAGCTGTCGGATGGCCAACACAACAAGCTTTTCATCTATATTCCATCTGACTAAAACTGTGCAGTGCAGCCTCTTCAACAGGTATCCCTACCTGTTGAAGAGGAGGGAAAGGAGCAAAGGGGGAATCCCAGCCCTTCTCTACCGTTCCTCCTTTCCCTCCTCTTGAACAGGTTGGCATACACTCTCTTCCTTTTAGCCTTGGCTGTACTGCACGTTTTTAGTGAGACAGAGTGTAGGGCACGTCAAAATGTTAGGCGCTGGAGAAAATCGGCCATCTGCCGCAAGTACTGGTTTTACTCCTTTCATTCACGTTCAGTCCATTGAAAAGCATGGCTAGAGGGTCCAGGTATGCACCATATATCGCCACACCACCGTCTACACAATGAAGTCCGTCTGCTGTAGTCACCGGACGTCAATAGACGGGCGCTTGAACGCAGCGTCTGAAGTTGGCTACAGCTGCGCCACTTTCCGAATGCCGCCTGCTACCAATGCGGCAATGCTAGCTTGGGCTTCAAGCTAGGCGGACAAACATACCGTGTGGTGTGCAGGGTCCGATCCTGCATCAAGCCTCGTCGAAACTGCCAAGAGTTCGCTAGGCAACCGCTTTACGCAGTCGGCATCGATCTACGCACCAGCGCGTCCGACTTTGGCCACCGTCTCGGCATTCACGTTAAATGGCGTCTCCCATTGCTGGCTTTAGACGCTGCATTCGCACATTCTTCCACAATGAAGACACAACTTTGCCACGGTAACAGAGTAGGACTTTATTGTGTGGAAAGAGATAGCAGGGTGGCTAGATTGGATGCATACTTCGGCTCTTTTGCTGTGCTTTTCGGTGGATGGAACATGAACACAAAAAACATTAGTTGTATGTTCATGTTCACAAATCGTTTAAAACGTTTACAAATCTTAGAGTGCAGTTCTTGAGGAAGTTCTTACAAAAGCAGCTTCCCTCTCCTCTTCTTACATGGCGGTCAAAAGCATGCGATGTGACGTCAGTGTAAGCCATGCATACCTTATAGTCAGGCCCACAGTTTCAAAAGCGTGCGTTCAAACCACGGTTCAAACGACGACGGCGCCAACGCCAACCAACTACGAGAAGTATTAAAAGAACAGAAGTACCCTGCAAGAAAAATAATTTTGTACGTATCGCAGCGGGTTGCGGAGAGCGTGGAGAGAGGTCTAAACTCACCTACGAAAACTCCGAATTCTCCCGGGTCCCGGCAGAATAGACACTGCCTATGTTTTACGTCCGTACCCACTTCGGTAGAAGATGCAAGCTGCGTAAAGGTCCGCCACGAGGGGGGGCTTACCAGAAAGATGTTTGTTTGGGCTGTGAAGGCCGTTGCGAAGCGTCTTCTGCTTCCCAGCCTGCCTCAGACAACGTCGACGGACTGTCTTGCTCCTGGTACCGCCATCGCTTCGGAGGGTGGGCCTCTCGCGGAGGGAGTTGTGGAAAGATGTCGTATTCATACCCGTCCGACTCCCATCGCCTCCGGGCGTCTCCCGATTCCCTGCCTAGCAGCCGGTCCCCCGGTTGGTATCGGCGTGAAGCCATCACCGCGCGACCGATATGACTACGTCAACTACGTCAACTACGTCTGCCACAATTGGCGAAAATCCCGCCAGACGCCTGGATTTTGGATTGGATTGGTCCGTTATAGACCCTTCCCCTGGCAAATGCCGCTCCGCGCTAGCGCGTCCGCGTCTCCGACTGGTGTGTTTAGCGCCCTATCCCGCCCATACATCAAAAGTGGTCCCAATGTGGCAACAAATGACGCGAGTGTCATGCTGTTGCCTGTCGCGATCCTGGCGGTTGGCCGTAGAATTGCTGGTGAAGAGCACGAGCGAACGCGAGTGTCGCTGTCGTCATGGCGTCGCTTTAGGCGTCCCAACTTCCGGCTGCCCTAACTTCCGTGAACTGTCACAATGGAACGCGACCTGCAGCAGAACAGGCGTCTGGCATTTATACCACAACTGTTGGGACGCCGCCAGGGTCGCGACCGGCGACAACATGACACTTTTATGACGTCATCAGGCGGAAATCGAGGGACCACTTTTTTGGCCGCGGTAAACACACCAGTCGGAGACGCGTTCCAGACGTCGTCGAGCGGTCACAAGCGTTTCGGGGCAGTAAAACTGGAAACGCCGATTGGCTAAAAAAAAAAAATTACGTCACTTTCGGTTTTGGTATTTTGTAGATTTTTAGATGACGTTTTACAGTAAAAATATAAAAAAAGTAAAAGCTTGGTCTGCTGAGCAAGTTGGTCGTTTGCGCTATTTTTAATATGAATGAAAAAAAGTACTTTTTTGTTGTTGTTGTTGTTGCGCGATTTTTGAATTTTTGCCGGTACGGTGGTACGGTTGGTACGGTTCTGTTAGAAGTACGTCAAGCCAGTGAAGCCAGTGAAGCTGGTGAAGCTTGACCGGCTTGACGCCTTGACGCGCGCGCACCGCAGGCTCTGGCGCACCGGTGCGAGTCTTTCCGAAACGTCAACGCGTCAACTCCCACACACGTACTACTGGCTTGGCTCTTCCAGACTAAACGGAACGGAAGCACTTTTCATTGCAGTTTACAATCGCGGTGCTGTTGATGGACTAGCCATCGAAACCAATCCCATTTATGCAGCACTCCGGGCTTTCCGCGTGAAGCACGCGCGCCCGTGCGTGTAATGCGAGCATCGTTCGGGACAACACAATCGTGCTTGTAGTTTCTCTCGCACATAAAGAGAAACTAGTACGACCCCACGTCTGGGGTTTTAACGTTCATCGAGCGGTACGCGATGCTCAATCAGATCGAGCGGGCAAGGACGGGATTGAAACCGGAATCAGTGGCGTCACTGGAAGGCGGGGCGGGGTCATCGCGGCGGCACTGCCAGGATTGCTGGGTTCTCCCCAGCTATCTTGACCAGGATTGGAATCATAAACAACCGCATCTCCACGTAGACGCTGAGCCGCAGCATGCCAAACCTTTCGTTCGTTTTCATCTATGTCACGCTGCGGTAAAATGCGTATATAACCACGTTCCATAGCATACATTCTCTTTCTGACATGGATGAAAACGAACGAAAGGCTCGGCATGCTGCGGTTCACCGTCTACGCGGACAAGCACCACCAGAGCTTCGCCCCAATCAACATCATTCACCACGTGGAGATGCGGTAGTTTTTTGCCCTACACGAGCACGTGCTCACGCCCTCGTGAGCACGAGCACCCGACGCCGGACATCGGACGGACCTACGGACATGGCTAGCCCCTAAGGAGCTGCGCCCATGAAAGAGAAAGAGGTGCGGATAGCTCAGCGGGGCTCAGCGAACCTCGATCGTTGATTTTATCCAGGAGCTTTAGTTTTTGGTGGTCATGTTCACTCGCATCGGCTCTGGCACTGAGCCTGCCACAACCCCATCTGTAAGTGTTTTTTTTTTTTTTTTCCGTATTTATAAGCGGTATTTTTGCCGCCTATAAAGGACGGCCTAAGGGTCCCGCCGTTTCAGAATGGAATGGTGCAATAGGTATTAAAATACTAATGGTGGGCTGTTTGATTCAACATTCTAAATACATGGCTCGACATATGTGGTTTAACATGATAGCATAGTATGGCAATAATCCATAAAAAGCCCGTTTTCGACAGAGAAATAGACGTGTAGAGAATACTCTGCAATATTTAATCTGCTGCATGTAAATTAACTTCCAGAATCGTGGTTTGGATGTTCCAGAAGTCCCGCTCACCAAGTGGCTGTGTGCCTGCGCCATCGCCGGTCTCATCATACTCGTCTTGCTTGTGGGACTCAAGGCTTTCACAAAAAGTGCGCTACCCGGAACCAATGAAACAACCAGTCGAACACCGGACACCTTCCGCTCTTGCTCCAGTGGAAGCTGTCAACGTATCCGCCAGCTTACAAACATTCACCAGAACACGAGTTCAAACCCCTGCGCCAGTCTCTACTTCTTTACGTGCGCGCAGCACGACCACCCCAGGGGCCGACATCTTCGTGCTAGGCTAGAGGTGCAACAGGTGCAGAGCAGTATGTCGTCCATGCCAGCCAAGAACCAAGCAGACAACCCAGCACTCGCAAAAACCGTCGCCTTCTACAAGACCTGCGTTGGTGTCAGGACACAGTCGGACAAGGAGTCCCTGTTGAGATTTCTTCAACATCAAGGTCTGCAGCCGCCGTCGCGCAATTTCTCCCAACTCATCTTCAGCATGGCGGCTCGGTTCGGCGTGGGTCTGCTCATCCAGTTCGATTCTCACCATTCTACCTCTCCCGGAGCTGGAGGGGAAGATCGCACCCTTCAACTGAATTGGAATCAGAATTTCTGGGTCTGGAAAACGTCGGGCAAACGACTGCTGGATCCGACTGTGCCATACCGGGATTTTGTTGCTTCCGTGCAGCAGCTCATCGGAGGCGGACAGACAAACTCGACCACAGATGCAACCACCTTGAATGAAATCGCGGCCACTGAAGAGCTGGTGTGGGAAATAATCGACACCACGTACAAGGGCAACGGGTCCGAAAACCTCACCTTTGCAGCGTTCAAGAAGCTTCTGGTACACGTCAACCCCGACACGTTGTCTCAGGACCTATTCAGTTCAGAAATTCCGTACTTTCCCGAAGACAGCTTTCTCCTGAAAGGTGCAAATCTGTTGCCCTGTCTCGACACCATCCTTACCACCATCCAGGAAGACAAGCTCGCAGCGTACCTGTCCTGGGAGGCCGCTCGGCAGATGGCGCCATTCTTCCTTCCCGTGCCATCCGGCATGCCCCTCAATGACATCTGCGTCTATTCAATGCAGATGCTGCTCGGTAAATCCGCAGCTCTGCTACCTTGCATTCTCAATCATGTGACTAACGCCGTCCTCGACGACGTTCAGGCCATCTTTGCCAGCATTCGCCTGGCATCCCAGGCGGCAATACTCAAAGCCGAGTTTGAAATTACGAACGGCCATCAGTTGTCCGCTCTGGTCTCTCGGTTGAAGGGAATGCACTTGAGGATTGCATACCCTGACAACATAGAAAGTCTGCCTCGCCTAAATAGCCACCTGGATGCAATCTCCGATATGAACAGTGGCTTTCTGGACAACTACATCAGCGTCCTCAAGACATCCTGGAAGCTCGGAACGCAGAACTTCGATGGGGCCTTGATGGTCGGGATCAACGGGTTGAGAGTTACGTACGACTTGCAGCACAACACGTTGGTGCTTCCCGCGGAGTACCTGCTGCCTCCACTGTACGCTGTGGACTCTATCTCGGCCGCAAACTACGGCACTATAGGCGCAGCACTTTCCACGGGTCTGTGGTGGCCACACGTTCCTTTCTCGGGCCAAGACGTGGACAACTTGACCCTCCGCTCCCTCGCCGAGTATCACGCCAAGAGTTTCCAGTGCATCCGAGGAGGTATTGTTCACGTTGAGGACGTCTTCTCGATGCTGGCAATGGAAGTTGTCACCGAAGCATTTGGGTGGACCTTGAAGAAATCGCCCGCCGAAGAATCGGTCGAAGACTGGCAGCTTTTGTATGTTACAAGCTGCTTGGCTTCCTGTGGCTCAGGTCTCAACTTCTGCCAGCTGGCTTCTGCGGGTCTGCCAAAGTTTCGGTCAGTCTTTCAATGTGCTGCTCAAGTGGACCACATGGAACCATGTCACATCGTCTAATTCCCACTCTCTTGCGATCACACCTACACATTATATACATTTCCCTTTGTTTGCAGATAAGTAAGGCTCACTAAAAGCGTTTGCGGATAAGTAAGGCTCAAAAAAGCTTTAAAGAAAATTACTGGATTATTTTTCTGGCATGTATGGGACCAGCAAAATATAGTTGACTCATTCATCTAGGCCATTTTTTCGAGTCGTGCTGATACATCGATAAAAAGGGGCAGCTTATGGAGCTTAGAGATAACGTCCTTTCAACTCAGATATTTTGTAAAATAATGGGATAGTTCCTTAAAGCAGTTCCTTAAACGGTGCTGCTTTCAAGATTCTTATGTTGTCAAACTCTGAACCCTTGATGCCAGTAAACGCTGATGAAGAAACGCTGATTAGTTCAATGAACCTATGTGTTTCTTCCTTTCACTTCTCAGTTTCCCCCTCGTCCACTGCAAAATTGCTGGAGAGTTCTCCGTAGCAAGATTCATTTTCACGAACCCCAAAGGTGGCAGAAACTAGTTCCTGCAGTCGGTTTTAGGACAGGCACGATGCTTCGACGACATTCTACGAGTATGCCGTCATACTTGTTCTTAGATTAGAATAAATCACTCGAACAGCAAGCACTGCAACAAAAACAGCTACAAGGTGCTACTGCAATGCTACTATGGTGACACATCATGAACACACGTTTGCGAAGCCAGGTAAGAAACAGAAGGGGGTTTGATTGAAGTCACTCTCACTGTTCTCCATTCACCCCATAATAGCTATAGTCTTGCCCCATGTGTGCAAACACGTACAGCAAGTGCATGAAGGTAGCATTGGCAGGCTCACGATTGCATGTGTTGGCCCACATGAAAGCTATGGCGGCAATCAGATTAACTGCTTGCCACTATGAATACCCAAACATCTTTCCTTAAGTTTCAAATCTGGGAACATAAACCTCAATCAATAATGCACACAGCCTGTTCGGATATTGTAGCCTACCATCTATTCTTGCATAGCAGTTAGTTGCATTTTGAAAATTTTACTACAAGGTAGAGAGAGTTGCCTCATCAATGCAAGTGCATGGACCATCCTGCCCTCTATAGTCGATTACAAGCCAAGAAGGTAGGAGAAGCTCCTCCCATAAGCATGATTCGTCCGTTTCAAATCCGTCCGCAGTCAAAAGAATAGTTCCCTGGAAACGCCCCTTGTTCCGCTTCAATGAATAGATAATTTATTTTTATTTATTTCATAATACTATCAGTCCCCCAGCGGGGACTATGATAGGAGTCAGTACAGAGTAATGCCAACTTGTCTCCAACCCCCCCTTTTTAAGAAAGCAACCTTTGTATTCATCGGAGGAGGAACCTAACTCCCCGAAGTCGCATTTGTTTCCATCGGAGTAAAAAAATTCTAATCTCCCTCTCGTGGCTTCCACAATGCTAAGTCAGTCTAAAGATAAAGCAAATATTCACAGGAAGGCAAAACTCTCTCCCACGTTGACCATGACTTCACGGAAACGATGGGACGCTATTGGATGCGGAGGTGGCGGAGGGATTTATGAATCCCTTTGAGGGGCATTTGCCGCTACCTTCTTGACCTGTAACTTACTATAATCCTACTTTCTTCTCTACACTAAAAACAGTCCCGCCGTAAAGAGCAGTGAAGCAGTTTCTACCAGTGCCAGACGACAAAGTGTATTCAATTGAACTTGAACAAAGCAAACCTTCCAACTACTATTACTGTTCGATACAAAGGTAAATTGAATAGTGCCATATTTGAATCGATAACTGAGTTTCGGAAAGTTTGCAGAAACTTACTGTTAAATGATCCTGAAACAGTTACCCAAGTTTCAGCATTGAGAAACATAAATTAAGCTTTGGCACAATCTAGCAGCAAATATATTGCATTTTAGCGAAATGTTAGCAGGGGAAGATCTCCAGCACAAATGACAAATCAGTCACATCACTGAATATCACCTAGTTGCAACATGACAAGTTTGTGACCTATGTCAGACCAGACTGAGGTACACTGTAACAATGAAAGGCTCCTGACAGCGCTTATATGAAACACTGGAGATGTCTTCTACAACCCCATCAGCTTTGTACACCAGGACCATCTAAAGAAAAAGCTGGACCAGCCTTTGTTGCCCACCAACACCACTTCAGAAGTCGAGTTTATTGATTTGCAGCAGCATCCATTCAAGGTACTGCAAGGCATGATCATGTCCAATAAAACATCACAAAGTAAAACGGACACAAAGATCACTTTTTACGATTATAACAAATATGTTGCGCAACAGTCTCGCCACCGTCAGGACACCTTGGCCTGTCAACAGTTGGGACGCCGCACCACTGCAGAAATGTCCCTGATGTCGGCCAACATTAGATATGACCGCACCCGCAGCCAATTGTCCAGCCCGATCTGATCCAACTGTGTCTGTCCCTCGCTGCCACCTTCACACACCAAGCTGTCTTTGACAACGCCTGCCACGGCTAAAAAGTTGACATCCAGGTACGTTCTACTGGTCTGGATCCTCTGCTTAGTGTTGACTTCTGACTCACTAGCAAGTCGCTGAACCTCGTCGGACAACGCCGCGCTGCGGGACACTTGTTCGAACGCCTCTCCACACCTCCTATCATGCGTTCCCATGACAAAGTGAGCCGCCAGCTGCAATAAGGAGAAGTTCCGTCGCAGGACATTCCTCACCCTGAACATCCACTCTTTGTCATCCAGGTCACAGTTGCAATGCTTAATGTTGATGAGAAACTTGTTGCTCGCCATCTTAGTGGACAGCATTTTTAGTAGAAAGGTACTCAGGGCATCGCCGAGTTTGAGGTAGTTCAGAGTCCTGTTTCTTTCTAGTATTTCTGCGAAGTGCTCCAAGTGACACCTCCTGAAACTCCAGCGTGACAACATCAGCGTGGAGACACTTTTGTTACATGAAAGTGCACCCAAGAAAGCCTCCGTAGCTGCAAAGGTTGTTGGAAAGTCAAGTTCGGCATGCTTCAGCGTCTCTGTTGACGACAAGAATTGTGCCAACGGTTCCGCACAGCCCTTCCGCATCTTGTGCTCTAGCTTCACCTCAAGCTTGACTAAATGACTGCACAAATTCAGGCAACTAAGTGCAGACCGCTCAGGGTCAGGTGTGCCTTCACTCTCGTAAGAGCCATGGTCTGAATCTAGTTCATAGACTGAGGTCAAACAGGTTCCATCTGTCGTCGCTGCAGTATTGCAGTAACTGACCTCCGTGAGCTCATGGCAGCTCTCCAGAGTGTGCTGCAACACAGAGGGACTCTTGATGACACTTTTTATCTTTACTCTCTGGCTTGTGCCAGTCTCCAGTAGAACCTTGTGCACGTCTGCAACCAGCTTCTCGTCAACGTCTTCTCCTGTGACCATCTGGAGCGAACGGTTCTCAGCCAGTGCTTCACAAAGCTTGGTGATGTCTTCAAGCGATAGCTCAGACCAGCAAAGGCCCAGCCGCCTCATCATCAGATTGGTACGAATGGCCGCTGCAAGCTGCTCCACACCTGCCACGATGACATTCTCCATGGCTAGCTCGACAAGCCCGTTATTGTTTCGGATGATCTCGGCTAGGGAGTCCGCTTCAAGCGCATACTTTTGTCCAGAGGAACGGTAACTTCGCAGAGTGTTGTTAGCCGACATGGCCCTGGAAAGCAGAGGCCCCTGAGATGACCCGAAGAAGTAACTTTCAAGGTGCAACTTTCTCAAAACCCGGTTTGTTGCCAGGGCTTCCAACACGGGTCCGAGTTCTTTCCTATTTAGCAGATTCCAGTAGATTGGCTCGAGAACGAGTTCTTCGAGGACGTCATGTTCCGCCAAGTACTCCCCAAGCACCGCACCTTCTCCATCGCATGGACACCATCCAGTGAGGTGTAATGCCTTAATAGTCTTGCTCCGCTTCAAGTTCCGAATCAGGACGTCTGCTCCGTGAACAAGCGTAGAGTCAAGGCTGACGGAGCAGGATCTCAGATGTGGCATGTTCTCAAAGGCGGCTCCGAGGAGTGTGATGGCAGCTTCAGAAAGCCAGACGCCTTTCAGTACAAGGTCTTCTAGCCCCGTTAGAGTGCCGATGGCGGCCACCATATGCCGAGAGACGTCTTCAGTTCGAGTTTCATTGCTTTGACAAAGCTCCAGGCGTCGAAGGTCCTTGTTCAGCTGGAGAGCGTCAAAAAAGAGCTTGGTGTTTTTATATGCCACAAAGGCTTTGAGCTCTCTGATGCAGCGGTGCTCTTTGAGAAGCCTATGCAAGAGGATGCATGCCTGGCGATGCATGACTTCCGACACGCTGGGTAAGCTCCAGTGCAGAGTGTCGGTGCCGAGCACCCCTGGTGCCACTTCCTTGACCTCCATCCTGCACAGCCCCAGAAATTCATTCCAGAAGTTGAGGTTGTTCAAGATGTGGCAATACTGCGTGTCACTCTGCGTGCAGGGCCGATCGTACTTGGCACCCTTGGAGTTGTGGAGGATCATGTAGATCTGTTGGGCGTTTTGCTCCATGTCCAACAGCTTGCCCACGTGGGCACAATAGTCTTTGAGCTTCTGCCACTCCTTACCCAGCATGGTGCTAAAAGATGGAAGGAAAGAGTTGAAACAGTTTAAAGCATCTGGGTAAGTAGGCCTTAATAAAAATTTGGGAGCTTTACGTGCAAAATAATGTACTGGGTGATTCAAGGAGCGGCCAGGCTCTTTAAATCGACCGCAAAATTCGGTCTCTTAACCTATCGCGCTACGACTTTGTGCAGCGTTGCCCACAGATGGTGCATCTTTTTTGTCAAATTAACAAAGAGTGAACTTACTTGAGAAAAAAGTAAAGAAAGAAAAAGGCTTAGCTCCTATAAAAACGCAGCAAAACCACCGGTCTTCAAACAATACGGCGCCGCTTCGCACGGGAGACAGGAGATGGCGCAAGCAGTCGCGACGCTAACGAACAAGCATACAGCACCGAGAGCCGGCGTCTTCAGCAAACGATCGTTTCAACTCAAAAGCGGTGCACATTCCACAGGTGGCGACAGTCGCAGAAACAAAAACAGGCGCAGTAACAACAAGGAACTGCAAAGCAGACGACATCAGTACCCAAAAAAAAACAAAAAACAGTCAGAGTATTCTGACAAACCATTTTTTTAAATTGATTATCTGTCCATTCATTATGTTTCATTAGCAAGGATGATAAAATAATGCATTGGCAACTGATATCAAAAAAGCTCGCGCCGCTTTTGAGTCAAAACGATTGTCAGCTAAAGACGCCAGCTCTCGACGCCGTATGCTCAATGGTTGGCGGCAGTTGGCGTCACGACTGCTTGCGCCATTTCGTCTCCAGTGCGAAGCAGCGTCGTATTGTTTGAAGACCGGTGGCTTCGCTGCGTTGCCATAGAAGCTAAGCCTTTTTCTTTCCTTACTTTTGCCTCAGGTAAATTCGCTCTTTGCAAATTTTGCAAAAAACAATGCACCATCTGTGGGCAACACTGCACAAAGTTGTAGCGCGATAGGTTAAGGAACCAAATTTTGCGGTCGATTTAAAAAGCCTGGCAGCTCCTTGATTTACCCAGCAGTACATCTGGCACGCCCTAGCGGAGGACTGAGGATTAGTTTTGACCACTTCGGGATCTTTAGACAAGCAACTGAAAGCTCAGTTTCCCTCTCCAACAAGCCTTCATTAGACACTAGGCCTCAAGAGTATCATGTAATGACAGCATGGGTGCCACTAGCATGTCTTTTACAGCATACACTACTCGCACTGTAAATGGAAACAGCGAAATAGGATACAATGATCTGAAAAAAATAATGCATGATGATGATGTATGACAATTTGCAAAAGCAACTATTGACGTATTCATTGATATTGCTTGGATAATCATAAGGGCTGTTTGCCCTGCTGCTGCAAAGTATATATGTGAACAGCAGGTATTCAAAGGTGGTCAACTCGGCTGGCAGACGTAACAGGAAAGTGCCTCAATGGTAGTCCGGTCAAAGTTTTTGGTATGCGCTGAACACTGCTGTTCACACAGACGCTCAGCAGAAACCATACTAAGGGTGCGCAAGCAAGGATTTCTGAAACCAAATCAAAATACTGGTTGCACCGAGTCGAAAATGAACTAACAATTTTCAAATAGTGTGCAGACAGTTTATAAGGAAGAGTACACTGTCTACAAGAATACTAGTCTGTAGTCCAAATAGTTTCCTACAAATTGCTGTAAGCATGCAAGGCTAGGCAAAAATGGCTAGAATTGAAGAGTGTGACTAAACCGACAAAAGGCTCGAGGTACACCTAAGCACTTAATTAAAAGTTGCAAATGCGAAAGCATGAATGTCGTTCTTGCGCGTGTTCTCGTGAAATGGCCGCGCCGCGCTCCATAGCGTGCTCGAGCCTGCTTCGACGTCACATACAAATCGAGCCTGCTGTCGACGTCACATACACCCCTGCACGATTTCTCCCTCGTGTGAATACTCCTTTAGGCATGACGTCCTAAAGAGTCGCAAGTGTGTGAACAGGCCTTAAAGGGACACTGACACCCCCCAAAAAATTTTTTTTATTTTTTGCCAGGCGCTTCATTATGGTGTCGGGGGACTACCCAATTAATATTTTGCAACAGAGTAGCGTATTTCTTTAATAAAGCCAAAAGACGCAACTGCTCGAAACCGAAACCGAAACCCGACGGAGGTCGGAGAAGTGGAGAGAAGAGAGTGACTGGCGGAAGTCACGTGGCTACACCCGACCGTGCTTTTTTTTTTTTGTTTTTCTCCTCTCCGGTAGCAGACGACACGACATGCGGCGTGCGGGAACTGCTTGCCGTGCCATTCTTTTGCAGTTATGTTTGTTCCGCTCGTTGTTATGTACTCCAAGATGAGTTGTTTTGTACATTGAGGAGTTAGAGATGAGTAGTGAGTGCCCGTGGTGAATTTCCATGATCGGCTCCGAAAAGTATAAACCCAAGATGTTGCGTGAAGAGCTGGCTCACATGTCCTGCATCCGAAAAAAAGTGGCATTGTCGAAAGATCAACGGGATCGGGACCAATGACTGGCTGCAATTCCTGTAGAACATTTACGGGCACCTCGGAAAGCGGACGCTACCTGATTTATATGCTCCTTGCACTTTGTGGAAAGTGATTACATTGAGTTCGCAGGTGTCAAAACGGAAATCCCATACCGTTTAATTCAGCGAAGTATCGTCCACAACATTTGTTTGTTATTTTTTTTTTTGTTTGTTCCTTCAGTGATGATTGTAAAAAAAAGAAAAAAATATGTAAACATCAGAAATTGTTTGCAAAAAAAAAAAAAAAAAATCACGGGGGATCGAACCCGGACCTTCGGTGTGTGAAGCGGTCGTCTTTCCCACTGAGCTACTGGGGAATCTCGTTTCTGGTGGATCTCTTTCCTTAGTAATAATTCAGCCGGTAAACTGTAAGTTTGAAAGTTTGCTGTCGATTTTTCTTTAGCAAAAGCACTCCCGGGTCGAAGTCGGGAAGCACCACGCTTTGGGGACATTCGCACCTAGTAAAGAAATCGTACGCGTGCATATTCAACTCGAAGTAGACACGTCGTGCTTGACGTTTGCGCGAGCGTTGTCTTCAGCCACGAGAAGGGAGCGACGGCTCGGCGACGTCTTCGTGCAAATCGGCTTGGTGGCCGGGCGTGTCGTACGGGATGAATACCAATTCTTTTGATCAATCCCAAATTTCTCTTTTAACGGTAGACAGAATTCGCCGGTACCGCGAACGACAGTTCTGAAATAGAGGTCCCACGCCCGTCGTCCGCTGCCATCGCCGTCCCCGCGAGTCCCACGATACGCGAAACGACAAACGCACAGAATGCTTCCGGTTGTCTGTGGAACTTTTTTTTTCAATCAACGTATTGCAGCTTTTTAGAAGCCACAAAAAATGGGTTTCATATTTTTTTCTATTTTTAATATTGAGTGTGTGCCTTCAGTGACCCACGACTTTGATTAAATTTGGTGGTCGCATCGATACCTTAGAAAATGGCCCGTGACCGCGGAAAAGAGAGTGAGCGAGACTCGAACCGGCCAGTTCTTGATCGGCGGTTTTCGGGCGGAAAGAAACCGAATTTCGAGCCGCAAATTCTGTTCTGGGTAGTTGAGCCCTCATATGTCACGTACAACTAACAACCTCGGCGAGCATAAATACCCTGTCAGTGTCCCTTTAAATACAAGATTCTTCTCACAAAAAACAAAACAAATTAATAAAGGAAACGCCACTGGCACTAAAAACCAGTGTGGCACTGCCCTTAAAGGATTTTTGTTTCCTGCTACTAACCGCCGCAACCCCCAACCCTTTCCCTTTTACAGCGACTTGCAGGACTTGTTCCGATGTGGAAGGTGTGGGCTTCCACCTACACAGGAGGCTAGGTTCCAACAAAAGCGCTTGCTCCTTTTTTTTTCTTTTTATGAGCAGCACGTTGACACAGCGGTTTGAATGGCACTTAATGAGGATAAGCACATATTCAACAATGTCCAGCGCTTTGGATCGACAAGCTTGTTTGTACCCGCCGCCCCTCACCGGCATTAAAACGTCACTAACAATTACTTTATTTTTTGGCTTTAATCGTTGACATCATGGCATGTAAACGAGTCTATGGTGATTCCGCTTCTTTTAGCGCTGCACATGGACAGCTAGCGCTTCTAGCGACGTCACGAGTCATGGACAAAGCCAAGGAACCGACCAATAAGCTGTACAGTACAGATGTCACGCGTATGAGTGGGCCGCGTGTATCTCTCAAACAAATGTCTACAGTACCGACAGAAGCACTGGCGCGTGAGCCTCTACTGATCAGTGCTTTGTACGAGAACTCGCGCATAAAAAGCACTTTCCAAAGCCACTCGCTTGTCTTTGAAGCACTGGCGCGTGAGCCTCTACTGATCAGTGCTTTGTACGAGAACTCGCGCATAAAAGGCACTTTCCAAAGCCACTCGCTCGTCTTTGTAGCGGCAAATGGAAGACAAACCAAACCAAAACAATAAAAATGAAATTCGAAATTTTGGAAACCTAAAACATGATAATAATAATAATAATAACAAAAAAGGTGGGATTACACGCACACAGTCGACTCCTGTGACGTACCCTTTGTTTGCTCCTCTTTGTTCCTCGGTCAGAGTTTTCCAAGTCGATCAAAATTTATCACCTCGTCTGTGCCTCCTCTGTACTTCATATTGCTTCATACGAAGACTGCGCAGGACACACCCGCCCCTTTCTTGATTCAGACCACGGTGATTCAGTCGCTGATTAGCTTCAGCAGCAACAGCAGATACAGCTGCTGTCCGCTTCCTAACAACGCGCGCGCAAAAAGTGTGGCTTGGGCTGGCTGGGCCGCTAGGCTATCCGGGCTGATCCGGGCTTTTGGCTGGGCCGAGTGGGCTAGACTTTGATGGCTTTTCTGATTACTTACTTCGTATACGATGTATTTTTTATTTAAAAGTTTTAGCGTTTTACCTGCTTTAAATAGAGAGTTTTAGTAGATCGTTCCCATGACTCCGATAACGATACCCCATACTCCGCCACCGCCTCCCTTGTGCATGCATAGTATCGGAGGTATTGGAACGATCTACTAAAACTCTCTAATAGCGATTGAGGTATTGATTAGAGATCAGTGGGCTGGTGGACTCGGTGATGGAGTACGAGTTGTGATGATGATGACAGCTGATCATGGTAGATTTTAGGCGATTTTTAGGTCAACTCACCGGCTGCACGCTCTGTTTACGCTAGAGCGTTCGCTCGATTCACGAGTTGACCTGCTTGCATGCACTTTCCTTGCATCCGCTTCCAGCCGATCAACAACTGCGGGCGCACCTTTACTCGACGAAGTTCTTCTCGCAAAAGACTCGAAATATGACAAAGATGGGGCTAACCGAAAACGATCCGCACTCCTTCGCCCATCCGGACAAATGCGTCGTGACACACCTTCACCTGGACGTCGAGATTGACTTCGAGCGAAAAATTCTCGTCGGATTCGTTGATCTGACTTGTGAGAAACGATCGCAAGATGCCAACTCTCTGGTGAGCCATTTCACCGGCTGTACTCGTCAAGTTGTCCAATTGTTTATCATTGATCCAAGCATTGATCATATGGTTGCTGTTTTGGGTAGACTAGTTGGCAGAGTTGGCAGGTAATGGTTAAGAAAACGTTTTTCTACTCTCACCAAATGAGACGGCTTACATCTAGAGACAGGTGATTTTGGAGTAGTTTATTAGACGGGTAAAAATAGAGGCGTACAGTAGTGTCCTCGGAAGCTGTTCAGTGTGATTATAAATTTTTTTCAGGTCCTGGATACACAAGACCTCAACATCAAGCGAGTCACTTATAGCAAAACAGGTAAAGAACTAGAGTATGATGCCTCTACAGTGGATCCAATCTTTGGAACCAAGTTGGAGATACAGCTACCTTCGTCGATGGAGACAAACTCGGCCCAGAAGTGAGAACATAAAAAAATGTTATGCCGTACAGTGTTCCCTAGCTAAAAGCCAACTTGTTCTCAAAACAGGATCCGAGTTGAGTACGAGACAAGTTCCTGTTCAAGCGCTCTTCAGTGGCTGACTCCCGAACAGACGGCAGGAAAACAGCATCCGTACCTGTACAGCCATTGCGAGGCAAGTCAGTAACGAGTTAAGCTCGGCGATTCCGAAGCTACCTTGAGTGTCTTCATATCTCTTCTGTAGCCCATCCATGCGCGTGCCATGGTGCCATGCCAGGACACTCCCAGCGTCAAGACCACCTACACTGCCACCGTAAGTTATAAGCTACACATCATCTCTGCGCATATCAATTATGACCAAGAAAGTGTTACTTCGACACCATGGTGCTTATAGCCTCACATTTATTGGAATATCTTCAGCCGGCATTCAGCTCCGTGGCTTCCTTGTGGTACAAAAGTTAAAAGTTGCTGCCGTAATGTTTAAGCAAGAAGGCCTTTGTGGGTGAGCAGACGAATGAGAGCGGTTGACATGGGGTCGCAAAAATTTAATCGAAAAGGTAAAGTTGAAAGGCAGCGCAAATTAAGCTGGGACTTGAGTTAACACTGGAACTTTCAAATTCAGCTGGAATAACCCTTTTTGTGTAGCCTGACCTCACATCAAAATCTTTCTAGGTTCGAGCACCCAAGGAACTCACTGTCTTAATGAGCGCAGTTCGCGAGGGTGAGGAAGATTCGGGAGGCGGGGCTACCAGAGTCGCCCGATTCACCCAGAAGGTAAACGAGCAGCCTAACACTTGAACGTCAGCGGCTTACGTTCTTGCAAACTCGTTTATTTTCAGGTTCCGATCCCAGCCTACCTCCTTGCATTGGTCGCTGGCTGTCTGGAAAGCAGGTCAGCATTTGCATTATTACTAGGGTTCCGTGTTTTCGGCGTACGCCGACAAACCCCGAAGATTTACCTGTGAGCCGATTTTATTCAGAATCGGGGGGGAAAACCGGAAAGCCTCGAATCGGAGCTGTCCTCAAACGACAAAAGGCCCAAGCTTCGCGAAAAGAAATCTTTGTCTACAATTTTTTCAGTGCTGACCCGGAGCACAACTCGCACGGAAATGTCCGCAAGGCTGCTATCTTTTTCGAGAACCACACCTATCATCTCGTTTCTTTGTCTTATTGGTACCGGGACGTTCTCCAAGTATCGAGGTGAAGCGGCACATTTTTTCTGGAGATTGGGGACTCTCAGTCACATTTACCATTTTCTTTGAGACAAGCTGCCATAAACACCCATTTTTTTTTTTGTCCAACACCAAAAACGTTGAAGTTTTTGGAAAGAAACCTTGCAAACACAGAACCCTTTATATTATGCATGATTTTTTCATAATCCCCTGTTATGTTCATCTTGAGCGCCCTGTCAACCTGATGACCCAGAAGCGATACATTTCTTGCAGGAAGCTCGGTCCGCGCTGCACAGTGTGGGCCGAGAAAGAATTTGTGGACCTGGCCGTGATCGACTTCGAGGATGTAAGTGGCTTTTCTTTTGGGACGGGCATCTTGGCATTTGAAACACTTCGTTGGTGTTTGCCTCGCATGTTTTTAGTCTTAACGAGTGGAAGGTTGACGTGCACGAGATTTGGTACGCAATCTCTTAGCTTTTACTCTTGTTGGTACTAATGCAGCGTGGTGACATGTAAAGAAATTGATTTCTAAAAATGCCACGGCATAGTGAGTATTTGGCACACGCTCACTGCATACCAGCAATTCATAAGTATCATCGTATACTGTTAATTTTCACAAGAAACTATGGTAGTTTGGAAATTTTCGCGACTGTGAAATATGGCACGAAATTGTTCGCACGAATATATCACCCCATGTTAATGATTGCATAGCATACCACTCCTGATGGTGAAATTTTGTGCTTGCAAATTATTCTTGAAATCCACGCTTCAAAAAATGTGTGAAATATTGAGCCCGCGAAATTAAAGTCATTTACTGCAGTCTGTTATGAGAAGTGTAGGCACATTGAAAGGATTACATTGAGAATGGGAAACAGCAACCCTCACTCTAAAATGCTAGAGAGCCATTAAGAGAAACCGAAGCTATGTTCATTGAAGCCTAATGTTGGTGACAAAATGTAATCTGGATGGATGTCCTAAGTCAAAGAAAGATAAACATTTGATTCCTCCCGCCCTTCTAAGCCAATTTTCTACGCCCTAACTATCACCAGGTTGTGTGAGATATCACCATGATGACCTTTGGGGGATCGGGCTAAAAAACTAAAAGCATCACCCCCCGCCTCTTCCCCCCCGGCGAGGGAGTCGCCAATTTTCCTCTGGTCAAACCTTGTCGGCATTACACCTGCACCAGACCCACTGGGGGACAGGGTTGAGACTTTGGGCCGGAGGCACGCGGGAGGGAGTCCTAATTTTCCTCTTTCCCGCCTGTCCCCAGCTGTGCTAGTTAGTTGTGCATCATTAAATTTTCCCTAGATAATTTTCACCAATCTTCTAATCGCCTCTTTGTGACTGTAATCCTCTTCTCCTCCGTCCTTCCATCATCGCCAGCAAAGCCCAGGGCCCCGGCCAGATCTGTTACCAATGTTGTTGTTGTCTTTCTTTCTTTCTTAGACGGAACTCATGCTGACGACTGCAGAATCACTGGTCGGCGACTATGTGTGGGGCGTTTACGACCTGCTGGTGCTGCCACCTTCGTTTCCGTACGGAGGCATGGAGAACCCTTGCCTCACCTTTGTCACCCCAACACTTCTTGTAAGTAGTCACCAGTGACAAGGCCATTCGATTCTGACCATATTTAGAACAGGTGTATTCTGCATCTGTAGACTGTAGCGTGTACTCAAACCTAAAACAAGACATATTTTGGTTGCTGTCAGTCATACACAAACCATCAGGGCGGAGCTAACCACTATGACTACAAGATAACCATCCATCCTTATTTTCGGGCAGGTTTGAATATCGATTTGAATGTTGCACATGTTTAGCACGTGCTCGGACCTTAAATGGGACTTGCTGTTTGGTGCTGACCACTACTAGATGACCATCTATTTCTTTTGAGGCCGATTCAGATATTGATTTGAATCTGCCTCGAAATCAAATAACTTTATAGACTCAGTTGCGACAAACCGTCCGAGTTACATCTGTCGCTTTTCTTCCGTCTCGCATGCATTGCAACCATTGCTGTTATGATGCTGCTCAGCGCTTCCATCTCCGGCACAGTGGCTTTAGTGTCTTCACAAAGCCGCATGCAGCGGTCTCCCTTCCGTCGCATTTCCGACCATGCGTCGGTCGTGACGGCTTAGGAGTCTTGGCTCCCCATTAAAGCTCTCGAAATTCTTTCGATGCATCCATTATCGCACTCTCTTGGCGTACCAAAATTCAGCCTAGGACCCAGTGCGAGTTCGGGCACTTTACCCGCAGGCTGGTGACAAGTCTCTGGCCAGTGTCATCGCCCACGAGATTGCACACAGCTGGACGGGCAACTTGGTGACCAACCGCACCTTCGAGCACTTTTGGTGAGCGAGAGCGAGAGGTTTGACACTTATTGCAGAGCTGCGAGTTTAGTTACATGGGGTGTACACCTGTGCCGTCGTATAACGTAGGCCTTTTGCACCCGACGTCACTTCCGGTTAACCTCGAAATCGAAACCAACATTGTCGTCTGGCTCTATGGCATTCAATGCCATAGGGCTTACATTTAATGACGAAGCGAACTGGTGGCGAGCGACCAGTCGAACGGAGGAATAACCGTGACTTGCGTTTAACGTCCGCGGACGGTATTTAAACGCCTCGCAGGAGTGCCGTCGGACGGAAAAGAATGTGTTGTCTGCAAATCGTTTGCGGCGATTGAAAAGAAAATTAGTGCTGCTACCCAAACATGAAATCGTTTGGGGGATATTGTGCAAAACTTGTCAGCGCCATAGCTGGTCCTCCAGCTGTTTGTTTGACTGGCTACACAGATGAAGACGAGCTGCCACGCAAGTAATCTCGTCCGCTTTACTTAACCTAGTCAGTCGCAAAACGGTTCCTCACTTGATGCGAAGTGCAGTCCACAAACCCTTAGTTGATACAAAGCTTTTCTGTCGAGATTGTGTTGGCATATCAGTCGGAGCCATTCACAACACCGGTGAAGCGATTGCTCGAACGTCGCCTTGTCCCGGTTCCCAATGATTGCCTGATTATAACAAAACCAATACTGCTGGCCGTAGCTCCATTTCGTCACCGACTTTTACGGCGGTAACAATTAGCTACGGCGCAACTGACCAGGTTAAGCCTCAAGGGAGCGGACAAACTACAGTACGAACACGGTTCCAAAGCACACAAAACATGCCATAACAGCGACGAACGCCTCCAACGTGAATTCCGGCGGGTTCTGGCAAGATTTCGAAACCGGAAGTAACATTGCATCATGGTCTCATGCAAGAGCCCTATAGGGGAATTGTTTGAAACGTGGCTCTTCAGTGTTTCCGTGTGTATGATAACATACTCCAAGAATTCAGAATAGCTGTAATAGCTGAATGGTAATAATAAATAGCTGAGTAGCGATAAAAAACGGCTTGCTAGCAACGAAAAGTAGCCGAGCAGTACTAAATATTCAAGAGGCCAGTTGGAAAGATGATTTCTCCCGTCTTTGTTCTTTGTGTCATTTTCCTTTTATCCCTGTAACTTACCGACACCCTCCACTTCGTCGCGTATGTTTCTTTTGCGTGCATGTGCATTCCCCTCAATGCAGCGAAGGATCGCGGAGAAGTTGGGTGCCAGAGGCGAGGCATTGACAGTGTTCGTCCGGCGCAGGCTCAATGAGGGCTTCACCATGTTCCTGGAGCGCAAGATCATTGGCCGGATGTTTGGGGACGACACCAGGCAATTCCAGGCTCTGGGTGGCGTAGAAGACCTCCTCTACGCCGTGAGAGACCCTTTCAATACGTTATGTCTTTAGGGGCTGGGACCACCGGGGAAAGTGTCACACGCTGCCTTGAAAAACCGTCGCATGCCTGCCAAATTTGACTAAAATTTAGTGGGCAGCGGTCCCGCGACGTTTTTGTCGTCATTGTAGTGGCATCACTGACATTGCGGTGTCAGGTGACATATGTCGCAATTTCCCTGCTTCGTTTCTGCTAAATTTCGGCAGGAAGCACCGGTTAATAAAAACCCCATAAAATATTTTTTTTTTTTGTGCTTGTGTTAGCTTGGGCCAGCTCGTTTGTCTACTTGTTTGTCTTGCCTCGGCGGGATCTGTAATGGATCCTCAATACGTGACTTTTGCGAGCGCACGGGGTTGCGGGCCCAGCTTGTTTACGCTTCGCGAGAGCGTGAACTGAACTTCGCCCATAGCGCCTGCCTGGGAAGAAGAGACCGCTTGTGCCTGCGTGGGAAGAAACCTCAGACAGAACGACCGGAGGCACGCCACGTATACGCACGCAAGAGACCATGTAATCAGAAGTTAATCTACTATAATAAACGCTATTTCATTTTCTCCAATCAACGTCGCATTATTAAATAACGGAACGTCAGCACCCGGCCACCGCTGACACTTGCCTTTGATTTTGTCTCTGGAGTTCGAACCGAATGCCAAGTTCTCTTCCCAGGTGGAGACCCTGGGCGCAGAGAGCCCTCTGACGAGCCTGGTGCCTCCGCTGCGGGGCGTTCACCCCGACGAGGCGTTCTCCAGCATCCCGTACGAGAAGGGACACACCTTCCTCTACTACCTCGAGGAGCTTCTGGGAGGGCCCGGTGGGTGGGGCTCAAGCGATTCTGAATGACCGTAACATGTAGCCGAAGTACAGGGTGCGGCAATGTGAGCCGGACTAGCGGCGTTCAGGCCAGGGCGGTAGGGAAGCCGTAATTATGGAAGACTCCGAGACTAGTGTAGAAAAAGGGGGGCAAGACAAACATCAAATCTGTCTGTCTCTTGTGTCCTTTCTTGCCTTTGTCTTCTGACTCTATTTAAGAAGTAACTTGTCAGATAAAGTTTCGGCCGTATTGAGACTTTGTGTTGTCCTGGTCTTTCGTAATGTGTTCAATTTACATTAGCTTGTTTTCACCCTTACCCTTCTTTTAGAGCACTTGCGGGGAGCCCCCTGTTTAGGTTATGTCGTAGGTTGGAATGGACTTCCACATTTTCTGTTGCCTCTATGTGGCAGTTGGTTTCGTAGCTTAGCATGTCGGAGGCACCCCATGTGGCAGCTTGCCCCTTTTGGCTAGCACTAGACTGGTCCTGCTCATAGTGCTGCCGACTCTAACACATGCGCCATAGGAACACCCACCCGTGGTGAAGAGATGACGGGCAAAAAATGTGGGGTGGGCGATCTTTCGGGGTGTGACGGCAACGGTTTATACAGAAAGAATTTGTCGTCACATAGGGACGTGCTACAAGCTCGTGCAACACAGAAACTTATGCGTGCCGCAGATTGTGGGCATGGCACTTCTTGCAGTATTGTACCTTGACTTGAAAAGCGTTATCGCAAGCGAGTTTATTAATTGACCCCGAAGAGCAACGTAGCCTTTCTGAAGTTCAGTGCCATGTAGCGGCTCAGATGTCAGTCCAAAGTCTGTCATGCTAACGACCATAAACATGCAGCCCTCCCTTCCTGTATGCCTACACCTCACCTGGCTTCCTTCTTTCCCTTCACCCCAAAATAAACAAACAAACAACACATAGCATTCTATTGGACACCATCTCTATTGTACGTCAGCGGCAGAAGACGTGTTCTTCATCGTACAGTTCCTATCGATTAGTTTCAATTTCGACGGTGACAAAGAAGCTGACTGGTCTGTACAAAGCGCCGGCCTAAGTAAAATCCTGGATAAAATTCACCACATCAAGCGGCTTGTGGGCCCAGCGTGCACCACTTGATCAGTTGGATGTGAGCCCGAGATGAACACTGACGCAGTGCTTGCATCCAATTCGTGCACGCCTCGTGCCAACATTTAGGACAAACAGACCTAGTGTTATCCAGCCACCAGCAAGCTGCTATCATCATGTCATGGCCAAGCTGCCATACGCTTGGATGACGACAGCAATCGATGCGGGCAGACTGAATTTTGGAAAGGGTTTCATCACCGTGCAGCAATATAACTCGCATCGCAAGCCCACACGCCTGGCACGGCCACATAACCTGGAAGCGCACACGCAATTGAGCACACGCATCTAATTACATGCACCACTGCATCGGGTGGCAACTTGCTTCATCTATAAGTGCAAGTTGTAACCCTATACTGTGTGTGCAACTGTTTCTGTTTTTACTGTTTTCTATATTTAGTGTTTTCTCATTTAATCAGTAAATATAGAGAAATCCTGGAAACCTGCCTAATCAGTCTGACCAACCCAATTTGTTACCCAAACACAAAAAAATTTGTTACCCAACTGAGCACATTCTTTTAGAGAATGTGCTCAGGAGAATCCAGCGTACATTTCACAAAGCTGATGGGGCGGGCAATATTTCATTGCTTTTTGCCCTAGAGGTGTTTAGCGAGAGAAGCGAGGATGACTATTGAATCAGTGTGCCAGTAGCTTGCTCATCTGTTTGTGTCACGTGCCTGCATTCTGTGCTCAATGTCAGAATCAAAACAGCCAGCGGTGGGAGACACCAGTTGTTTCATGACGACAAATTTTCAGAAACTTAGAGCCTAGAGAACTGGTTCGTATACCGCTTGTAAGTGGTGCGTCTTTGGATCCAGCAATTTAATTTATTTGAACTTCCTTCACAGATGTCTTCAACCCATTCCTCAAGTCCTACATCGAGAAATTCAAGTACAAGTCAGTTGACACTTGGCAGTGGAAGGAGTACCTCCTACAGTACTTCAAGGACAAGGTAATTAGGTGAGCTCGGGCCTGGAAAAAACAAAAATCACAGGGCCCTTGCACACTTTCAGGAGGATGTCCTCAGCACGGTTGACTGGAAGGCCTGGCTGCACGGGCCGGGACTGCCACCCACGATTCCCAGGTAAGCACTGGGCTGAATTTACTGTTTGGAGGACCCTGCTACTGCAGCAATGGGGTGTAGCATTAGGTGTGCGAGATTTTGTATGTTAGGAGTGGTTGTATACAGGAAAAATTAAGAAAACATCTTCTTTTCAATATGGTTCCTTGCAACATTAGTAGTACCCCTGTCTGATCACTGTGCCAAGTAAAAGGTTTAAACGTTTCCATCAATGTCGCGAGACTTCTTCCAAAACATTAGAAAACGAAGAAAATGTACAGTCTGCCGAGTCATTCTCGCAATTTCCTGCCTCGGTGGCCGCAGCTATCGCAGCGAGTCGGTGAAGCAGTGCGAGGACCTCTGCAAGAGATGGGCGGACCCCGACGCAGACGAATCAGAGTTCTCGTCCCGGGACGTAGCCGACTTCAAGCCGAGGCACACCGAGCTCTTCCTGTCCTTCCTGCTACGAGAGGTGGGCCAGTCGTCGCGGACGCATGCTTTTTGACACGCTAACTGCGACACATGGAGGAACCACATTTGAGGAAGCGCTTACCGCATCCTCAAATGTGGTCCCTCCACTTGCGCCCGCCCAACGTTGTAAAACTGTTTTTCTGCTGCCTGCCGCGACCTTGGCACTGGCACGGCAATGGAGGTGTATGTAGCAGACGCCCGTTTTGCCGTAGACCGCTCCTCGGCTTGACAGTCCATGTCAACTTTAGCAGCCGGGAGTGGGAACACGACGAAGACAGTGACACTTGTGTTAGTTATGCAGAGCGCAAGTTCGTCTGCTCCTTTTGCAGGGGTTGTGGTGACGTCAGAACACCACGCTCCGATCGAAGGATAGTACGGAGAGCTCAAGGCAGTTTGCTTTGAGGTCTACCCACTATCCTTCCAATCGAAACCAATCGGAGCTCAGCGTTCTGATGTGACCACAACCCCTTCAAAAGAAGCAGACAAACCTGAGCCCTGCACTAATTTCTGCTGCCACTTCTACATTTAAGCGCTGGGTTTGCAACGTCCAAGAGCATGACGCTCCAGCTCCTGCGACGTCGTTTGTTGCCGCGTCAGGACCAGTCTCGATGCGTGGGCGGGACGCGACAGTAAACAGACCAGTCGAAGGCATGTTCCGGGCAGCATGAGCCTATGCAGAGTGCAACTTTGTCTGCTTCTTTTGTACGTGTTGTGGTGATGTCAAAACACCGAGCTCCGATTGGCTCTGATTGAAGGATAGTGGGTAGACCTCAAGGCAGCTTGCTTAGAGGTTGAGGCCAGCACGACGCAGATTCTGTCATGCTGTCCGTTATTTTATTTGTCTCAGTCTCAGGTTTTCTCTCAATGATGTTATTTCCGTGTTCACTTGGCTTTTTTTTTTTTTTTGTCACTACTGTCACCTCCATGTTCACTTGGCCTTTTTTTTTTTTGTCACTACTGTCGCCTCGAGGTGACGAATGCGACAAAGGATGTATTAGAAATGAAAGCTCTGCTAAAACTTTATGAGATGACGAATGCGATACTGATTCGCCGCCAATTCTTCGGTTTTGCAGAAACCACTCTCGAACAAACGCATTGCCCTGCTGACGCAGTTGTACAAGATGGAGCAAGTCGGAAACTCCGAAATCAAGTTCAGGTGGGCATCTCATCTTCACCAGAGTCAACAGTTTGTTCAAACAAGATATAATGGAACCCATTGTTATTGTAACCTACACCATTCTCATCAAAACCGCCGCATACGCAACAATCAGAAAGTAGATTTTTGTGCAGTGATTAATGCAAAGGTGCAAGCGAGTTGAACGAGAATAGTGATAATAATCCTTGGAGAAGGGGAACAAGGTGGTCAAAAGTTAAACACAAATCTCCAAACACAGCTGCTTGATTGATGCGCGACTGAAAAAATCTGCCAAGAGTTCAGGGCAAGGGAAACAAAGGCCAAAGGGCAAGGGAAACAAAGGCAAACAAAACAAAGGTGGAATGTTGGAGTAAAAGGGATGTTTCCTCCTCTCCTCCCCAGCCCTTCTTTCCTTCGCCCTGAACCCTTAACCTGTCACCGACAATAGTATAGAACCAGGACCTCTCCACAAGGTCCCTGGCTCGATACCAGGACCTGGCACATTTTTACAGTCGCGCATCAGACACCGTGCTGCGTTTGGAGATTTGTGTTTGTCCTACTCGTTCCCCTTCTCCAGGGATTATTATAGTTATTTACACTGTAGCAGCCCTAGATACTTCTGTAATAACATAGGATAAGCTCTCCACCACAACAGCATTGCGAGGCGACGCCGGTGTCGCTCAACACACTAGGGTCATGCCGGTGACGTCGCAAGCACCACGACGCCACTACCACCGAGCCTGCGCGCCCTGGACGTGAAAGTACCAAGAGTTAACCCTATAAATGCCATGCATTTAAAATAAGAAAATACTAACTGTGAAATCTTTTTGAAAAAAATTTCGAGGACACCATAGCACTTCTTAAGAGTTGTGAATGCGAAAGCATTCTCGGTACCAAGAGGAGCAGAAGCAGCCGCAGTGCTGGCAGGGAGCGCAGCGCAGACCGCCCTGGCTCGCTGGTGACTGCTGCGCCGCTGGGTGAGGGAGCGGTGGGAGTGCGAAGCTCAGCACGAGTCAAAATCATGTGTCCTCTCATCATCATCATAGTCTTAGCTGCGCAACGCGAGGCCTAACGTTAGGCCAACGTCGGGATGGTTACACTTGAGTTGCATTTGTACTGTACTTGCTGTTTTTTAAATCCACTGTTCTCTGCATTAGCTAAATATTGTATAACTTTTTATCCTTTTAATATGTCTACCGTGTGTGAACTCGCATTGCCGCTGCTGCTGAAACTTTTGTGGTGCTGGGAACTCTTCAAGCTGTCAATGGAGCTTTCTTTCCCAGCCCTCGCCATTGTAAAAAAATGGTAAATAAACATTGAATTGATTTGAATATACATACCTGCATCCCCCCCTCCCGCTGCGCCGCCAGCAGTTCAGCTGGCTCCTTAGCAACGATGACACTGTTATTATGGAGCTACATGACACGTCGCAGCCAATGGGAATTTAGATGCCATTTCGCTGCTACAGACAATGCCAGCTTTGCTCCATAGCACAGTTAATGCTTTCGAATAAAAAGAAAAGAGTGAAATTTTTGCAAATGCTATACATACTACCGTTCACCATTTACAGTAAGTTACTCCAGTTCCAGAAATGCAAAATATAGTGGCTTGTTTGTTACTTCCGAAAAGAATGCTATCCTTACAGCACTTCCTTTTTACCTCGTTAAGTATTGCAATGTCCTCCCATTGGTCCCAGGTGGCTCCGACTGGGACTGTGTGCCAAGTGGGAACCAATAGTGCCACACGTGACAAAGTTCCTGCGCGAGGTCGGCAGGATGAAGTTTGTCTGCCCCCTCTTCAGGTGAGCGGAGTTTACCGAACGGCAACCAGTGGGCTCGAGAAAGTCCATTCCAGCGATTGTTTTCTCAATAGAGGTTTTGCTAAATTACTCGAGTGCCAAGGAGTATAGACACATGCACCCACCTGCTTGGCATGAAAAATTCAAATTGCCGAAATAAGGTGTTTACAAACACTCGTGGAAAGTGCCATCTGTTGAAGATTTTTGCTTTAGAACAGTTGCTGCTGCAGATGCCTGCACGTGTAACCGGACTTAGCATTTGCTTGGGCAACTTGACTAAGGGTCTCTTGTGCCAGCAGCCCAACCCCTGGCTTTCACATACTTTGTGTGATCGACCATTGTATGGTCTAAAGGCAGTTTAGGTGCACCAAACAGGTTTGCTTACCTTGTCTTTTCTAAGACCAACTAATTATTCTACTATGCTCTGCCGCAAGTTAGTTAACCCCTTGCCCACTAACAAGTGTCACTTGTGCCACTTTAAGTACCATAAAGCCTGACCACGAGTGCGACTAGTGTTTCGGCGCTTGTTTAGTGTGCCCTCCGGCAGATGGCAGCACCACCCTTGTTCTTCCACTTGCCTTGGGCTGTTTGCTCGTTTGCGTTGCTGTTTGACGGAGGGCACTCCATTGAGCCAAGAAAAAAAAAAGTGGACTAGGTAAAAGGGCTTGGCGCAGAGGTCTGCTTTAGCCGATGAAGAGAACCAAAACCTTTTTCGAAAGTGGTGGATAGTCGGCATATCTCACAACGTAGAACCCGGCACGGGCATGCAAAATATGCACAAGAAACAAGAAACAGAGTGAAACATGGGAATGTGGACAGTGCAATGAGGCTCTCCACCTTCCCGAATGTTTTCAGCGCTATTGCACTGTGAAGAACTACTGAAAAGGACCAGAATAGAAGTCCCGACTTAGGGCAAGATACCACACCTGAACGTCAAGGAAATGCCCTTGTCCCATTTCGATGCAAACTGCCTGTTTAAAATAAAGTTTTGGTGTATGTTCCTTAAAGGAAGAAATGAGTAGGCAAGGGGTTAAGAAAAGCTGAGCAAGTTCCTCCCAAAACCAGAGCGAACATCAGAAACCAGGCGAGGTAGAGCAAACGCAGCTTAGCAGAGTGCTTGCCCTGCTAAGCTGTGTAAAGAAGCTTGTCCCGCTTTCAACCTCTCAAGATAATCTAATGTACACTTGCCTCTAGAAAAGAAAGCTTAGCAATTCTGCGCTAGAGATTCGGACAACGTATCTGTTTATTGATTTCCTCCAAACCGACCCTGCAGGGACCTGCATGCCTGGGAAGATCAGCGTCCGCTGAGCACCAGCCTGTTCCTTGAGCTGAAGCCCCGCATGATGCACGTGGTTGTCTGCAAGCTCGCCAAGGACCTCGCCATCTCGAGCTGATAGATGCGATCGAACCACATTCGTCGCGGCGACCAGTGCCACTGTAACCTGGCCAATCTTTTTGTGCATAAACGGATTTACAAGGTCATTCAAAATACAATCCCTCCACACAATTTTTTTTTTTAATTGTGTTTAGCTGGCACACAAAGTGGTGTCACACAGCAGACGAAAGGATGCATCGTACCCACACGCACGGCGACGTGACTGACAATCGCAGTGGCGTGAAACAAGGAGAAAAAAAATGGAAAGATGAAAATGACAAGTGTCTGGTTCACTTCTGCAACGTAGATGTTGGGCACAGGCAGAGAAGCACCACATTCTATGCGACCTCAAGGTTGTCCCAAGGTTACCACCGGTTTCGGTACCCGCCACCGCCACGACGAAAACCACCACCGCCGCCGCCACCATTTCGGTCACGGTCTCCGAACGGCCGCTCCTCGTCCCGCTTCTTCTTCCAGGCTTCGAAGCGTGTGGCCATGGAGTAGAGTTCCTGCGGAACCTCCTGGTTGGCCTCTTCCAGGATGGCGATCAGCTCCTTGGCCTGGCGCCAGTTCTCCCGGGTCACCAGGGTGATGGACTCGCCGCGGCGCCTGTTTACGAGCAACGCAGTTCGTTCCAGAGAAAACTTATCTGCTGCTATGTGCAGAGTTGAGGACAAAAGAAATGTCCGAGAACATTGGAGGCCCTGTTCTTTAAAATTGTCTGTCGTTTCTCATCCAATTTATATCGTCTAACATGTACTACAATTATTTAAGAGCTGGGCACAAACATTTGATAACGGATAATTTGTGATAGCGGAGCGCATGTTCGCCTGCTCCTTTTGCAGGGGTTGTGGTGAAGTCAGAACGCCGAGCCCTGATTGGCTCCAACTGAAAGAGAGTGGGTAGAACTCAAGGCAGCTTGCTTTCAATGCCTGCAAAAGAAGCAGAGAAACTTGTGCTCCACTATCACAAATTATCCATTATCAAATGTTTGTGCCCAGCTCTTTTATGGTAGCCCCATAAAAAAATATCTATGGCACAAAGCATGTTTGCATCTTCTACAAAAGCTACAGGGCCACAAAACTATTCCATTTACTTTAGCATGATCTTTAGAAAACGTAATTACAAATGATTGAATTTTTTGTTGATAAGAATCAAGTTGCTAAGGTTAAAAAATTTTGTAGTTATTTTTTAGAAATATTAGTCTCGTTGCACTCTAATTTACAAGGTGACCAACCCTGAAAATGATTATCCAGATCCAAATTTCCAAAGACATTTTGGCCAGAGATTTGTGTTTTGATGAAAAAAAAAACAATTCTGAGAAAACGGGAGCACTTCAAAAACATGCTTGTAAACAGCCTGAATATGAAACCTTAAATTAATGCAACTACTATACAACTGTGCATTTCCAATTGTACTAATTATAAAATATGTTCTTCGCAACTTACAGCTTGGAGGCAAAAAGTTCTTACAGCTCTTGAAAATGGTGATGCTGACCTCTACACCTGTTAGTGTTTTTTTTAGTGGATGAATATTTGAGCTATAAATCAATTTATAATGTCTATGCGGGCTGAATGTGCATTGAGGTGAACTCTAATACCGTTTTCACAAAACAGTGTTCAGAGTTGTTGAAAATTTGCAAGGGGGATATCTCAACATCTAGGGCAGATAGAAATATAACCTTTCCTGAAACATGTAGCTAAATGTGTGAAGCATAAAATGTTGAGGGCAGATTTTTTAATGTAGGTCTAAGAAAGTGTTTAATCTATCTTTTGTTTTATTATTTGTTAGTCACACATAAAGCACTGGACTTCAATGTGTAGTAAAATCACTAATAATGGGTTAATCTTAAAAGTGTTTCCAACATTGTACTCTCCACACTTTGTAGGACCTAGCTATGTGTTAAATATATTTTGTTGAGCAGTTTTTGCCCTTTTGTTCCTCCAAACAAAAGCAGGTGAGTTTTAATTATCTTGAGGACAATTCTAGTGATTTCGTGCCAACAATGAGAAAACGGATGACTGATGTCTCCCTAGATTCCCGAACAACTTCCAACCACCCCATTCGGAGATTGTCGTTACGTAGCCGTCTGTCGAGGTCCATTTCGTGGCTCTTGAAAACAGTTCCTAGTGAAACATGAGCCACTTTGCTCATGCATGTTTCGAAGTCTGCTATGGCGCATTGTTGTTGTGCAGTACTAACTAGGGAGCAGTAGACTTTGGCATCCAATTCCAACTTGCGAAAGTGAGATGTGTGAAGGGCTTATACAAGTTACACTACCCCACATCTCAAACAGTCTAGATATTGTGTTCTCGTGGCACAAATGGACTTTTCGGGGTGCGGTAGATTTTCACAGCACCGGGGATTCATAGGCCCAATTTTTTCATTTGGGCAACTCCCATAACTGACTTTTAGAAGCATGCCGTAGCTAAAATTGACGGCCACTAAAAGGATGACTCCAACCTGTCAAGGTTACTTACCCAGCTCTTCCAGTGCGTCCCACCCGATGGACGTATTCTTCAATGTTGCGCGGAAAGTCGTAGTTGAAGATGTGCCTGCAAAACGCGAAGACATGCCATTCCCATTTGCCGACACTTGCAGCCGAGAACGAGCGACTTATACGCACTATGCAAAGCCGAACGGCACATCTGGGTGGTCTGGGTGGTCACGGAGAACAAAAGAGAACAATTGACTGAATATTTACTATGCAGTCTCTAACAGAATAAAGAGTGCAGGGAGGCTCTTTCAGGTGCTCGTCCTCCAGGACACACTCTCTGCCCTCCACCATGCTTTAGCTGTACACACACGCTCAAAGTTCACAAGAAGCATCCCTGCCGTTCTTATCCTGGTACCGTAGTCGCAACATTCAAAAGAGCAGGCAACAAATGTGACATAAATAAAAATGGTAATCAACAAGCAGACTGCACTGCATTCTACAAATCTTTGTCTGCTTGTTCTACCGCTTTCCCACAATGCACAAACGCTAGGTGGGAGAAAAGCTTGTTCAGTCATGTTAAAGAGACATTGACAGGGTATTTTATTTATGCTCGCTAAGGTTTTCATTTTTATGTGACATATGAGAGCCCAATTACCCAGAACAGAATTCACTCTCTTTGTGGTCACAACAAGTTCTCTTTGGTTTAGACACGTGCACCAAATATAATCAATCGTGGGTCATCGAAAACACACACTCAATATTAAAAACAGAAAAATATATGATACCCACTTTTTGTGGCTTCTAAAAAGCTGCAAATATGTTGATTGAAAAAAAAAAAGAAGCTGCACAAAAAATTGGTAACACCCTGTGTATTCTCTGTGTAATTCTCAACATGGCGTCATATGTACGTATTGTGGGAGTAGCGGGCTGGACGGCTGAACGAAATGGACTAAGCGATGGCGGCAGATGACGGGCGAGGGACCTCTACTTCAGAACTGTCATTCACGGTACCGGCAAATCTGTCTAGCTTAGAAAAAAAATTGTTTACGATCACGACAAGTAGGGTCTATGACGTACGACACGCCCGAACTAATTCGCACTAAGACGCCGCCCTTTCTCCTGGCTAAAGACGTAGCTTGCATTACAAACCCGAATTGGTAAGAGCCTGAAAAATGCGCAAATGTCAAGCACTAAGTCCTTGACTGGCGTTTTTCGCAGCGACGTGCAAATTTTTCAATTGCCTCGTTCAACCAACAGAAGAAAGAAATGTGACAGCATTAAGGAGCTTGTGTCGCAGAAAAGCCGATGCCGGCTTTTCTGCGACACAAGCTCTTTAACGCAGTCATGTTAATATATGTGAAGCTGATGCTGTAGCAAAATATTGATTCAATAGCCTGGCAAAAAATAAATTACAATTTTTTGGGGGGTTGTCGGTGTCTCTAACGGGAGTCGGCTATTGTAATCAAACTAAATGCATCTTTTCTGTAACTGCTTTGCACAAAAAATAATTAAAAAAGAGGACAGCAGCCATGCTATGTGCCGCAAACAAAAAAACAAACCCTGTAAAAAAATTGCGGTGGCTTAGCTCGGCTATGCCAGGATATACGTAGCGTGAGCTTATGCGCACAAAATGAGAAGCTCTATCAAGCGGCTCCGGTGCAGCGTCAGTCTTGGCTACTGTGCAACGGAGGCGCACAGCTGGGCACGCGCCGGCGCCAGTGCGTCTGCTGCGGCTATGACGTCGCTCCTCTGGAATGCGCAGACCGGCGAGGCGTGCGGCGGCTCCGGCACGCCAGCTGTGCGCTGTGTGACGTCACTGCTCCTTGCGCATGCACAGCACGGCTCTTTGGGAGCCACACGAAACTGCTCAACCTCGGCCAGTGTAGCTCACGCCACAAAAAAAATTAATTTTTTACACAACACAATACGAACACGGTGAACAAGTGTCTGCTTTCTGCCCACTTTGGTATACCCATGTTCGACTGTAGATGTGAAAGAATGAGGGGGGGCAGGTGTACTCACGTGATATCTTTGATGTCGAGGCCACGGGCAGCGACGTCCGTGGCAATTAAGATCTTGACTGTCCCATCGCGGAGGTCTTCTAGGGCTTGCTCCCGGTCGCATTGTTCCCTGCGGACGAAAGCGCACTGAGCGAGGCAACTCCAAGGGCCTCAAGACAGAAGTCTGGCATACCTGTCCCCGTGGATCGACTGGCAGTTGATGCCGGCTAGGATGAAGTCGCTCGACAGGTAGTCCACCCTGGATGCACATTCAAGAATATTTAAAATAATCAAATAAAAAATCCACCCTGGATAATTTATCTAGCAATTCCAGTTTCTAGATTTGGAAAGACGATGGGGTTCAGAAAGACTGGGCATTTTTGCAGAAATTTGTAGAGTGCGACTTTGGTAAATGAGACGAGTACTATGAAAAACTAAAAGTAAACAAATGAAACCGCTACACTTCTTTCCCTCTGCGTCTGGAGATCGGAAAGGCTGCCAACGAGTGGTTCTGCACCTGCAAGATGTGACCACGTATAATGATGTCACGCGACCACATTTGACGATGCCACGGGACCACACGAAATGGTGTCGCGAGACCACATAAAATGGTGTCGCACGATACCGCTCCGTCACACAACTATAACTGTGGGATTACATTATCGCACAACCCATAATAATTACATGATCACACGACTCCTCTCACCATTGGTGTCGCAAAGATTTTGCGTCAACACGAGCATGTAGCAACTACAACCGTTGCATTTAAAGAATAAGGGGTCTGGTTACGAAGCAAGGGGGACGTGGTTCGATGCCCATTAAAGAAATAAGCGTTTACTTGCAAAGAGACCCGGCTGTTGCATCATGCTTTCACGACAGCATTTCATGACACTCTGTGCTTAGAAACCCGCTTCAAAACTCATTTTGTGTTAACATGTGGTTACCGTTAGGTTGGATAACTCCCCTCCCTTCCCCTCCCCCCTTCCCCCCACCAAAAAAAAATGATGGATCACCCCTTAATGCCGGCGGCAGCACTTACGTGGCTTTCTTGTCCAAGAAAACGATGACCTTGTCATCAGGCTGCATAGTCTCCAAAAATCCAAGCAGCTAAGTAAAAAAATAAATAAATAAAACAGTGAGCCAGTCATTACGCTGATTTGATCGTACAAGGTGTCGCCAGCCACTCACCTCCGATCGCTTCTCGCTTTCGTCGCAGATGATGATCGTCTGGCTCACTGTGTGTACAGCCTGCAGAGAATTCGGTTCATGTTTCAGTACACATTAAGCCAAATGTCACATGCAAACAAGAAATACCAACGTTGCCATCGTGCTATTACAATTTGATTTACTATGGCACAAACCAAAATATGGCGGGGTCAGGTCGCCCCAGTTGTACTATGTTATTTTCGTAATTGCTGCACTTCGAGTGAACTAGTAAAAGTTTTCAGCAACGACTGCACGCAAGAGCCCTGGGTGGCCTGAAGACAGTCTGCCTTGCGTTGGTGCGAGATCCTGCCCGTCCCGTCAATGCCAACAACTTTCTTGTTCGGAGGCACAGGTTTGCCTCATTTAACAAGTAGTTGCCTTGGTACTACAATGCCCGTCATTTGCGACGACGTCAGTGGGAAGTTTCAGAATAGTGCACGCTAAAGCTTTGCGTACGCAAAAAAAATTGACCGCATCTCACGTGGTGAATGATGTTGATTGGGGGCAAAGCTCTGGTGGTGCTTGTCTGCGTAGACGCTGAGCCGCAGCATGCCGAGCTTTTCGTTCGTTTTCGTCCATGTCAGAAAGAGAATTTGTGGTATGGAACATGGTTATATACGCATTTGACCGAGCGCTGTCGCTATTGGCCGAAGCGCATGCCTCCTCTCCTGAAATATGTCATTCTCCTCTCCCTCCTCTCCTTCCTCGCGGCGCGGAAGGAGTCGGGAGCAGCCGATATCGTTGCTTGTCGTCTGCTAGCGGTTGCGTTTTGGCTTCAAGAACTTTATTTTTCGGCGTTCGCCTGCTGTGTTTAGCTCGACGTCTTTAGGAGACATCGGTAGTGATTGCGATGCCTAGCGTGAAGCCTTCAATGCAGCGTGCGTACGGCAAGCGGAAGCGTCGGGCGTAGAACAAGAGGACTTCGCTCGTATCGCCAGCCGCGTTGCTTGCGGCGGACATACGGCAAGTTCCGCTGCCACCAGCTGCATCGTCTTCCGAGGTGCCCGCCCCTGATGTGACCAACGAAGAAGACGACGGCTTCGGCCCTGGTGCGTCACGACTCAACTCTCATTTCTACATGCCAAGCGAAACTGCTCAATGTGCGGCGCGGGCTGACGAGATGAAGCAGGATTTGACCGGGAAGTCTGCCACACAACGAAAGTTTGACCTCCTCATGTCACTGTCAAGGATAAAGAGACAGATTTCGGCACGCAGTCTGTGATCGTGGATTTGTATGTGTTGAACATGTTCTTTGCGACCACCAAATGTGAGCAGTGAGGAATAACCGTGCCCATTCACAAGCTGGTGCTTTGAAAACGTCCCCACGTCCCCTAAAAAAGCCCTTCTGAGGGCTAACCAATTGTTGCATACGGGCTGCTTTCCCTACCCGTGTCTCTCCCTTAGTATGAAATTCAAACCAAAGGCATTCTGCCCATCTAAGCTTCAATGTTGTTAGTTATGCATACCTAAATTTCAAAGTCGATTTTCTCAGCTTTGGTTTTTTCAGCCTCCTTTCCGGCCAGGAAGGCTTTTTGATTCACTTGCGCTCTACCGATTTTCATAAACTTGGTACTATTTTCTTGGGAATAAACTAGACTGCAAGCTAAAGCTATTTTTATTATGATATTTTGTGGTATATAAAACTGGCATTTTATTATTAGACAATGTTATAGCCGCTGTTGTATGTCTTCTATTCACTTTAATATTTTAGATGCTAAGGTGCTAAAGAAATAAAAATAGCTTTAGCTTGTATGGCACTTCTTTAGAAAGCAATTGATACCTTTTTTTCATTAAAATTTTAATCGGAAAGTTTTTTAAAACTTTTCCTGAAATTAGCTAATTAATATTTTATTTTGTTGATAACTTTTGACAAAGAAGAGATATCTGAAATCTGATTGCAGCTATGAAATCAACACAATAAACTGCATGCCTGCGCAAAAAAAATCATTGAGATAGACCAATAAACAAGCAATATTTTTTGAGAACCCACTTCCTCCCTTAAATGGGGCTCATAGATTGGACCCGAGCATGGCGTGTGCACTCGATTTGGGCTCGTGATAATCGATAGTTCGAAAAGCACTCGTGTAGTGGTCCATGTCCAATCGCTGCAACGACGACAATAGGCGAACGATAGCAATGTCGGGAACTCAACACTTGTCTCCTGCTTTGCCGACTCCAGCACATGGCTATGATAGACATTGGCGGCATATAATCGGCTCCAGATCACGTGGCCGCTTGTTCTGGCAACAAGTTAAGGCGGTCAAGGCTGGGTGGGGACTCACGGCCAAGTCGAGGGAGCCGACGAACACCTGGAAGGGGCTGCTCATGTACTGCTGGGAGAGGCGACGCACCCCCTCCGGCCAGGTGGCGCTGGTCATCACCGTCTGCCGGTCCGGGCGGATGTCCAGCAGCACCTTCTTGATCTGGGGCTCGAAGCCCATGTCCAGCATGCGGTCGGCCTCGTCCAAGATCTGAGTCATTCATGAAAATTCAAGGGGCATTCCCTCCCCCCACCCCACATCCTCGGAGTTAATTTTAGCTAAAAGTTCAGAGTTTAACAGAGTTTATTTTTCTTTGATCCCCAATTCCCCGAAATTCTGAATTCAATTTTACCGTGTTTCCAATTTTACAAAATTAAAAAAGAAAATAAAAATTGTCCAGACACAAATGCACCCTAAATTAATCGAAACTAACAGGTATCGAATGATATCACTGCAGCTGCATTTGGCATTGGCTCCCTTGCCATCGGCAATGTTAACCATCCGTCAAAAAATATTTCAAAGAAGTGCTGCTTGACAATGGTCATTACTTCGAATTAACTAAACTCCCGCACATAGTCGCTAGGAAGGAGGAAAGATTCAGCCGCTTTCCCCTTCCATTAAAATGTATGTATTCATAACTTTCTCCGTTATAAACACTATCCCTTTTAAACAATGACATTTGTCATGACCCAGGGCACCATGAGCCGTTGTCCCAAACGCACCTTGACGAGTTAGAAGGAAAAACCCCCTTTTGTCAGTAGTCAGAGATTTTAAAGGAAACTGAAGCGGCCTCCCGTCGAAACCACTGACCCTGTGCTTTTATAAAATTTATTTGTTAAACAAAGTCTGTATTGCTTTTTATTTTTTCTGCCGTGACCTTGAAACTGAAATTTTCAGATATAACTCTGAATGGACAGAAATTTTACTGCCGAGTGTTTTTCATCTAAAATTTAGATGATCTCTAAATTTTGGGTGGGAGCTTACCCAATATTTTACGCTATCTCTGTCTTCATTCAGCACATAGAAAGCGAAATTATTAATGTTCCACGGGAAGTCAAAATTATATTACTACAATCCCTCGAGGTGAAAACGCATGTTGTACTCTGAATGGTTTAATCAACTAAGAACAAGATCAGACACGCCCTACATAAGGAACGAATCGCGGCGGCCACTCACGAGAAACGTGACGTATTTGAGGTCGATGATGTTGTTCATGACCAGGTCGTTGAGGCGCCCGGGGGTGGCGATGACGATCTCCACGCCCAAGTTTACCGTCTGGATCTGTTCTCTCCGGTTGCCGCCGCCGTAGATGCACACGCTGTAATGGCGACGGTAATGATAACCCTAGAGGGCCAGCTAATGTCTCAGCTGGGCCAAACAAACGACCGTCACCACAGCTCTGGGCAGACTGGCGGCGATCACAGTTTTGCTTTTTGCTCAGGAAACTCTCGAATCCGGTGCCCTGGGAGTAGGCAGAGGCTCTATGGTTAGCGACAGGTTACGGGCGCAGTAGAAGCTCTGCCTTTTGCACCAGGCTTCTTTTCTCAATAACACTTCTGCAGCTTGTAGGCCCCACGGAAGGCGACAAGTGCATGCCAGAGGAAGAACTTCTACCATGCTCTTAACCAGTCGCCGACTATAGTTACAGTGATGTACCTGGGCTAGACAACGAGGGGAGATGCAAATTCTCTCGGGGCAGTTCTTCAAGATGGCTAGGGGTAGGGTGCCTCAATGCCCTCCTGGTTAGGGTGACGCCCTCTTTTTGTAGTACCCGGTGCTGAAGGCACACGCTCGCGGGTAAAATACGAACAAATAAAAACGACAACATGCCGCCACAATGCAGCGAATGCCAAGAGCTTGTGCCCAGAGATGCCCTTTCATGCGCTTCGGAGCAAAAAAGAGAAAAGCTTCGCAAGCAAAACGGTTAGGTGTCACCACACTGAGCAAAGCACACCAGAAGGTACCCTAGCTCAAGGTTACCAGATCCCAGAGAGTCTCGACTACAACAACACAAGTCATCACCATTCGGGGGTTTCCAAATGTGGCCTCACCATCGGATGCCTCGATAGTGGTACTTCCTGGCCTCGCGCTCAATCTGCTGGGCCAGTTCCCTGGTCGGTGCCAGCACCAGGCAGGAAGGGCCGGTTCTCTCCTCCCTGGGACTGCATCAACACGCGGGACGTCGCTTCAGGTACGGAAGACATCTGTGTATCCAAACTCTACTTCGTCCCACCTCGTAATGACCACGGCCAAAACCACGAGGGACCGCCCAACCACGAGCCAGTTAGAAGTCATCCGGTACATTGCTCCGACGATGGGCACGATGGCGCAATGTATCGAACGGCATCCATCTGGCTTGCGATTGGACCTCCTGGCCGGTTGATTTTATTGCGGTCCATTGCAAGATGAGACGACATATAGACACACTAAACTGACCACAGTCTCGACTAATTACCGTATTTACTCGCATAATCCTCGCACCCCTAATGTGAGCCACCAAAAATTGAATTTTCCTTTTCCTCGCGTAATCCTCGCACCCCCAAAACTGCAGCGGTGAAAGTCGCCTGCTCGCAAAACCCGCATGATGCACGCGCTCTCCACCACCCGCATTTTTCGGCGACCGTTTGGAGTTTGGCAAACGGCACTCCAAAAGGAGTGCCATTTGGCACTCCGTTCGGAGTGGCGCGGCGCCGGAAAATGTTAAAATTTATGCTGAACCGTGTGTACTCACGCAGAAGCACAGAAGTGCTTTTGTGAGACTGGTTGAATTGTAGGAATGCTTTATTTGTGCATAAACTTACTATCATTATTTTAATCAGCGAGAGCCCGCAATTCGTTTCAAAGGTGACCCAAGTCGTTTTCAACTATCATCCCAAATTAAAAAAACCCACCTCTGAAACCACAAAAAATATATTTTTCTTTTGCAAACAGAGTCATTCCATGCCAAACGTCCCAGGCGTGATGCGTGACCATTGCCGATTCCTTTGAAAAAAATCACAGCGGTTCTTTATGTGTTGAATAGTCACTTGCCTAATTATTTTCGTAAACAAAATATTTTGGCCGCGCTAGCGCTGCTTGAAATTCCCGAAAAGGCGCAAAACTAGGCACAAGTAAAAAAATTGCCAAAAGTACAGATCTTTAGTTATCAACGCACAATTTTTTCTGTCCGATTCTTCTTGCATTATTGCTTGATATGAGGCCAATTTTTAATAATATAGTTGTTTTTTTGTTTGTTTTTAATTGAAGACAAAATGGTGAATCTTGGAGTTTTCGGGATTTTTTTGTTTAAATTTGGGAGCCTGTATACCCGTACTAGGAGTGTTTTCTGCTTCTATTGTAGATATACGTCTTGTATAAAATAGCTTGCTACTGTTAACAAAAAGGTTTTCGTTATATTAAAGCTTAAAGTTGCGTAAAACGGCATTTTGGTTTAAACTAAACCGCAAATTTCGCAGTGAGGTGGTCCAAGTAAAAATATGCCAGACCACTCACGCGATAAAGCGCCATATTGCCGCGCGCACTGGCCAAGTAGGCAGCGCGCGCGTGGCCTAATGGTTATCGCGCCTGGCTCCCACGCGAAAAGCTAGGGTTCGAATCCTGGGAGCGACGTGTCTTTTGTTTATTCCTGTAACTTAGTGTTCTGGAGAATTCGAGAATCATGTTGCTTGTTCCAGGCCCGAATGTTCTGCGCGTCGAAGTTTCTACGCCGATTATTCCCGAAGATCACGCATGTACATAAGGGGCTCCGCGTGGCGAGCCGCAGTCAGTCTCGCCCCAGCGTTCGACTCTGCTGCCACGCCGACTTCGACGCCCGCGACGCTCTATTATTATCTTTTGTACAGTGTAGACCGCATATAACGTATGTCGCGGGAGTCGCGAAAATCCGCACTATAAGCGGTACCGCACTATAACCAAAACATCAATTTTTCAGGCCAAAATACATGCCATCAGACAACTTACCTTTGTAAAAGAATTTATTTCTATGGTAGATGAAAAAATAAAGCTTAGTTTGAGGAAAGTCTTTATTTCACCAGATTAGTACACTTCTCTCTCAAGTGTGTCACACCTTTTGAAACAAATGAGCGGCTTTTGCCTGGCGCAGCCTCTTAGCGGCGTCGCGGATTGCGGACGGACGTTGCGAGCGTTCAGGATTGCTAACCCTAATCTCTTTTCTCCGGAGATGAAAACGCGTGAAAATTCGCATCCTTCATACGGTACGCGCCAGTAATACCTTGCACTTGAGCACACGCATGAAATGCGCCAAATAAGAAATCCGGGCGATGTTCGAGGACACAAATGCTTAGAAAGCACCACTGTAGTCGAAGTAAACAAACACGACGACACGGGCGTTTCTGCCGACTTGAGAGCGCCGCCACGACATCGCCGCTCGAGTAGGTGGATCTTCTCTTCTAATACGTGCCGGGTTATCATAGCGACACACGACGAAAATTCACAGTCAAGGATAGCGCTTTTACGCGGAACGATGAGATGAACGCCGTCTACGACGACGATCACAACGTTGATCACAGCCGACGCCTTGTTCGCGGATAGAAGCAGCCGGCCCGCGACGGGCATGCAGCGCGCGCGAACACTTCTCCTGTCGTTGCGGTTGTTGGTTTCCAACGCAGTGGAGGGACGCACGCACGTGAACGACACGTGCGTGCGTCCCTCCGTCGCTAGGGCAACTGAAGCCTCTCTCTTCGCTTCTCCTGCTTCTTCGAGCACCCTCCTTGCCCCGCGAGGGCCGCTTGCGCAACGCTTGCGGCTCGCGCCGTCAGCGCCGTTATCTAGTGTCGCACAGGCAAGCGTGCTCGCTGCTCCGGTCGTCGGCGCGGTCGGCGGGCTGTGCAAGAAACCGCACTATAACCGGTATTTCCCGTCGCGCGCCTGCGTTTTAAGCGGTATGTAATTACATGGAGTTCTATGGGAGGCGAACCGGTGGTTTAAAAAAACCGCGTTATACCCGGTCCTGCACTATAAGCGGTTACGTTGTAAGTGGTCTATACTGTACTCGTTTATTTTTGGCACAAGTTCGCCACATTAAACGTTTATTTCTTTCTGTTTATTTCCTGTTTTTTGTTTGGTCACCACCCGTGACATTTGGTGGAGGTGCGGGGTACCGCATGCCCCTGCCGCGTACCCCTCCGAGGGCCCACAGTGCAAGTCCGACGCCTAGCCCACGAAGAACCGACGAAAGCACTTCCGAGATCCGGTTCAGTCGTCGCACCCAAGGTCTACACCCGGAATTCGGACCTCTACCTCCCAAGACTAAGCAGCCAACGAGACCAACGATGGACAGCCAGTCGTCCCAGAACCCGTCCACCGCCAGCGTCGTATACCTGCCCGTCGCACCCAAAACTCCGACGCCTTTCCACGGAGACACCCACGAGGACATCGAGGACTGGCTGCAACATTATGAACGTGTAGCCCGACATAACGGGTGGTCAGCTGAGCACCGCTTGCAGAACCTTTGCTTCTCGCTGGAAGGTACTGCAAGGTACTGGCTGGAGAACCACGAGGCTTCTTTAACCTCGTGGGAGGTGTGCAAGCAAGAGCTAGTGAAGACGTTTACCAGCCAACACCGACGCGAGAGGGCCGAAGACATCCTTCGAACAAGGACCCAAGGTCTGAATGAAAGCATCACCAGCTTCGTTGAGGATGTTCTTCGCCTGAGCGCCCGCGCCGATCCTCAGGCTACAGAGGAGAAGAAGCTGCGACACCTGATGAGGGGTGTCAAAAGCGAGATATTCGGAGGTCTCATTCGCAATCCTCCGACAACTGTCGACGGGTTCGTCACGGAGGCGACGAATAGGGAGCGTGCGCTACTAGCACGCGCCAGACACTACGAGCGGCACCCTGGCGTGACTACTCTGGCGACATCCGGATACGACCTTGGTACCGACCTCCCAGGCATCCGTGACATCATCCGTGAAGTCGTCCGGGAAGAAATCCGCAAGATGCTCCCCGCTACGGATCCCTCGTCCTCCCTGTCGCTCGCCGAGGTCGTCCGAGAGGAAGTCCACCGAGCCTTCCAACCTGAGATTCCGATCAAAACGACGACGCCAGAGGAGCCTAATTTGAGCTACGCCGCCATGGCCCGAAGATCGCCGCAAGCTAACCGCCAGACCACGGCGCCACCCCGACGAGACCCTCCGATGCCACAGTATCCTCGACGCCAGGAAGGACAAGTCCACGACGTTCGCCCGGAGCAACCCTCGTCGAGGAAGACCGACGTGTGGCGAACGACCGACCGACGCCCGCTCTGCTACCACTGCGGGGAAGCCGAACATGTGTACCGCCGATGCCCATACCGACGACTCGGGCTGCGCGGATTCCACCCAAACGACCCGCGCCCCCGGTGTGGTGAACGCCCTCGGGAGATCGACGAGTACCTGCGACGACCCCAGTCCCCCGAGCCTGCGTCCCGCCGAGAGTTCCGGTCGCCATTGCCACGACGTCCAGCTTCGCCGATGCACCGACCCCGACGTGAAAGCCTGTTGCCCCTCGCTCCTCGCCGGAGAAACTAGGCGCGGCAACCCCTGGAGGTGGAGTTGCCGAAGACGACCGACGTAAAGAGCCTCCAAGAACGCCGGAGCGCTCCCAGTCTCCCGACGCCACGCATCGCTACGACGCCCCTGCAACGGTGTCCAACAACCTAAACGTCGTCATCGACGGTCACGACGCATCGGCACTCGTGGACACCGGAGCAGACTACTCAGTCTTGAGTGGGAGGCTCTCCCGCCGCCTTCGAAAAGTCATGACGCCGTGGGAAGGACCCCAAATACGAACCGCCGGAGGACATCTCATCACACCAGTCGGGAGATGCACTGCTCGCGTCGAGATCCACGGTGAAACGTGCTGTCAAGTTCGTCGTTCTGCAAGACTGTTCGAGGGACGTTATCCTCGGAATGGATTTTCTCTGCGAGTATGGCGCCGTCATCGACCTCAAAACAAACCGGCTGACGCTACGAAAACCTGCTCCACCAGCGGAGGGACCCGAAGCGACGTCACCCATGGTCCGAGTCCTCGCAAACCACGTAAACCTACCACCGCGGTCGAGTGTTTTCGTACTTGTCGGGATCGATGAAGCTTCCCGTGGCGAAGTTCTTCTCGAGGGAAGCCTCCAATTGCTCCTGGGAAGAGGCATAGGCGTCGC